CAACTCATGTGACACCCAGACATTTAACTTTTTTTATATCTAGTTTTCTTCAGTTGCTTTAGAATTGCTTGATGGCGGATGTTTAGTTCTTTGATGATATGATGGCTACTCACGTATCGTATTAGTTAGCTTTCACGGCAATTTTATCAGCTTTTTCTGTAAATGGTGAAGGTGGGTCTTTCACATCGAAATTTCCAGAATGAAAGCGACAAAACCACCTTCGGACCACTTCCTCCGATAGCGCATCTTGACCAGAAACAGCACAATTTTTCTTTTTTGGGAAATACTTGTGTTTTTATCGGTAAAGTAGTATAATGAAATATTTTTTTACAGAAATTTTACTCATCTTCAGTCTTAAATTTGAATAATAATATTTTAACAATCTTAGCATATTACTATTGCAAGTCTGGCAGCCTCTGAATGATACTAACGGCGACCTGACGCGACTCATGTTACCGGAGTTATGTGACTTAAAGCCATATAGCTATAAAAACACTCATTACTTTTTCAACAACTCGATATTAGATAGCTCATTTACTTACACACTATCGATTAAATATCGCATAGCCAATGATTTTTATATTATATTGTGACAATGGTGAATTGTACACGTTGGGTCACGTTATTACTAAGCAGACCGCAACTGATAAGACGTTAATGCTTGAAAAGCTTTCGTTATTCTACAACGACCTGTTGTCGTTCGATGAGTTATATATAGCTTTGCACTTGCATTGAAATGGTCGTTAAAATTACGAGCGTATTTTTTTTCTTGTAATTTCACTCACCTTCTACAGGCGTCAATTTCCTCGTCCGCAGTGCTGAGAGGGCACAATCAAGATAATAGAATTCTTCGCCTGGACCGAGCCTACCTGTGCTCCCAGGGGGACTTTGTCCTGGGACATGCTCCTGCCATGCGGCTGCACTTTCAGCTGCTTGTTCGGCATCAAATGGCGGCGCTGCCACTGATGATTCTGACTGATCGCTTTTAGAAGCTCCACGATTCCCCGAATTTCCTCCGGAAGGGGTTAGCATCTGGATTACCCATAAAATTAGTGGTGTCAATCATTTTAGTAAATGCATTGTGTGACGGTCACAAAGGCCTTAAAACAAATACAAATTAGAAAAACGTTTTGCAGATATTTATAGAACACGTTTTCTAAATACAACTGTGGTTGCATTTTTGTTTTCACGCTGAGTATTTCACATACATACGGGGACGTAAAAGTAAATGCCACCTTGAATATACTTTATTTCGTACACGCAGAAATGTTAGCAAAACGACGCCGTACATTGACTTAAATTAAAAAAAAATTCTTAACTGTCAAATGTGCTGTAGCAGGGCTTAATGATGCTTCATCGATTACGAATACCAACTTGGTAACTTAATTTTTCTAAACAACTTCCAATTGAAGATTTATTTGTAAAAAATTATTGGTAAAAAAAATTCTGCTAAATAACTTCTACAGTTGCTCCACCCTTTGCAATGTTTATCAGATTCAATGAACTACTGAAGGAAGATGTATGTAAATAGTACGAAAATATATCTTCCGACAAGGAGCCGTCACATACTCTATATATGAAAAACGTATGTTGGAACCAAAGGGAAAGGTAATGTATGGCAAAGAATTACTAAATGACAGGCGAATACTCCTTGCAATCAATGTGGATTACCGCTAAGTGATGAATTATATCACGATGTCGTGGACGATGGGATTCCAGGTATGGATTCCACGAAAGGGTCGTATTTAAATTGTAAAGAGCCGCTGATAGTAACTCAGTCCCGTGCTGAGGCAGTAGTAACCTGCGTGCTTACTATAGTTATGGACACGTGATAGTCTCGGTTCGAAACAGGGCATAGGCACACCCCACTTTGTGCTGAAAGTCCACCATCTAGAGCAATGCTTAACTAAAGCAGTATCGGACACAAGACTCGAAACATGGTCTTTTAGTTTCGCTACTCAATTATTTGTTATTATGACCGTTACCTCCTTTCGAAAGTTCTCGTCCATTGTCTCAAGCTGATCAAAATACTTTGCGTACGCAAACTTCCGCCCTCCGCTCTGATCTTCATATTTAACTTTCTTGTGCATCTTTTTCAGTCGGTTAAACTTATCCTAAAAATTGAAAAGGTAAAAAATCAAGCAAATTCATGTAATCAAACGTTAGTAAATTCTCTGCTATTATTGATTTTTAGGCCATATACAAACATATTAAGGTGTAATTAATTGATCATGCTTTTTTTTATATACACTCTGATACCATTTTGTTAAAATCTCTAAAACACGAGAATAGATTATTTACACTGTCAAACCCCTGACGCAAATGTCTGCAATCATTATGGGATGCCTTTTGTCATAAAGCGCTCGGACAAAACACCTCTAGGTGGCCCTAAAATTTTGACAGAATCATCAACATTTTGATTTGAATAAAACCCCTACTTTGGCCTAATTGTAATTGATACTATAGTCCTCACAAAAATAATAGCCACTGAGACAGCTCAAGCCTAGTTTTTGTTTGTCACTGATAATACTGATGATCAGGATGTATAAACATCACTGTTTTAATTAAGCATGCAGTTGTAGATTTAAGTCACAGTAGGTAGCTTCTGCCTGTCAGCTAAAATACCTACTTATGTTCAGAACCCATTAGCGCAATGGCATGACATCTATTAGTTGCTAAACAGGTAACCGAAGCGACCCAGTTTGTTTGATTCTATTCATCATTCGTCCATTGCCTTGTGGATATGGACATACAAATATTTGCCTGCTTCGATACGAAAAATATACTCTCAATTAATACTTTTTACAGAAATCAATTATAATGTCAAAATATTTATTGTCCTTACCTGAACCTGCTTTGAAGTAAGCGAAGCATTGATTTCATGAGCAATTGCCGTAAACAGCTCTTTGAGGGTGTCATATTTTCCTCGCGGACCCATTTGAGGCCAGGAGGTCAAATATAATTGAAGCATCTTTTCGATATCAGTTCTCGTCCAATCTAAAAACACCAGAAACACGCGAGGTTTGAGAACATGATATTTACATTTGTGATCGTACGTAAGTATTTCATTAGCTTCAAATATGCAAAATCGATTTTAAAGCTCGTATAACAAAGATTGTTATGATGGTTATCTTCTTTTGAAAATTTTCGCCCATTGTCTCGAGCTGATCAAATTACTACACACATTTTTGACTTCAACTTTCTTGTTTAAAAAGACTTGCAAAAACGTAATGTTTACAAAAGTTAATTATAAAACTCTACAAACACCTAATACTACATGAAGTGTATTTTGGACAACATGATTTGCCTCTTTACTGCCTACCATTGAAATAGATCGTTGTGTTATACTCTATGAATTATCACAGCATTTCCGCAGATGATTTTAGTTGGCTTTCTTATATTATCTAATTTCACCGCTCACTCAGATGGCAACAGCAGTTAACAATACGATATAAAGTAAACAATGCAATCTAAAGTACCTAATACACTTACGGTCCAAGGGAAATACGGGGCACTTTATTCTAGTAATACTTTGTGAAAAAATGAGATTAAAAACCTAGAAAACCGTATTCAAAGCTATATGAATATGTTACATATATTTCTTAACCAAATGAAATTTACGATTGAGATCTAAGACTACGATGCAGAGAGGTGCGATGATCTACGCGGCACTTCAGTAGGCCCTTAAGACTACGTAGAAAAGTTCTCAGTCCAAACGGGTACTTTCACGTTGGCTCGAAGTGGACGATTCCAAGCACAAAGACTAGTTTCACGTACTTCCATGATTCACAACAATAGGATAATTAGCTTTTTATTAATGGCAAGTTTTTTTCGCTGTATATAGGCAAATTTTCTGCACACCAGATTCTAACATAGTTCTGCACATCAAGCTCGAAATATACATGTACACGCGATTGCTTAATGTTGACGAGAAAGCATTAAACCAAACTAGACAATCCCAAATTTGTAGACATCCACTTTTTTGTGTACGTCTGTAACACACCTATTGCATTGATGGATAGACGTTCCATTTGTGTCAAAAGAGGCCTAAATTAATTTACATATTCAATTAAATGGTTGCGTGTGGCCCAGTAATGGTGCGCATGTCCGGTAAACTTAAGGTCTTTTAATGAAATAGGGGCTAGGGTTAAAAGTGGATCGAGACAAGCAGGAATGCTCAACAGCAATAGCACCTTAAATGGAAACCCAAAATAGTCTTTTAGTTTAGCAAAGAAAAACGGGGCTGTACTAAACCACCTATTTGCTAACAAGTAACAAATTATAGAAACATAACGTAGGCCGTGCGTTCACTACACCACAGCCCATGCGAATGACACGACGGGTACCAACCCGCTATCCGACATTGAAGTATATATCAAAATTACTCATGTTAAATTAACGTCGGAAAATATATGGAGCGACAAATATAACTTACGATGATCATCTTTAGCTGCTGGACCTTCCTCTTCGACTGGCGTATCTTGAACCAGCCGTGTACCTCCCGGCATTCCCGTTGAGAAGTATTGACTGAACATCTTTGAATTCCTGAAAAGATCGTGATGGACCAGGATATAGAATACACATTTGGATGGGTCTCTGCATGCCTAGCACGTGGGTGAAGTGCTGGTACTCTAGTTTTGGCCCGAGTCAATTCTACTACTCTTGCTTAGCTCCCATAGATGCAGCTTTTTCTTGCCCTTCCATAGCGACGAATCTTAGATATAGGTAAGAATATTTTATGCTAACCGATCATAGTTCGTTCATATAGGTTTCAATATTTTACGCTAATACAAAAAAAGTTTCAGGTATTATGTATGACCTCGCTATACACGTTGAAGAATCTCCCAAACAGGCCTCTCGAAGAAAAATGCAAATTAACACCACATATTACACCAATGTGTGCAATAATATATTTATGCCTATTTTAATAATTATAATTGATAGGCACGCAGATATTATCTGCCTAATCTCTGTCTACCAAAAATAAACACAGCGCATCGTCAATAAGCACTTCAGTTGTTCACAACGACATTTATTTCATTTCTTAGAAAAATTTCGCCTCGACGGGGCGCAGGGTAGGCACAAGAAGCTATGAAAATGCATCAAATATTTACACGGAACATTCTTCTATCCACCTTTGTTTCACCCCAACGCAAATCGACCTATTACTAACAGATCCCATGTTATTTCTGGATGCTATGCCTGCGGAACCCTGGCATTGGTCACATTCTTTTTCCACATGCATCCCATCATACAACCGTTCGACTTAGAAACGTTCATCGGTATACTATTGTCTGATAGATTGTGTTTGATCTACCGAATTCATCGTATCCTCGTGTACAGACTGCTGATACGTACCAATCAACTACACTCCGTGTCACTGAGGGTTATCTATGCTTGACCATTCAAAAAGATCACAGTAGCATTGATTACATAAATGTTCATACATTTGTGAAAACATCAAAATAAACAGGCAACCACTTGTTACGAAATACTCATTAGATATGAGGTTTACAAAACAAATCAAGAATTTGCTGCTATGGTAAATATTCGGCTGCTTCGGGAATGCTCCCGCTATCTAGTTCTGGTATATTTTACCTATTTATAATGTAACTGCGTCACTGCGCCAGCTCAGATATATTTTAGTATCTATATCAGTGTGGTATTATTAAGCGAATATTTTCGGGTCACCAGCTTATATGGTCGCGTAGGCTTGCCACGTGCTTTCGATTACATGTTCCCTCCCCTTGCTGCGCGTTGCCGATCACGCATAGCCTTTTCTAGTTCAAACTGACGTAAGTCGGTTCTGTCGAGAAAAGCCACTTTTTCGAGGTAGCCGTCTTTACCTTTGTTATAGTTAGCTAATTCTTCTTTGATATTTTTTTCTTTCGTAAAATTGTCCCAGTCCAGCTGCGTCTTCTGAAAGATGCTCATCTTGTTCTTTTTATTGAGTAGTCCACTGACAATTGTGCTCAGACCTCCGCCCACTTTTGGTCTGACAAGAAGTTTCTTCTCGTCAGATTTCTTTGATTGTTCAGCCAGTATTTGCTTTGCTTCTTTCGAATTCTTGTCCACCTCCTTCTCAACTTCAATCTTTTGGCCGGCGAAGTCAAATACCTGGGTTACCTTGATCTTGTTGCTCGTTCCTGAAGTGCCCACACTGTCATCGGTTGAGTCCGCAGTTTTGCTGTGATTACCTCCACTATCCTTAGCTGACTCCTTAATTTCACTTGAAGCGGAACTGTCCCGTTTTAGATTTACACCTGCACCGTTCTTTGAATCGTTAATGTCCACAGCCTCATTATTTGGATCTAAACTCTTGGTGTCCTTGTCTTCGACTCGAGCTTTTTTCGAAAGTGGCTCGACATCCGCCATGAAGTCAGCCCAGAGAGCATCAGTCTTCTGTTTCTCCGCTTCATCTTCATCAGGGATTTCACTGTTGTCAGCCGGTGCATCATCGTCTTCTTCACTTTCGGCGCCTGACGGAACGTAATCCTGATCGTCGGAATCAGAGTCATTCATCAAATCACCCGCGAGCTTATCCATCGTTTACTGTACTGTCGTTCACTTTGCTATATAAACAATTGTGGTTTCTTGGTGCCTAATAGTGTCCTATCCACAATGCCAGCTCATACACGATTCTGGCTTAAAGACCCGGTTAGAGATTTACTTCTTAAAAATGCGAGTTGCAGGGGTCGCAAATCTCCAAAAAAAACAAGAGCAAACAACCCTGGGCACACTTCAAATTTCAATCTTTACGCTGCAAATATTTATGGAATGGGATAATGCCCAGCATAAAGGAAGTTTGCGATATAGCTCTGGAACATCCCCTTTCAAGAAGCTTGATGCACGCAGAGAAGACCTCCGACAAGGTGAGCAATTGATTCTGTAAGTGGATGGATGACCGTTGATTGTTTGAGGTTGAAAGACGAAACAAAGCAAACTAGATACTAAGGCTAACTGTTAAATGTGTGTCATGGTTTGTTGGCAAGAAGATCGTTTATTAACCAAGTGCCGCGGGATATACAATTCTTTTTCCTAAGAGAACACATTCATTGTACATGTCTAGAACACTTTCTTTGAATTAAAATTTTAGAATTCAGACTATTACTAGATAAACAACATCTTAGAATACGGACAGATTTCGCCAATTCTTGTTGGCACGCCAAGCTGTTTTAAATCTTAAGAGTGACAAGATTTTCACAACATTGGCTAAATGTTTGCAAAATATTTAGTTTTTATCAATGCAAAAAATCTTGCAACGTACTGTACTTGCAGTATGTCCGACCGTAAGAGCCACGTTAATGCTATGACCACAATTTTTCATCTAAGAAAGATTATTTTTTTGAGTATGTTAATACACTGATCGATAACGAGAGCACACAATGGAACCGTTGCACAATCTATTAAACTATCTTGAAAACGTAGTTTTGTTATCTTTTTTGCTATGAAATATCAAAAATGTATCAAGTAATATTTGGTATGAAATCTTGAATTTATGACTTACGTATACATTTTTTCTTGACTCTGTTTTGAAATGCAGCGGTTGACTAAGTGTAAATTCGTAATTCTTACCGTTTGGTATTAGAGTGGAACGCCGCGTAGCATAAACGACAAAATAGTAAATAACCAAATCACAAATATTCTCTAATTGGCACGATTGCATTCAGAAACAATAGTGGATTTGGTCTAAAGCCACCGTCGGGGTGTTCCGTTCAATGTATAAACGCTCTACTCGAAAAATCGAAGTCGATTCGGTTCAGCAGCGGCTGCAGCGTCGTCTGCGCAGTTTGTGCACAGTTAGCAGGCGACGTGACCGCAGAGACCTCTAGGCGACCACGACGAAACCGCATGTTTAAAATAACCCTTGGCGCTCTCCTTTGTGTTGGTGTCTGGACTTGGGAGAAGCTATAAACTGGTATCAACTGCTTAAACTAATCAGTTAATAGCTTAATATCAGCTCAATATATCAACGAACATATAATTATAAAATAAAGAGAGTTTAACAAGACAGATTTTTCCGTGTTATTTGGAAGACGTAAAATTGATGGTTTGGCTTGAACCTGATGTTTCATTCTTGCAACCCAGGCCTTAGCTACTCAGGTCAAAATAACGAAATACTTTTGCATTTATGAGATAAATGCATATGCTGGTTATAATGAATACATATTAAAATACATTTCATTCAGTTTTCAATTTGGATAATGAATCTATGATTTATGTGAACGGAGCGATTTTCACTCGTATATAAATATTCGAACTTATTACGGTTGGCAGACATTTTTCTCTCTGCTTGTCGCTTGTAACTTGAATCTAAGCATGTCAATTCGAAAATTTTCTATTCTCTGCTTAATGTAGTATGAAGTGGAACATGCTACTATAGAAATATATTGGAAAGAATCAATCTTCAAAACAGCTTTGGGAGGAACGGTACTGAAACTATTTTAACGAACTGCTGCATATTGTATAACAGAAATAATGGACCCCTTAGTTCGATCGTAATCTCTTAATGCTACCTTAATGATGAAATGGCTGTTTCCTTGCTTTCTCATTTCGGCATTGATTAAAATTACCACTCGGAGTTGTGACCATACGCATATCCAACATGGAGCTTTATACAACTAATAAATACATTCTCAGATAAAACTTAACATGTGATCTATTTTTTAGCACTAACCTTTATTGGTAGAAGCAAAGTAACTAATTTTAGTAGAGGAGCTTTTTTGCAAACAACCACTCGTCGTCGTTTGTGCTTCACATTAAACACGAATGAAAACTATGTCCTCGACCTACGCCGTAACCGAGTCCATCGTGGTGTTTTCCGTAATCACGAGAGCTGTCATAGTGTCTGTAGTGATCAGGCGGAATATATCTGTTATTAGCTGAGTGATACTCAGCGGTTGTCGGATGGCTTGTTATTTTGCTATGTTCATTTGGTTTCATTTAATGGCGAAAACCACTCTTGTCAATCACATAATAAACGAAACGATGCTTTCCGTCTATTTCGCTGAGATGGTAAGAGCCGAGTACGTGTTTTTGAGATCCCCTTTTTCCTTTCGGCCGTCTACGTTCTTATAGGCGTCCTTGATATCGTAAGCAAAGTCATAGTTTCCATGATCGTTTTGACGGCGATGAACCGTAGAACTGCTTCCATGACCGCCATGGCCCTAGCAAGGGCCTTGGGCAAAGGCCAATGTAAGGACACCCCCGGCTACGATCATTTAGAAAAAATATGGCAACTGTAAATTTTTGCCAATAAAAAATGTTAGCTATTTTTTTCGTAAACAAAACATTATATTTACTATTACTGTTATTCATTTTGACTAATATTATCATTACTAGTCGATGAATTAGACTAATTGAGGCCAAAAAGCCACGCGCCCTGCAAAAAACCTGAAGTTACTTTAGGCAATATTCTACTATACAAATGCTTGTCGTAAATAGGAAACCTCCTGAAGAACGAAACCACTGGCTTGAACCATAACTCTACGCTAACAGGTGTCTAACGGTGTTAACTTGTGTGTGATACTTGAATGATAAGTTACTACTTTGCCGCGTGTTATATAAGGACTGAACAACCGCAACAGAATTTGACGACACCGGAGGGCAAGAGCTACAAAAAGCCACGAGGAATGATCGTGTGTGTCCGCTTTACACCGCATATTTCGTTCTTATCCGCAAGTTAAACATTTACACGAAAAGTCACCGCGATCAGTTTTGGTTTTCCTACAAAGGGAATAAGGGGCATACCTTTCCAAGGTCAAAAAAGAAACAACTAATATTCAAAGCAGACATCGAAAGATGTACACATGTGTACAACAGCGAGCTAGGCGGGACAGGGGAAGGGGTGGACTGGGTCTAAACAGTAGACAAGGTCGTGAATACAATTGTTAACAAAGGTACAACGTTGATCGGGGTATTATGTACGTATTCACTGCGAGTAGTTATTAATTGCTGAATTGTCTTTTATTATTATTACTGGCTAAATCTACATTGGAAAATGTGTTGTATATCGTTTCGATAGCATCCTATCTACGAACAATATTGAGCCTAATAAAAAAAATTACGCTAGATCGGAAATTGCTGGTAGGAGGCATTCCATGAGCCTCGGAGGCATGCAATTTTTCTATGTTTAACATTTTTATTTTAAAAATAATGTTTGCGATGATGATTTTGATGAAACAGATAAAATAGAGGTATTTCTCAATGAAATTACTAATTCAATCATAGATATAAAAACAGAGGAATATCAAGTGAACAAGATAGTGATATTATTAGCACTTGGCCAGTGAAGAGCTGCTTACTGATAGTTGCAGGCCTACAGTATATCGTTATCGCAATATATATCATATCACTATCTCACATTAAGTCACAATAGAATTAACAGAAAATAGCACAGGAATACGTAGCGCACGAGACGTGCTAATTACGTAAATATGGGCTATCTTATTTTTGAAATCTTCAATGAATATTAAAGTTGAGTAGATTAAGAACGATTCGCATATAGTACAAATCGTTGATTGGGGTCGAAATTATTCCGACGAAACTTTAGACACATTTGCTTGATCAGATATTACCATAGGAGTACATTGGGCCATATACATTTTCTATTGCGTTACACTACCATGGTATCCTCTGATCATAAGTTTTTCACTGTTTTTTTTACCTCGTAACTCTGGCGTAGCTGTAGCATGTTTGTTTACTTATCGTCAGTGCTCCTCTACTTAGTGGTTTTATGCAATCAAAATTCGTCGTGATTCGGTAGCTTAAGTAGAGCCTCGCCATAATCAGTAACTTGGCCACCCACAAAGAGATCATAATTCTCAAGGACTTCTTGCTTGCTTAATTTTCCATCGGAATCGCTGTCAGCAGAATGGACCAGATGAAGTGCTTCCGCCTCGGGGTGGTCGTCTTCTGAACGATGGGTGTAAGCGATCATCTGAAAGGTATGTTGAAGTTTATGTTATAGTGAAAAAAACGTATATTTGCAGCTAATATTACATAAGTTTTATTTTTTAATGTTCTTCTGATGAGGAAAATGGGATGCGCGAATTCCTCGGAGCTTCCACATGAAAAACAATTATACTGGGGTCACTTTTCCGATCTGATAATTATTTGCATTGCACTTTTTTTTTCGGCTAAAATCAGTTGTTTGTGTAATACGCCGTTTCTAACTGTGGCCCATTGTTAACATTATCTACGACTATGTACGAGGGTATATGTTTGTTTATCTTCGTGAAAAATTCTAGCACGCAGTTAAAATGCAGATAAATACGAACCTCCTGAAGATCTAATTGGCCATCACCGTTCGTATCTCGACGATTACGGAAAAGTTCTACTTCTTCCTGAGCATAGTTAGGCAGTGAGCCTCCGTTTAGATCGGGAAAGATATCCTCTATGTATTCGTTAAGATCCACCATGCTGTAGCATTTAAATGATAGCATAATTAGTATAATAATAACTAAGGATCTAACTAATAAATAAGAAGCTCTTCAAGCTAAAAAGGGAACAATATGCTTTCTTTATTGTAAAATAACAAAAATGGCAGCAGCTACACCAACAACAACAACCACGAGAATCAGTTCGGGACGTCCAACGCTTTCGACAAACTTTAAGTTGTGCGATAGTCTTAACTAACCTAGATACTGCATTTTTGTATAGCTATGGGGGTCTATATACTACAATCTTCACTGAACTGTAGTCAATAATTGGATCTAGTTATATTATAATCTCTTCTGCGTACGCAACATAATTCAAGCAGAGAAGACAAATGATAGTCGAATACCAAAGTGAAGCTTAAACGCACCCGTCGCCATTTTTATCAACTGTTTCCAGCGTTTCGATAGCAACGACCTCGGCCATATGTTCCTTCTCTTCAGGGTAAAGGAACGCTTCGAACTCCTCAATGTCCAGCATTTCGTCACCATTCCGATCAGCTGCGAGCCAACGTCGGCGGTCAGTTCTAATCATTCGATTCACCTTATGACCATCTGCATCCTGTTGGGGATGCTGATCCTAAAACGAGTATTAGTCATTAAATGAAGAACACTCGACAATCAATGCGACAGCGATGGCCTTCGGCTAGCTTGCTTGTATATTTTGGTAAAACTATGCTCTGATTGGCTTAGTGAATGTCATGAATCTTCCCTTTTCTCTTGTAGCGAGAAAGTTACATTGCAATAATCATAGCGTTATTGCAAGACGTTGCGTAATATTAAGGTATAACTAGCCTTTTCGGCATCTGCTAGACGACGCTGCAAGTTAGAATGGTTGTCAGTCGGCCACAGAACTGCTGGCGAGTCTTTACTTATCTTGGCAACTCTCGGTTGCTCTGAGTATTTATTTCATAGTTTTTGGCTTTCGAATTCATTTCAACTTTATAAGTTGCAGGATGCACGTCTTACTGGAATTTACATAAGTTCTTGTGTTAACTAATTACGTATGCTCGATAGCTAATTGTTCTATACCTCTTCCCAATGGAGCGGCAGGCCGTACATGGATTTTCGATATTCCTGCCAGCTGAGACGAGAACTTCCATAGGGGTTGTGGCGATTCCATTTGCGTCGGGTGCCAGATTCGATATTTCTGCGAGCTATTCGATGAATCCATTTTGAAAGTTCATCTTGTGTCAAGAGTCCATCTAGGTCCTATTTTTAGGCAAACCATGTATCTTATGGGTTAATTCGCGTTAGAAAAATATATGTACAGCTGCAATTCTGTTGAAGACTATGCTAACACAGCTTCGTAAATAAAGCGAACTAGTACAGGTAGACAAGAAATAATAATGTGATGCAACAGTTGAACCAAGGTCTAATAAACAGTTCTAATACCCTATCAATAAGAGAGCGGTTTGGTCTAACCGGCCAATGCGTTGTCATAATTTCCACTGACAAGCCTGCAACCGTCGCTGGTTCACATTCTAAAAATGCCAAAAGTAAATATACCTTATCAATACGATCGAAAATTGCCGCTAGACGATTTCGGCTCTCTTCCGGGCTAAGTAACCGAAGCTCCCTCACTTCAGCAGCCTCAACGACGTTTGCTTTGTTGGCCTCCTTACGCGAGGCATGAGGCCCTGAAGTCGAAAAATGTTTAGGCAATGCCATACAAACCGAGTTGAACAGAAGGCATATAACAGTTAGCAACGGAAGCGTTGAGACAAGCTGACGGTTCCTGCAGTGACACAGTGTGAGACATAAAATGTGCATCAAATAAAACGAGCGTTTAGAATGCTTCATCAGAAGTCTAGCGTTCTCGAGGCCGGACACTTATACTTGACACAACATAAAGAGACAAGAGGTATTACGGGAACTATCATAAATTGGTGCTTTTTAAGCGTATCACATTCCAGTGAAACTTACCCTGCCGACATGATGGTGTAATGTCAGGGATCAATGGTAACGTTCTTGCTCCCGTTCGGATGCTGCCTTGCCACGCTGGCCTCTTGCAGAGGGCTGAAACGACCGAAGGCTTAAGGAACTATCGGCACATAACAAACCGATATCACTGCAGTGGGTAGCGAACCATGTGGAATCACTTAGAGGCTCCCTCCATCTAAAGACAGCATCGTCCAAACCGGTCCACACAGGAGAGCAAGAAGATCTCTACTATTACGGTTACTACACTACTACTGGAAAAGAAGGGCCGTAGTTATTCTCTGTGGAGAGGACGAAAACGCTGATTGTCATGATGATTTTGAGAGACTGCCTCAAGTTGCAGCCACTAACAGAGAATATGAGTATCCTCGTAGTCTTCGTAAACGCGAACCGACCATTACACCGTTATACTAAAAATTATTAATAATTTTTTCCCGCCTGCAGTATCGAAGATGTAACTTCGATTAGGCTGATGTAAAACAATTAAAACATTCAACAGAATGATATCATTAAAAATGAGGTTAGGTATATAACAGGTTAATGAAAGGCGTTATAAAATTTTAGTCACCGAACCAATCATAGTCCCATGCGAGTTTGGTACTATTCACGCATTCGTATGAATAAATTGTGACCCTATTAGCAGAATATGTACGCACGAAAGCCGATAGTTTATACACTTTCCTGCATGTTTCAGCTATTTTTCAATTTTTGACCGACTGAGTAAAAATATAGGAACTAAAGTTATCGATGACGTAACGAACTCGTGGTCATGCGAAAGTTTAACTCAGTTCCTATTTAATCTAGTGTTCAGTGCAACAAGGATTACAGAATTTCCTGTAATATAAAGTATTTTGCAAATTTAGTGGTAAACGAGTGTGGCTAGCTCTCCGAAGCTACGCAAATATACCCGAAGGATAACGTTATTGGTCTAAATGAAAAGCACGCTCAGCTAGACTCGAGTGTAGACTCCTGCTTGATACCTGCAGTATAATTATTTCACTATGTATGTATTTATCTATCTATTAGAAGGATCCATAATTAGCAATAACCATAGTGGGTTTTTTATGGCATCCGGAGTGGCATTTCCCGTAACCTTCATAGACCCTTTTCCTTTCGGCCCTTCACGTCACCATAGCCGTCCTTGATGTCCCAAACAAAATCATAGCTTCCATGAATATCCTAATGGCGATGACCTACGAAAGAGCCCTTTTGATTGCCATGGCCGTGGCCGGGACCTCGGGCAAAGGCCCATTGAAGAACACAGCTAACTAGAACAAGCTGGAAAGTTAAAAAAAGAAGAGAGTCCTTTAATTATATACGCGTAGAGTCGTAGGACAAAAAAAAAGTAGAAATCACTATCCATATATAGAAATAAGGATAGGACTGAATATTTAGCGGTTAAAAAGTTTTCCGAAAGCTAAAAGTGGTCGAAATACGAGGTGAAGTAGAAAAACATATTCGCTTGGAACGTGGCTCCATTTTAGGAAATTTACTTACATGGACCGTCAACCCGTGTTGCACCGAATCGTAACGGTCAGCAGCAAAAACAGGGCGGTCCGAACAAAAAACGTACATAGAAACGGGGTAAAAACAAAAACTCTAAGTCAGGGTACGTCCAGCGTTGGAACAAGTATGTTCATCTTCTCTAGTATAAGATGTAACAGAGAATCTGCAGCTATTCGAATGATTATTTGTTATTTGGAAGAGTGATAAAGAAGAGTATCAGAACAAATAACCACTTGTTCTTGTTGACTTCATGTGATGGCGCCGTAGTGATTGCATGTACCGGATACAAGAAGGCAGAACGTTATTCATGGAATTGGTACGAAAACACTAACAAAGTATTGAAAACGGTAAAACTATTTATGTTGTCTTCTCAAGTAAGGTTTGGTTTATCTATTAGTAACGCTCGGCTGTGGCTATCAAGAACTGAGCAAGATATGGTGGTGTAGATTGAACACAATTATTTGAATGTGATTAAAAATAGTGTCTAAAACAATTTCCACTTACACTGAAGTAAAATATTCATAGGCAATTGAGTCGACTCACTTAAGCGAAAATGTTAGAGTCGCTACCAGATGGACCTCACCTCTGGGTCAAAAACCACACCACGACGAGGTATTTGCACAAGCTCTTTATGAATTACCCTATGTTGCATTATAAATTGTATTGGCCCAGCGTTTTATCTACAGACGAACTTACGCCTAAGATAAGTGCCTAAGATAATCAACAAGTTAACAAATTAACAAGCTACGAAACAAACCTCCAGGCCAACCAAGTCATTCAGCTTAAGATGTTCTTTTACTTTCCAATAAAAAAACAATTCACGCCGCTTGACAACTGTGGCAAAAATTGCTCACCAGAAAATATCACCAATGATAAACCTAGCTTTGTCCTGCAGTGCTTACCTTGTAGTCCGTCCTAACCTGCTAAAAAAAAAGACAAACACTCAATTACCAGACCCGTAACACCCTGCCCACGTTGACAACATTTGGTCGAACTGGCTACGCGTATTGCAAGCGCGAAAAGTGCGACGCCGTCTAAAAACTCAGAACAGAACTCCCTTTGATTGAAGTTAAGCAAAACACTTTGCGCGAACGGAACAAGGCGAACGGCTGGAACATTTTTGGTGATGTAGCGCGTTCAGTCGATTCACGTAAAACCGGTACATAAATTTGACGTTCAGCAAATGCTGTTGTTTAAGTGCTAGTGAGTTGCAAAGGGCATCAGAAGTATTTGCGCGTGAAAATAATAGTGAACATCAAATCGTTGCTTCGTAGAGTATAATCAGGGAACAGCGCACCTGTATTCTGGCTGATTTTGATGAGATAGATTGATAAGGACGTTAAAGTAAATCTGAGCTCCATTTTCTCAAATAGGTCAGTATCAAAAAAAAATACAAACTAATTTAGCTTATGTTCTACGCGAAATTCAAAATCTAACACGCTTTAGTTATCTGTAGCAAAATCTGATTAATATGGCATCAATCGATCCTACGTACTCGATTTAGGCCAGCGATTTTTATTTTAGCTAAATAGGCTGACTTCGAAAGAAGTCATAAATCCCGTTTTGTTTCGAGAAAGATGTAAACATTCACTGCGATGACTTAGCTAAAGAAGATGTCGTTGTTTAAATAGCGTAATTGATTTTTTACTACATAAAAATACATTCAAACGATCGCGTTTGATTGCTCAACACTACTGAATAGGCCTGGCCTTAATTTTCATATTATTTAGTTCTATAGATAGGAATGCGTCCGAAGTCAAGTTTTATTTTTTCTTTTTTTTCAGAGCACGATATTACTTTACTGGCTAGAGAAGTTTAAGTGTCAAAAACGTTTTTCAACTATGCATTGATACCAGACACCCGTACAGCCAAGGTGCATTGAAAGGTGCGCCTATAGCTGAAAGCTGGCACCTTTAATAAAGACTATCAGGTTTACATCCGTCCAAGATTATGGAACTAGTGTAGTCACAATTGTACAGCTGCCATACCTATTTTGCAAAGTTGCTTTCGTTTCATAAATCATACAAAAACAAGTTGTCCTCTAAAGTTTATATTAGTCAGTTATCTCCAACTCATTATATCCCTGCTGAGTAATGGTGAGGGAACAATATAAACCGCGTACGTCGTACAGAACAAAGCAAAATGCATAGACGTTATCTAAATACAACTCATTCGCTTCTAAATCCGTTTATGTCGTATGCTATTATTTTCCAGGTGAAATTGAAGACTTCCGAAAATGAAATGCTCTCTTCACTGTCCTATGTCGTTTTCTAACGTTCTTCCAGTTGGTCAGTGAGTCCTCAAGATGGCTCCCTGCACGTCATATCATCGGCGCTTTCTGTCGCTGTCGTTTTGCGACGCCCTAAGGGCCGCTTTCGCCCTGTCCGTGTTAACTGCCACACTACATTCTAGTGGCGGACAACAATGTCAAGATTATGCAGCGGCTACCATAGGTTGAGCTATGTTTATTACAGTTTGTTAAATGTGTCATTAAAGTTACATGAAATGGGTGTTTCGTTGAAGCAATTAAGTTCATATGAGTTGAGCTATGTTTAGTTTTCTTCTTAAATCACGAAACTAAGTTCACGTATTGCGTTACTAAATGCAAGTTGATACAGATGTGGCCTCTTTTAACTGATGTAAGCTATCTATTCGATAGGTATACAGCTGATGTGATTTCAAGATCAGCTAGAAATACGCAAATAATTGGTCTTTTATATGTCAGATTGTGAATACCTAGGTTTTCCTGGTTCGTATCTGAATAAATGCGGGTACTGCGTCCGGGGCTCGACCGGGCTGGACGAAGATTTCGGCAAAGATTGTAAAGGTTTATGTGGAGGTCAAGCAACACGCGACTGTATGGGAGTTTGCGGCGGATCTGCTTACCTCGATCCGTGTTCCTCAGAATGCATTGGTAGATCGACTTGATGTATATATAGATACCGCACTTGTTACCAAGAGCGTACCGTGCACAGCGTGGTAACTCACTTTTTCTTCAATTTATTTGAAAAACGATAGGGTTTAGAGAAGAAGATCGTGCCAACTAACGGTGCCAACAAAAGTTGTCCGGCATTTCATCTGATAAATCTTTTCGGTTAAAGCAAAAAATATCTTTATACTAGTGCTTCTCTAAAGTCAAGTTTTTTAACCACTATTTTTGTAGGGTGTATTTATTTTAGGATGTAAAAACCAGAAGCCGTACATATCGAGGGTATGAATTATTTTCTCTCTATTTTCTATCTGTAAAATTCCTTTTTGAGTAGGAAACAAGTTTTTTTTTTTATGTCTGGTATATTCAGATTACTAAATATAATACGGTACAGGTTGGTTTTAGACTTGTTTTCCCTGTTAATTTCCTGTTTCGAAGTTCGGACAGTTAGGCAGCACAAATCATGTGAATTGTACCGGTGTTCCCGCGCTTTGTCGCTTCTGTAGTAGGCTAGCTAGACACTGAAGGAACGTAACGTGCGCCAACTAGGCTGTTAATTTCGGAAGCATGGAGAGCGTCTCCACGACTCTGAGATTGTTACCTGCTGTTTCGTCACACCGAAATTCTAATAGATCAGGGTGACAGTAGTAGCTTGAATCATCAATTATTCACCATGTACCATACGTGACTGGTTCCCTATGGACGCGTCTCAATGCATCACGAGTAGGTTCAAAGGGCCGTATTTGCTTATTTACGAAGTCTCGCTCACTGGTAACTCTTCCTGCAACAGTATCTATTTTAGCACAGGATATCGTGCAGCGATTCGAGCTATTTGCGAATTAAATGAACTAAAACAGGTGTGAAATGCGTTCATCAACAGTTGAGGATGCGGAACCGCGCACAGTCGACACTCAGTCCGCGTTTCGAGATTGCATGGGTCGCTGCATCGACACGGGGCCTAAGGCCGCACCGTCACCTTACGTCAATGACTCATGCGGGATTTGCCTTCGGGGTGGCAACGCAAAGGACTCTATCTACAAAGATTGCACTGGGACGTGTTATCTACCTTGTACGTAACAGACAAAGCAAGTCTAATAGTAATTAATTCTTAAGCTGATGTGTAACTCAGACTTTGATAACAGTTTTACAGTTCGTTTTTCGTCTCTATTCCTCTAACGATGTTATACGAAAATTTGCCCTAATAAAATATAAGTACAGGTCCGAGCTTACGGCTTAGGCAATTCACGCTGTATTCAAGAAACTTTGACAGCTTTTTACGATTATTCGAATATTTTTTTCCGCTAAATTTTCTAGTTACTTCTGTACCGCTATCGACTTTGCAGCTAAAATTATTTACATTTTTATCGAAAAGTTCGATATACACCACTGCTTCAATAACGTCTACATACTTCGAAATCGCAAAACTTCGGCTGGATATTTTATCCTGATACGTATAATGACGAAACTGTCGTGCACGACTGTACGGACGGCAGCCCGCTTACGAACCTGCCGCCGAAGAAATCGCGCGTGCGTATATCGACATCAAAGCTGGTTCTCACCAACGGCCAAGGTCAATTAGCAGTCATGCCCCGCTATTGCCATTGGTGCCTACTAATTAATGAATGAGAAGTTCTTGTTTTGTTAGGTCTAATTGATTAACAAGATATCCTCCACCTCCTCCCGATCTGAGCTCAAAGTTAAGCGCAGAAATACGGACCTAAATCCTAAACCCAGCACAACAAATTGCAATAAACTGATGCCCGAAACCTAACATGGATGCCATCGTTGCTTATGGTGCAGAACTGTAGTGTTGAATGGGCTGTTCACTTACAATGTCTGTAAACTCTAAAATTTCTTAGCCATGTTTTTGCGCATATTTTATCAATGAAGTCTTAAGTTTTTGATAACAATATGATATTATACTTTATGAATAATTTATATAACTGTTTTCGTTAGAAGAACTGACGCCGAACGAGTAGTATATCATTTCAGGACTAAACGGCTGCAATTTTGCGTGAAAACACCAAGGTGACGATTTGTACAGTTATAATTGGGTGTATAATTAGAGAAAAAATATACTACCTAACTAGATTATATTGCTATATGATCGTATGCTAATTCTAAAATTTACATGGCCAACGGTTAGGCAAATATCATTATTAAAGGTTGTCTATTTTCAAATAACCATTCCGATTGCAGCTGAACAAGATAAAATGGCGAAACAAAAATGCGGTCAATGTATTGGTGGTACATCTTCTAATAAAAAAGCAGATTTTCTTGACGGTTGCGGGAATTGCAGGACGGCCAAGGCACCGTGTGAATGCGACAAGTAAGAAAACATACTTCCAGGACCGATGTACCCTTGTACCCACGAAACTAGGACACCGCTTAGCGAAACGGCATTGAATCTGTCACGCAAATTCGAAGTCAGAAATAGCTTTTTGCATCATAAAATGTCGCGTGTCTTGAATTATTATAAACTGAAAAATTCTAAGTTCCACTTTACTTAGTTCACACACACTTTTTTCAGCGATACATTTAATCTTATGGAGCACAAATTCGCTTCGTAGAGTGCAGTTCTCTTGTTTACAAAGTTTCTTAATGTAAAAATGAAAAGTAACTCTACTAATCAATCACTAAGTAATCTACTAATTTCATTATTTGAATAAAAATATCGAAGAATAACAATGGTCTCGCCATCCAATGACATTTCAGCGGTCAAACGAAGGATATCTGTGGCGTCTGCGGGGGCAAAGCCGGCTCGTGTTTGAAGCTTACTGAAATTAAACCGACTTGCGCACCGGCTAACAAAAGTTTCGAGGTACGTATTTATAAACATCTCTATTTTCTCTATACGTTTCTACGTAATAGGTATTGCGGATTAAGTTAGGGCTAGCCAGAAAAAGCCAACAATCATATATGCTTTAGAGATCGATGCAAAATCCTTGTGCTGGCCCAGTGCTACAGTGTTTGTCTGCCAAATTTAGGGTCATGATAGGTAGTTTGGGTTCGAAACCGGGCGTAAGCCTGCGGTTTGTTGAGCGCTGCCAATTTCTTTCTGCGATGCTGAACTGAGGCAGTACTACTGACTAAAACTATGATTAAGTTGTTTGCCTCGAATCGAGATGGAACAAAGCTATAAAACACTGATATCGAGGCGCTTTTTTTGTAATAGATGACGCTTTACGGCGCGTTCAGTGGTGAGGCCCCGTCTGAGATCGTGTGCGTATTCCGGAACGCAACCGATCCCGAAGCCCAAATTGTGGGTCCGCCATCCCCTGGAATTGGAAATGGATTCCTGACACCCTCAAACGGAAAAGTCTCGTTTGTGTGCCGTGTGCCAAAAGGTCTTCCCGAAGGGAACTACTTCGTTAATCCACGGCTTTCGCGCCTTGGCAAGGAGGAACGTCGAAATCTCACGCTGCACGTCTTCGACGCCAGCAGTTAGTGGACGGTTATCAATTTGAATTATAGCATAGGAGTGTGTTTTCTATAAAATATGTGCACAATATTTTTTTACTCTATAGGTAGAACCCATCTATTGCATAAGACACAAATGATTCATTGTAAGCTTCTAAAGATAGCAAATACAATCTATTAAACGAAATCGGTAATATATAACCCGTGTTTCTGAAGAAACCCCGACGATAAATTTTCGTTTTGTCCTTGTTTTGTAGTTGGTTACGCCAAGATGGAACCGAGCCGCGCACCCTATCGCAGCGTCGAAAATAAGAATGCAACAACGATTCGTATAAAATTTTCGGGTGGAAATGTTCCGAAGTTCCCGCTATACTGCCGCGTCATGAGCATCGATACGCCGAAGCAGAAAATTTTACCTGTTTACCCTTCAGGCATCGCCACTCTTCAAAACGAATGCGAGATTCCGCTTCCTGCACAAAGCCAAGAGTATATTATCTTTCCTACTCTAGATGGACTTAATCCCACAAGTGTGAACTTCAGCTTTTTATTTTATGCGACGAGACCCCAAATTAAGGAATCCTATATACATTCAGACGGTATGTCGAAACTATTAATATAAGAACAATTACTTTATGAATACAGCGAGAAGCATTTCTTCAAGACATTCACACGTTTTCTCTAAGTGTTATACGATGCATCATAGAGAAATATCATACAACTGGCTTATAATACTGGTTTGAACAAGCCTAACTCGGCTAGATGGTGCTTTTGTTGATAATTCTAACGAGCCCGTTATGCCTGTGGACATGACAACGTTATTTTATTTTTTTTTTTTTATTTTTTTTTTATTATCTTCTGTATTACGTGTTCAGGAGGCGCTGTAATTATCGTCTTTGATCGAGATGTCAATATCTCTTCGTTGCAAACGTGCGAAGACATGCTAACGGACGACACAGTCATGGCTCTCGGTGGCGCTGACTATCTTCTATGCCGCTGGGCGACGAAACATCAGCTTATCGTATTCCTACCAAAACGGGAGAAAAGCAAATATACTGATTTTTCTATACATCCAAAAAAATTCATATATCTATATATACTTACTTTCCATCATTGCACATCTAGCTCTGTAGTTTAAGTGTTGTCGTCGTCGTCGTCGTTGGTGTTGATGCTGCCTTCATAATCACTAGTGTTGATTTCCTGCCTTTGTAAGTGGACCATCTTTGTATTAATATAAGTATTACTACATTTTGTTAACAGACTCTATGAAGCTTCAGTTCCGATCAAGCAATTTCACAGAAGATGGACAAAAGTTCATCCTTGATGTAGGCGATGAACTGGTATGTACTGTAAAACACATGAATCACATGAGCATACGCATAATATGTACGCGTGTATTCCTAAAACTGTATGGCAGCTTTCCTAGACACCTCGCTCTATTTCGAATAGTAGCTAATAATATCTGCTATAAGTGTTCATAACGCGGTGAGCACCTCAATATGCCTACAATAAACTAACCAACCAAAAATTGAGTGACAAGGTTTTTTTACCGCTACGACCATCTGAAGCGCTGTAGCAAAAAGCACAAAGCTCTGAAATTATGTATCTATATGTTGTCTTCACCAAAAAAACCTCCCTTGTCAGAGAAACATTAGGATTTTGTTCGAACTTTGTTTGAAGAAAGCTTTTTCTTATTCAGCCATTTTTCAAAGTATAAAAAATTACCTTCTCTTATCATGCAACTAGCGGCCCTCTAAATAAATATATTGACTAATGACGTACATCTGTTTCCGTATTCCGGACAATGTTTACCTAAACGTGCTGTATTACGTTATCGTCTCAGAAAACGGACGCCAAGGTACAAGAAGTCAAAGATGCGCCGATATATGTGGCTATTACCGGCCCGAACGTTATTCCGTATTGTGGTGACTTCGAACTGTTCGCACACTATTCATGGTCTAACGGCGTACCTGAAGTTTTCCAATGGGCCGTTCAACGAAACGACAGCATAAAGATTAGTGATAAGGATCCCTTAGGCATGGAGATCAAACGTGAGTATACCGTTTGTTGTATCACCGTTAGCTCATAAAGTCATTATGACTAAATAAACGTTTTCATATTTTTTTCGGACGTACGTTAACCTATCGAAACAAGTGTGCGAAACGCGTATTGCCTACTACTAAGTAGCTTGACGTTAGTTTAGAAGTGAAATCCTTTCCTTGGAGATGACTAGTGAAAGCTCTACCTGAATGTTACATGTGGCCTTTGCTTTTTTATGGTCATTCGATCGATATTTCCCCAGGCACAAGCGGATCCACGTTGAATCTTGCTTCGGAACTTTTCGATTATGGCGTCCGGTACACATTTACACTCAAGGTAGCACCACGCAATCCATGTATACCTCTCTCAATAAAATTATTAGAGACTTTATGGCATCCGAACTGAAATAGGATTCAAGGTTTCGTTGATTCGGTCCGAGTGAAACTGACTAATTAAGTTGCTTTGGCCGGCACCGGTTGTCTAGGTCGGACAAGGGAAAAATGCGGGGGAAGCAAGCCACCAGCTAATTCGGCATGAGAATCCAGGCCCGATGGTACTTCTTTATAGTACGACAATGCTTCAGCTCGAACCCGTGACCGTCTCGCAGTCCGAGTAAGAAAAAGCGTTTATTTCATTTACTTACTCAGAATTAATCATGTAACTGTGTTTCATACAAATTGCATGACTATATATATATATATATTTTATAAGAGATGAGACATTTGAGTTTGCTAGTTAGTTTAAAGATCGGACTTCACTACAAGGACCGGCAAGGCATTGAAAACACTACGAATAGTGCGTCATGCACGTGAGAAGGCGAAGCCCGTTATTATCACAAATTCAGTTGGATCATCTGTTCAATTATGCGCAATCAATGTTACAATCTCAACATCCAGTGTTAGCTACCAGTGAATAGGTAAGATGTAGGAACGCTAGTAGAACGATGGGCTTTTTTTTTTTTTTTTAATATAACACATGTCATCGGGATCTTGTGTACTTCCAGTATCATCATTTATGTCGAGACAATCATCCCTGATACGGAGCGCTGCCCAAATGATACGTTCCATGAAATCAAATACTCCTGGCGAGTTGATAGGCCGGACGTCAAATTGGACCCTTGTAGTCTCGACAGCGGTACAGTCTATCGCGTACAGCCATACGCACTACCACGTATGTAGTAAGATTGTCATACTTATTACCCTAGGTCATTTTATTTCCTATGATACCATGTATACGTTTTTGAGAAAATGCGCCGAGAGAACTAACGCGATAGCTCTAATTCCTCCTCTATTTTATCGTCTCACAATGCAAATGAGTTGAATGTTTCTGTATGTAGGACGATTTTTTTTCTAGAACAGCTACGTGTTTCCTCGTTTTCAATGGTATACTGAATGATTTATCGAATGTCAGCCTTAACTGGCGCCTTTGTGCGCACCCCTTAATTGACATTGATAGGTAAACATCAGTTACGTTAATTCTCTAACGAATTCTAAGTTCGGCTATCGACCCTGTTTTTCTAGCGAACGCAAACGTAACCTTCACAATACGCGCGTACATGTACGAGATTCGTGATAATGGAGCGGAAACCATTCACCAGCTGGAGTTTCATTCCGAGTCGAGTGTATCAATAAAAGTAGCGCCTGCAAAGCTCCAGGCGGTACTGCGGGGAACTCCGCAACGTGAAGTCGGCGACGGAACGGCATCGAATCACTACTCGTTGATCGTGGACGCATCGCCGTCGAGTCACCCCACGATACCAGTCTCCTATCTTTGGAGCTGTATCGATGATGTTGGTATTGCACGAAGCTATTCTTTTGTTGACAGACAACACGGTAGACAAAAAGAGCATTTTTTTTTCGTAAACATAAAACCTCATAGAACAAACATGCTGTTCGGTTCCTTGCCATTCTATGAGATAATTGTTAAAAGACTCAATATTTTTGAAACAGAAGCAACAGCCGTGTTACGACTTCGGTCCTCGGGCAACTTCAGAGTTGCTTGTTGATCCAACAATTCACAATGGGCCCGTGCTGAACATCAGTACCGAAGGACTTCAGCCTCACCAAACCCTGAATTTTTCCGTTACCCTTTACCGAGCAGACAATGGAAGCGCCACAGAACCGTCAACGGCTTTCGTAATTGTCAACACACTCGACCATATCGCTCCAATGGTATGAACTTTTTTTCCACAAGTCGTCTATGTATGCAGAGCGAACGCTGTACAAAATTAAATTATAAATACAATATTGCTAACGCTATCGAAATAATACCACCACCCTAAATAAATAATCCATCCCACCACAGGAATCACTCGATGCAGGTCCATCAACACATATTACCCTAAGATGTCTCTTTTGCCTTATGTGCAACTTAGAGATACACAAATTGTTCGCAGATGTCTCGTTCCGTTGTTTTGCTCCGTTCATCACTTTTATAACAGAAAAGGTTTTTTTAACGTTTTGTTGGGCATGAGTTAAGGCATGGTTACATGAGGTACGCGTTCGCGATAGTCCTGTATACGAAATCGATAAAGCCAATGGAGCGTTTGTCATCCCCGCCGGACAACCTGTCGTGCTGCACGTCAAATTTCGCTTCGTGCATATCAATCGAGTGCAAACACATTGGGACGTCGACGGATTTCCGACCAGTCATGGAGCGATCGGGTTTCGATCGGGTCACGAGGGTGATTCGTTCCTTTCGCTGCCTGAAGGTATCGACGAAAATACTCGAGCCTATATATATATATATATATATATATATGTATAAGAGCTTCGACAAACACTTGCTTCTTTCCTCATGTCATTTGATTTGTCTTGGTTCATTGCTTATTCTAGAGTTAGTGTGGATCCAAGTGTAGATATCTTCCCGCCTTCTTTTTGACGCATCAAAAGGAAAAAGTGGATTTTTGCATGTAAAACAAGCGAACTTACTACAGGTTAATTCCGCATCTTCCTCTACCGCAGGGTCAACAATTGCCCATGGACAATACCGAATCAAAATGCGTATTTGTGAAGGGGCTCAACATTGTACGCACTTGCGGATCAGCCTCTTCGCTAAACCAGGTGTTTCCCTGTGCAGATTGACCCTGCCTCTGTTCGAGGAGGTTTTAGAGGTAAGAAGAATAACCGCGTACACAATAAACATTAGTGCTGATAGGTTCAGGTAGTAATCTCTGGTCCCTGCGGGAAGTCTTCTTTACTTAATACATGTGCGGTGGTATTGCAGATGAATCATAGTAAGGCGCTCAAATATATTCTCACTAAACCTATCGCTAGCGGTTAATTTGACCGTTTTACCTGTCCTTTTTTTTTTATTTAATTTCTCATATTTTAACATAATCATATGGTCATAGGACTTTATGCCATAGAAAAAACCTACAGTTACATATAAAAAGGAGTATAAAACTTTTTTTTAAATCGGTCGTTTTGATCGCGTACCGTTCGAAATCGAATATAAGGAATATCGATAGCATATGTGGTACCGCGCATTAAATTATGAATTATTCAAGTAACGCTTGGGGACGACGTAGACTCGCATCAATTTGTATCGTTTCCTGTAATTTCTATCACATCTATTTCAGGCGTACAACCGTTCGGAGGCTCACGTTTTAGGGTGTTCGATTCCTCTCGCTATTCATCCACTCACTTATCAATTATTCGTTCAACGAGAGAACAATAGTTGGATACCTGTATCGACCGTTCAGCATTCACCACTAATTCCATTTTACGTTCCATTGCCTATTCAGAATCAGACCACTTTGGCTGTGGCCGTTTGTGATCGGTTTGAGCAGTGCTCCTATTTTTACAACAAATCTGTTCCCACAGTGGAAAGCTATAATGAAACATACAGTAATCAAGAGATGTTCGCCAACATACATCGGCTCGTTGCTGCAGGTAATTAACTCTGGGGCTTATTTGAGCCATTCTGTACATTTTTATCATGTTACGTACTAATGAGGTATATAAATGGTAGCTGGAATCGATTTTTTTTGCTATCTTATCATAACAGTACCTGCAATCAAACTAATTGATCCAGACTATCAATTCTCTCTCAAACTCTATTTGTAGGACGTTTCTCTCTACGGGTCCATCCGAGCATGATTCGCTAAAAATTTTCGTTTATATTCGTTGCAGCCATATATTTTGAATCTAGGGAAAAGTGTCCTCTAGCTAAATGAGAATCAAAAAAATGAGACAAAAATGTACTTAGACACAAGCACACGATACGATATTCCACTTTCGTCAGATCATCAACTCAAGCGTACCTTATCCAACGGCATTTGCGCAATAAGTACATATAGCCCCTGTATCCGTGTCTAATATACCTACATTTGGTTTGTCGATGAGAATCGTTACTGGCGGTACTAAGAGACGTTTGCTACGACGTACATGAAGTACAATAGCTGATCGTCGACTTCATATATTTTTCCAGAACGTCACCTTGAAGCAGCTGCAATTCTTGTTTCGATATCCCTAGGTAGGGATCATCTTAACGAATCAACGTTAACTCCGGCGGAGAAAAGAGAGATCTTTGAAAGCAACGAACAACTCCTGACGTCGGTATTTGTAAGCACGTCAAAAAAGGATCTCTCACCTGGAGAGATTAATCTTATGTATGAATGCATGAAACTAGTCATGCGCGGGGGGAATGTCGACCAAAAGGCAGGAGCTATCGAAGCCACTGGCGCAATAACTGATCAGGTTCTTTATAACAAAGTAAGTTTATATATATATATATAGGCTAGTTAGAAGTGTATTGGCGCTTTTTAAACCTATATTGAAGCTAGTCTATTCAATGTTCTAGAACAATATTACTAAATTAGTATGGCGCTATCTTAATCGATGACCTTCCACCAGTTCTCTCATAACACTATGATCCTATTATAGAACTTCTTTGGTCTCCGACCGAACAATTGTGAGAGGTAGTCTTTTCACACCTCCTATTGAAACTTTATGAATGCCATCAAGAAAACTTCTGCAGAAACCAAAAAAAAATTGATTGTTTGAAAAAAAAACCATGAAAAAAAATTGAAAAGCTGATTGTGTAAAATCAGCGGATCCACTGAAACTTCTCATTTAAATATTTCTAGTTTTTAGCTAAGAGGTATATGTGATCTGGCATTGCCATAGTAGGAGATGACGCCTCTTCCGTTCACTAATTGTAGTTTTGTAGTACGGGCTTTGAATCGATTCTCTTGCGAAGCGATAGCAACTTATAATGCACGATTTCTCTTTCGAGCCCTACCAAACTCATAACTTTGACATCATACCACAAATACAGAAATGGCTCGATTGAGTTATACTTCTATAGAGTTGCACACATGAAAATACGGTCGAGTAAGTTTCTTTGTGTTAACTTGTGCCCAAGCATCGACTAGCGTTTTTCAAATCGTTTCAAGCTGTTTGGTGATGGATGTCTAGTCTCAATTTCTACAATAATTTCATCAACTTCAATTTTTCGTATTTGACGAAAACCATTACGAGAAATACCTACCACATTAAAAAGACACAGGAAGAAATAGACCAAACCCTTGGACCATTTCTCCAGATAGTGAATCTTAACCATAAACAGGAGAACTTATTTTATGAATTGTGAATGATAGCAAATCTTCAATGTTCAAAATGTTCTATCTAAAGTCTGAACAAAAGCGTTTCAACAACTTTAGCATATTTGTCACTGTTTTCAAAAGACACCAACAGTGGCCCTTATGTGACGCCACACATGTGACTTTAAATCCATCTAACTAGCGGAACCGTCGATACGTTTTTAAGGGTGAGGTATCGAATTATTTAGACAATCGCAGATACCGAGATGTGTAAACAACAATTGTAAATTGTCATGTTAATTTTAACTGCAGATTGAGGTAACTTTAATAGCAATGGAAGAAGCTTATAAGGCCGTTAGGCGTTGTGGCCAGCAACAGAAGCATGATCCCCAAATAAAGCGGAACGTCGAATACGCCCAGAAAATTATCGAAACTGTAATCGCTTCTCGACTGCCTAAGGGTCAATCCGTAAGTATAAACAGACTCAATGCCCACTGTGGGCAGCACTATATCGTAATTGCATTCAGACAGTATAGGAGCACCCATAGAGCGAAATTACATCCGCTGTAAGTTATGTATCAGTGTGCTAGTGGTATATTCACTTTAGCTAGATTTAACTTTCCGTGGTACTTCAGTGCTGTTATTTTCCAAACTTGAGATGATCCAGCGATAACGCATTAGCGTAGCGTGTTGGTAATGGTAATGAATATGACTTCGAATGCGGTCGTGAACGCCAAAAAACTATTCAGACCACCGTAGTAATTTTTCGTTGATTCTGATACGAATATACAGGTGCGAATCGTGTCGGATATAACGACAATTATTCAGCATCGCTTTACAACACGAGAGCCAATCATATTCCCCAATACGGCGCCCACCAACTCCTCGAGACAGGGCGTACCTGACGCGGTTATTCACTTCAAAAAAAATATCAATAACATGTTAGTATGAATGTTTGCCTATTTCTAGTGTAGTTCGTTTCTAAGTCACTCTCGCACATAACGGTGGACACATACGTAGTATACATGCATTGTGTATCGTATTATTAAGATTTATATATGTCGCCCTATTGTGATTATGCATACCGTTTAACTCTCCTCTGCTTCATCTTATCTTCGGATACAATGAAAAACACGGGAGACATGACAATGCCTTCTAAGTAGGCACAAGCAAGTTTTCAAGTGCATTTACTAGCATGTTCACGGTCCACGATTGGATCCCCGTCACTATTAGTATTCTTGCAATATTTACCTTTTTAAAAAAGTCACTTCGCAAACAGAATGTCCACAACTTCCACTGCTGTAGGTTCAATAACTGGCAATGTGGCAGTTCGCCTAAGGAGCCCAGAATATGCAACGCGGTCGTGGTTGTGGTTAACATTTACCCGTACAACCCGTTTTCTGATTCTACCCGGGGCACTATGATCTCGCCGGTAGCATCGATTACCTTCCGAAAGCCTGACACAGGTACGTCAGACTATCATGTGTCTTTCTATTATGATCATTATTGTTATTACTATTCCATCAGTTCAAGCCAAGATATCTGCGTGTACTTTACCCCGTTTAGACCGCAGTTGGACTTGTTAACTGGTACTCGTCGACTCATTATCATTTGCTATCCACGGAAATTAAAACCATTTGTTAATCGCATAGGTGAAGAACACAAAATTAGCGGGGTTAAGGATGCAATACACATTTACTTTCGGCAAACGGCGAACTTCACGAAGACCGCGGGGTATATCTCCTCGTGTTATCGCTGGCACGAAAGGAATGAGGAATGGGACACAGAAATGGTAAAGCTGCTTGGCACCGTCAGTAATGTGATACAATGTGCCACCGAGGTATGTTTGAGTTCTCATTATTAATCATTTTAGATAATTAGCTAATTTAATTTGTTGTTAATTGGTAGTGATGATGTCATTACAGCCCACTGTTTTCGTGGTTCCTTCAGATGGGTACTTACCTTTGAATAGGGCGTAACATATAGTTTCCGAGCAATGTAAAGCTTCGATCACCCTAGATTATAGAGATGTTAGAAAAACCCTGAGCAAGAAACAGTGGATTGTCAATTTACGCTGCTTTTTACTATGACCTTGACAACAATACCGAAATTGTTTTTTTTTTTTGGTCTAGATTTATGCCGGCGCCAATATATAGTTTCGATTTACATATGCTTCATTGAAGACGAACCGTACCACTGTGATTATTATGTAACTTTCTATATGATTAGGGTACGGGTTCTTTCATGGTCTTCAACGAGAAAGAAGGCCTGTCCACAGCAGCGATCGCCGGAATCGTCGTGGCCTGCCTAATGTTCGTATTCATTGTGGCGGCTGTTATGATGTTTATGATGCACAAGAAACAACAGGAGGCCGCCTTGAAAAGCGTTCGGTCTAATGGCCATCACGCCTCGAAGATTTCAGCTGCCGGCAGTCAAGCGAAGGGCAATGCAGTTGCTCCATTAAGTTAAAGAATTGTCGGAGAACAGCTACATGAATATACATGAATACAGATTGTAATACCCAAACTAAAACACATTGATCACATGTTCTGTGACCTGAGAGCAATAGGCCACGTAGGCTTTCACAGTGAATGATCTCTGTTTCATGCGACAGTACTGTGCCATTAAGAAAAAGACACCGCAAAATCATACAATGCGCCGTGAAATGTATTTTATTACTTTTGATATTGTATACTGACGTTGTTAATTTAATTAATAAGTATTATCAATCAATTGAAGATTCCATGATTTTTCATAGTGAGGAGGAAATATTACTGTGTTAGCGCTGACCACTTTTTCACAAAATGGGGGGGGGGGGGTACGAGTTCAGTGGACCAACCCTCTCGTAAATAGATTGTTCCATAGGGATAAAATACTACCGGGTTTCTACGAAATGAAACTTGAACAAAATCTCCGTGAAATCTGAATTCAGCGTCACAACCTCCTCTGCATACGTTTTCCGTCAAGGGCATGCTTTGAATAACGTCGGGATTCGAAGTACCTTTGAATCAAACTTTTTTTAAAGAAATATTGTCATGAAGATGGTACATTCACTTTCAACTTTTGATAGCTAGGAATTTTTAGAAGAATAGTGTGAACCAGATGATTTGAAAACGTATAGATTAATACAGATTTCATAGAGGACATTCAGATGTATACTTGCCAAGAGAAACGTTACCTGCAAGCAAGGAAGCAAAACATATATATAGTGTATTTTCCAATGTAAACAAGACGATAATAATTTTATGAAAAATATTGGAGGTTTATTTAAATTTATTGATATCGATATGACTTACCTGCATTACATTGAAATTGTGTACATATATAATGAAGTTGAGATAAAGATGAAATTTAGCGGAGCGAGAGTATGGAAAAGTTAAGATAATAGCATGCAGAACACTCCTGTGACGGACTGGCATATTACAGATAAACTAATATAATTAGTTCGGACCATGTTTTCTCTCTAATATTCCGTTTAAATCAATCACTTTAATTAGTGAATTACTTGAGATCGCACAATTAGAAGTAGCGCTTGCTTACCATTAGCAATTGCCAAACTGTGTTGATGCTCGCATTTTTATGGCAACACTTATTTTCGATAATCTATCGACGCTGCAGGAGAAACTTCTAAGCTTCACGGGCTTATAATTAAAATGACTACGGCCTTTTTGTAATAGATTATTATCGAATCATAATCAGGCAGTTTCTCTGTTTCTTCTGTTAATGACATATACCCAAGGAATTCGATCGGAGTCCCGAATATGTCCAGACAGAATAGTTGTAAGAACAATCCCTGTAAAGTTATATATTAAAACAACTTGTTGAAAAATTTTTGCGAATGCGTTTCGTTAAATGCACGGAAAGTTGACGGTTTCAACAAATAACGTACAGAAAACATTTTCAAAGACCAACGATGGCTTTCATGAACATGTTTATATATCTAGTTGCTTTCTCTTTAATGTCACGTTCAGGTAGAATCTAAAGGTAGCTGATACTCACAATTTTCAACCCAGCTGAAGTGTAGCCCAGGTAGATTTTACTACATGGCTAATCTCGGCAAATAGAAGTTCGAACTAGAGTAGACTAGAATATCGTAGACTGACGCCCGAAATAATCTGTCTAGCAACTGAAATTAAGTGCAAAAGAACAAAGCTGTTAAATCGTAAAAACCGATGTCCTGACCGAAGGAAAAAACCAATTCTTTACTTTACGAGATCCTACCTTTGATGGGCGTTATTTTATAAGCAGAGGGATTAAATTTCGATGAGAATACGCTCAAAAACATGTCAGTCCGGCATTGAGAGAACGAACCAAGATTACGTAGGATAGGCAAAGAGTCTCAACCATATCTCCTGAAACTCTATTCTATCATATGCGTATATATGAAATGAATATTCTGTATGGGTGTGTATGTATAGAAGATATTGTTGACTGGCAAACCTTAGTGATCCGCCAAATGTTTCAAGCCATAACAAAAAATCAATTTAAGGACTCACCATATCCTCTGTCTATGTATGCCCTACATATACCTATAACCGAATGCACCTTTCAAAGGCGCTGATGACATGTAGCCTTAAGTTGCTGTAACTATAATTGAAAGTACAATACCAGAAATCTAGGTACGATTATCCACATTATTGAAGTTTTCAATTAATCCAAATAAGGGCATCCGAAGTCATCTTTTGCACTTCGGGTTCGTATTTTGGAATTCTAATAATTGGCCTCATATTGTGTGAAGTATAAAAGATAATGAAGTTGGCGTAAGTTCATATATCATTGAATACAAAATCACGAAAAATGATCGACCAGCGTTTGAGAGTGTTTTAACGAGACCACAAATAACTTCATTCTAGTAGGTATCAATTATATAGTAGTTGAAATACAATGTCAATATTTGTCGCTGCGGCAAATTCTAGTCGTTTACTATATGAATTAGTCGATGAGCTAATTTCGTTTCTAGTCACTGGTCCCCCCAGAACTTCGCAAGACTATCTGTAACCTCCAAAGGTATTCATCAGGACATTGAAGGCTTAAACAGGCAGGCGAACATTTACCACTGTATTTCAAAAATTAGCTAGAAAAAAAGAAGTTTTTGTCGAAGCAGATTGGGCTACTGTGCTAGAAAACCCTACAAAAAATACTGTAATAATATAATACAACTTAACAGAATGCCCACATATACTCTGCAATGTTTTTTTTATACATAACGTTCTGAAATTCTAGTTACCGCAGCAAACGTTGAAATCCTAATAGAGTTTCATTAGAGAATTCAAGCGACGTTAGTTATAAAGTGTTTTCAAGTTTTTATAAACCCCCTTGTACATTAGAGATGCGTACACGCACCGTACTCCAATCACTGCTGCAGTAAGTATGGTATTATCATGTAAATGCTATAGTGTACGTTTTTCTGCCTGGCGAAAAGGACCAGCGCTTTTGCTGAGCTGTGGCAATAATTTTTGTGTGACTTTCCTCTTGAGTATTAATGGACAATTTGATTTATTTCGAACTTTTTCTCTGTCGATTTGGAAGCTCTAATGGAGCTATAAACCTAATTTCAAGATGCTTAATTAAAAGATGGCAGCGAGTACGTGGTAGCTCAGGATATTCGTGCAAAAGAATGCACCTGTCGTAGTTCATGTCTTTTTTTGCAAGAGTTCACAATGGTGATACTTTCGCAGAGTGTCAATAATGTTTATGGCACTCTGAGAATCTACTTTGAATATGTGAGGCGTAGATAATGGCAGGCCTGGCTATGCCAATAGTGACCACATTAGAACTAACTGACTATTGAACAGATAAACGAAATCAGCGTGACACGAAGGTGGACGCTCCAGCCGTGCGCGGTCGTACTATCTCCCTAGGTAACGCAATTTTCGGAGGTACGCTGTGACTTCTTTCTGATAAGTTACAGAATCCACTTGCGCCTGTTTCGTCCCCAACTGCAAAGAAACTGCATTGAATTTTTTTGTCTAGAACATTTTGGTAAATCTTAGGCGTAAAATAGCTCTACGTTTGACACATTTAGAAGAAAACTGCCCTTCTCGCTCGCAGATTTATGATAAACACACTTGGGCAAACGCATATCAACGGCACATAGAAGCACCATAGGTTTAACCCAAACTACATATAGGATGTTGTGTTTCGTTTCAAATGTGGGACAGATCAAACCCATCCTTATCAAAAATTTGAGCAAGGCAGGTAAATCAAAGCAACAAACAATTCCTCTTTTTTGATCTACAAATACATATTTAAATAGTATATTTTTAAACAATGCAAAATCACTTCTCTTACAAACAATCAACTCTCGGTTAAAATTATACCAACCATTGAAAACAGTGTCCAGAGTGTGGAGCCCCCTAAAGTACGCTTTCTGAGTTGTTTCCTCCCGCTCTGTTTCAAAATAAATGTCCCTGTAGATGTGTATTTGCAGAATAAAAAATAGAAGCAAATCATATATCATCTTAGTTTACAGAACAATCGTAAAAGGTTGATTGATTCGTCATAGAATAGCGTAACTTCTTGTATATTTAAGTTATTTCAGACAAAAGTAAAACCTCTGGTTAACTGCGTGCCATTGTATGCCCTCAACAGTACTTATTTAATATTTCGCTTATTTATTAGGTGAACCTTCAAATTCTAAAACATCTAATGAGTTAGTGTGTAACAGAAATCTGAATGAACGTTATGTTCATTAATTAATATGTTCAGAATTAATAGTTAGTGCCATTTTTTCCAATCTAAGTTCAGTTACATGTGACCCTCAGCTAACCATCATATTGTTTTGAGGCTTCTTCTCCCCCTTCGCTTTAAAGTTTGGACCCGTTGCTGGTGCAATTTCAGGCCTCGACGTGACACCGTGGCCCACTTAAACCACACATGGATAAGTCAAACAATAGTCCCTCCAACTACCCCTTCTAGGATAACAAATCGTTGACGCCGTACCGAAGAAGATATGATTTAGAAAAGTGTTTTCTACTAAAAAGTACTAAAAGAAAAAAGGCCAGATTTCAATCAGCGAATGTGTTCCTTATATTGCAACTGAGTAATTCGTAAGCGTTGTTTGGGATCGGTTCTTCCACCGCTAAACAAAACATAAACCATTGATCGATGGAACTATTGGAGAAGCTAACGTTACTTGTTCGTAAATGAATGTTTCTGTACTCGCTGTTGATAACACCTGCGCTCATCATATCGTAATTGATTCACTTGCCAAGTATCACGACACTATCCGATAGAGTGATTAATACGAAGGGGTTGTTCGAGCATGTAGACCTCATCGTTCGAACTATGGAACAAATCGATCTTAATGCAGGATTGATAAGGCCACGAGCGATTCTCGTCGAATGGGCGCGTTGTATCGAAACGCATGGCACAAGTAAATACGGCATACTCTACTTGAAGGCAACTTTTTATTCTCTGAATCCAGCTCGTGCGAACGTGTCGTGCATCGTTGAACCTATTATATGGACTGTACGGTGAGTAAGTCTTAACTTTCTTGGTAATCCCCAAATAATCGCTTGGATAACGAATCATCATCTCAACGATAAAAAGACGTTTGTTTCACGACGACAGATTTGTTCCCCAGCTTAGCCGACTTCTCGGAAAAAATCGAGAGCATCAATAATAGATACCATTAACGCAGAGGATGCTAGTACCTAAGGCACGCCCCAACGACCCCGCGTACAAGCCCCCAAAGAAATCAACAGCTCGTTGTCTCATTATGGCCGTACGCATTCGCGCAATTCAGCCGGCGCTTGATGACCCGGTAAAAGGCGAAGGTTAGTCTTGGACATGTCTGTGTTAGGCCAATGTAATCGGAAATACTACAGCGTTGTATCTTTTAGTCATAAGCACTGCTGCGAGCCACGCTGGTGGCCATAACACTACGTGCTATACTCCCAACAAAAGAACGATGATGAGAGTAGATTCACTTCCGCTATCGGCGCACATCTGAAGGGTCGGAGCTATCCAAGCGCTGTTCAACCCAGCTAATCTTTAAAAATCACTGCTTCATTTCCCACGGCTGTATTTACCGTCTGCATGACTTGAAACCGTTGTGATCGCAGTGGCTGCTGTCAACGAGGTCATTCGCCAGTGCAAAAATCAACGAGTTCATGCTAGTACCAGATCTTAGCAGCATCAGGCTGCCCAACGGCGATGATTTCATAATAGGCTCATTACGTGCGGTCTACTGCTCATTATCGCAGTATTCGTCTAACCCGCACGACTACGACAACAAGCCAAATAGCAATGGCTACGCTACATAAAGGCCAGGCTTGCCACACCCGCATATCCAATTGTACTCAGATAATCATAATCTGCTAAGGTCAATACGATTTTGATCTATATCGAGTTGTTAATTGCTTTTTCAATATCATTATTTTTATCTAAACACGACATTTTCATATGACTTTTATTCAGTGTCTTTTAACTGTACAGTGGCCCAAATACAAGTTTCTACTTACTATATAGGCCATGTGGCGTTAGCACGGACAATTATTCAAGGCGTATTTAATAACAGAATCACATCATGTTCTTTCACAGTGCTTGGCACTGTATACCACATTGTATCGAAGGGCTACCAAGGCGAAATCGTATAGATTTAGTGTATGAGGCTGTCACAAGTGAATCTCCTTCTTCAAAAAGTCCGAGCTTGAGATCGTTCCAGAGCTAAAAACGTTACCATAAGACACGTAATGGTCGTGTTCGCTCTTGTTATTGTTGTTTACGGTGTGCTTGCTGATTTAGCTTTCAAATGCGAGGACGGCCATCTCCTCATTCAACTGAGTCCAATTGAAAAGCATAGGCGTTAAACGTAAATGCGTATTCCATTTGGAAGTTCACACGTAATAATCAGAAATGGCCTCTGTACTGCTGTAGGTCTAAGGATAGGCACAGTATAAAATAACAATTTCGCAGGACCAGCGCTCTACTCAGGGGCGTTTGTTATGTTCGAGTAGTAGAAAGAAATAGAAGCACTAATGATAACCGAATTATGGCTCGTCTGAAGGAAAAATCTGCGTGATGCTCATGTTAATTCTTTGTTGGATTTGCTTGTGACAGCCTCATACATTAAATCTATACGATTTCGCCTTGGTAGCCCTTCGATACAATGTGGTATACAGTGCCAAGCACTGTGAAAGAACATGATGTGATTCTTTTATTAAATACGCCTTGAATAATTGTCCGTGCTAACGCCACATGGCCTATATAGTAAGTAGAAACTTGTATTTGGGCCACTGTACAGTTAAAAGACACCGAATAAAAGTCACGAAAATGTCGTGTTTAGATATTATTATAATGACGACAGATCTTACCTCAATATATTCTTGCTGTCAACTTTAATATTAGTTAGTGGTTATGGAATGGCTAACGGTTCAAGTAAACTCGAATCATTTATTAGTATTTACAAAGACTAAGTATTACAAATGCAATTCTCGTTTACTATTGTTTGTAAACAAAATTACTTACAGTTATAAAAAAAAATAGCCTACTTATCGAAAACATCATCTGCCTAGACTAACTATACTGATGTGAACTAGGCATTTTCCGTATAGTCACCCGTAGCATCGACGAAAAACAAAGTACAGGTGATTTAATGCGGCAATGTACTATTGCCAGATTTATTTCCACGATACATACGAACTTAAAACGTTAGTTCTTTTTCAATTGCTAAACTTATTGCTGCAGCCATTTGGCCACTTCGTGTTCGATCTTTGTTCGGGCCTGTGTTAATGTATTAGCATCAGTGGCTGCCGGCGGATACATATCGGCGCAGTGAGCTGTTCCAACAATGTAGTTTGCCGTCACGCTGTCCGAGAGGTTCTCTAGAATGCTTAAGGTGTGCCACGGGTCAATCGATCCATTCGGGAACGTGACATTGCTCAGCTGAGGGTATATGCCGCCGTACTGGGTATTCGTGCGGAAGATAGCTCTGTTAAGCATTGCGTTATCGAAGAAATCGTCAAAAATATCACGGCACTGCTGGATGAATAACTGAACCGGGAACTGTTGACCAAACGGTTGGTCCTTAGCATCTGAACTTTGGAAAAAACCAAACTCTACACAGGTTTGGTACATCCATTGGCGTCCACCTTCTCCTGAACGTGCATCGTAACTGACGTTGCGCATTGATCGGACGAACTTATCGTAGTCATAATCTAGACAGGTCTCGTTGTTGCTCTGTAATATCAGATCGTTTACAGCTACAAGACCGTCAAAAGGTTCGTTACTCATCATGAGATCACATACCGTATCGATGGTGATGTTACTTGGCCCGCTGATACGTTCGTCCTTGTTGTATTGGACAACACCTTCAAAAAGCCCGGCCATGGTCTGAAAAAAGTTCTGCATGTTCAACTGGTTAAACGCGTCGAACGGAACACAGGTCTTGAATTGACCATCAATAATGGCCCATTTTTCACGACGCGCGGCAAGTTTCTCCAGGTGGGCGAAGCCGGCCTTAACCTTGGTACTACAATCCGGACCAAGTGAATCACGCACAACGCGAATATAGTCGACAAAGTTTATAAGTGCTACCATCGGAGCTGACGACGCCACAGCTCCAACCGCGAGATGTGGGTACTTCAGTTTAAACCACGCGGCTAACGAACCCGAATACGAACCACCAAATACTACCCAACGAGCATTCTGATCAAGTTGTTTCGAAACTGTTATCGAATTGCGAAACGCCGCCGCGTCAGCCAGTGCCTGGTCGCTAGAGAGGTAGGCGAGATTTGACGTTGTTAAATCAGTAGTCGGTCGACTTTTGCCATAGAAACGATGCTCAAGCTGGAAGACGAGAGCTCCGTATTTCTGCGCCATAATCATCACGTGCGATGGCGCTGATAGCCATTTTGCTGAAGCCTCACCTTCGCCGCCCAGTAGTAGAAAAACGGGTCCGCCCGTTTTGTAGAACTTAGCATTGACCATATAACGCTGCTTCCATGTCCGACGATCGGCAGGATTGAAATTATCGAGACGCTGCGTGATCCACAGAATTTCAGGCTCTCCGTAAAAACTAGTCGAGTTGTCGAATTTTGGCTCTCCAAGCATACCATATTTATGGTACGGCCTGCCTCGATGCAACTTGTACGCATTACCAAAGCCGGCAAATGCCAGCAATACCAAAAACGCGATCACCATTTGGTGCATGGCGGCAAAAAGGCAGACTGACAAACCAGTTCATGCAGCCTATTAAATCACTATTAGACATAAAGTGGCTGACGAGGTGGCGTATCCCAACGAGTAGCTTTTCGCCGTAACGGCTATACTTAAGATGATAAGCTTGAAGAAAGAGCAAGCGTCCAATGAGAAAGGGCTGTCCGGTAGGTGATGTGCGGGTGTTTGTCATAAAAAAAGGGATGTGCTGTTGTTGAAGCGGCAGCCGCAACTACTACCGCGTCAACGAAACGGTCGGAGATTGTTTTGATATGCCAATCACTTTCACCGGCAGGCGTCCGTAGTGGAAAGTACTCAGCGATATAGAACGGTAAACACATCTTGTTGCAAACAAAAGATTACAAAGGAGTCGGCCGATATCTCTTGACATGGAAACAGCAAGTGTCAATATATATCCATATTAATTTATACTCAATAAACTCACTATAGGAAAACTATCAGCTGTATCAAACTATCGACAATGGAAACAGTACTGAAGAGTTAGATAAACCTGAGACGAGCAATAGTAGTCTTGATTGAGGTCCCGCTTGAGACGTTCTGAAAAACCGCCAAATTCTATTTTGAAAAACATAGGTCTTCTTCCCCATGAGAAAAGGTCAAATCGCACCACTAGCATAGGCTGAAACGAAACACGATTTGTCATGTACCCTTGCATAACCTTCCTACACAACTAGTGTACCGCCTTCGTCGGATTTTCTTAATTGTGTTTTCTGTTTTCATTAGTGAGAGTTTTGACGTCTTTATCTGCTAATTGTCAATTTTATGTGCTAAATCACACCATATAAAACCACTTGATATCGTTTAGTCTGCGTCTGTAAAGGCCTATGGACAGCTAGACCAAATTGGTTTGAATGGTTGCACGCTTTTTCACCAAGATCGATCCTAAATTTTTAGATTTTTTTTACTTAGCATTTTTAATTAGCATCTCGGAAGTAATATTGATTCATTATATGCTTTTCTTAAGAAGCTTCAGTTCATTAGTATCTCTATTTCTCAAAGCTGTTTCTTAAAAATACTCTCATGTGAATGGTCGTTTTACCACATCGTAAGAACAGGTCATTACTAGGACATCATGCTAATAAAGTGGTTTTAATCGATTCCAGCCTTAAAAATTAGCTACGAGCATATTGCAATGTTCTAAACCTGAAGCCGACGTCACAAACCCGTCTATTTCGCATCCGGTGCAGAAGTCTACTTGGAAGCTCCATTGGCAGGTCTGACAGCAAACTATCCATATCAGCCGGCTGGGACATTTGTACAAAGTTGTATCTCAGTGATAACTAAAACTTCGATGATAATATATTGTGATCATATGTTAAGCTTGTGTTTATTTAGTTTCCATATTCAGCTAGTTTACGGTAGCGAAATTCAGGGCTTCGACTGTTGGAGTCCAGAAACGGGCATATATCTGACATGTGTCCTACTAAGTCTTGTATTCACGCTGCATACTGTTGCAAAGTCATTGCGATATTATTAACTTTATCCAGTACTGTATCCAGCACTCATTTGGTTGCGAAAACGAAGTACTCGCTAAAGTAACATTCAGCCACCTCACCAAGGTCACCTCAGCCTTGAAACGTCAATACAATTAAGAGGTCGATCAGTAACATCCTTAACAAGCAACAGAACTATGAGACACCAGCGTCTACATTTTAATGTATCTATTCACTATAACGTATTAGTTGCTTTTTCTTTCGGCAACTAACACGGTCATCGTATCAAGCAACAGTTTTGCTGACTACTCGTGAAAAACATAATTGCGCAATCGGTTTTGAAAAACTCAGGGCCAGCCTTAGAACACCTACGCCCATGGATATTTCGAGTAAATGAATTTCAGTACTCAAGAACTTGATTAAGCAGTCATCAAAGTAGACGAAACCCAACATTCTACAGTTTGTAGGTGGATCACCGAGGTCCCACTGACATCACAACTATCGAATTTGAATTAACTTAGCTCAATTTATTTATGAGTGATTCTTCCATAGGCATCCGTAACTCGCAAAGGAAATATCTGGATGAAACGTCAAAGATAGACATGGCGGTACTTCGAATTCCGTCTACAGATGGACATTAATATACACGATAATCACCAGCAAGAAAAAAGAAAAGAGAGCACCTTTTCTTACATATTCATCATTTAGGCTGGCGCTTTGTAGAATTCAAAGTAGAACCATATTCGTTCCTATTGTACTGATAAGACTATCTATTAATTTCGGGATGCGGGGCTTTTTCCACAGCAGCCCTATTATGCACTTCGAGCGCATTGTAACCAATAATAGCGCATTATTGGTGAGTGTGGTGGGCTAAGTGAACTGATCTCTATAATGCATATTGTTTTGATATAATCTTAATGCTTAGTAGCGCAAATATGATCCATTAACTTCGCAACCAATCTTGTTTTAACGACGAAAAAGTATGTGGCTAAAAAAGGCAGGCATGTTTTTGACATATATATTCTTACGTACTTTTTTCATGCATATTTCAAACAAAGCAAAGAAAAAGTTCAGACTGTGGGAATGCTCTTTAAAATCATATCTTGTTTAAGTTCACACAAGTCTGAGACACTGCTGCAATTTTAGTCTCACAATAAGCATTTAAAACAGTAATCAGTCAACTCAATGTTAGTATAGTTAGATTTATTTTCTCCTCACTGCGGAATCCGACTTGTCGCAAGCAGTTGTTCTCTTAATTACTACTGCGGCTTGTTTGTTTCGTATTTGTTATGTTAGATCCGAATAATCACCCACCTTTTTCTGAGCATCGCCTGATATAATTTGATGACGTAGAGAACTTCTATTACAGCGCATTGTTTCTATCATTATTTATTTTTATGCATTACGGTGGAATATTTTTTCTCATTATTGTTTAATGCTTTATTCCTTACTCTTTCGTGAGCATTAAAGACATGACCTTACAGCGTAACCAATGCAAACCTATCTAGTCTTTGTCAAATACCGACTGTCTCTCAAATAAGTACTATAGGACGTTCCAGTACATGTATCATACTCACCATCGAAAGGATGAACAAAAATTAGCGGCTGAGCACAATATAACATAACAATATATGGAAGATACTGGCGTTATTGCCAGCATTACAAACCATTTTAGTTACAGTATCTCACGACGCGCGCGCAACACAAATACTCTGCGATACCACACTTAGTGATCAATGCCTAAGAATAGGTGGCCAAAATAAGTTATATCATATAGCTATGCAGAAGTTTGAAACGCCAAGCAGTCCTCAAGGCCGGTGCGTTCAAAATGTTCAGCTTTTTCACAGCAATACCTTTCACTCTGTGCTTAATCAGAGGAAATCTAAGAACTTTTATGACGCCTTAAGAAATAATAATACTGATCAGCTTACTTGTCCTTCTCCCGAAAGTAACTGCGGCTGCAAGTGAGTTCATATATAGTAACGAATCTACGAGTTGTTCTTTCGACACATACAGTATCAATATAGCAATAGGCAAAATCATAGTCATTCAATTATGGTGTGACTAAATAAGAATCACCAGAAATGCGGATAATGCAGCGAGTCAAAGAGTACAGTACTCGTGTTGGTATCGAAAACTGACTAGCACTCAGGGACGCTGCGGTCCATCAGCTTTTTGAGCAGGCCACCGGACGTGCTGAAAATAAATATTCAATGTGAATTTATGTTTATGTTGAGATAGTTCATAATAATGCGTTCATAATAATGCACACACATGTAATATATCATTTGTTAATATAATATGTTAATTGATTAATGTTAGAATACTGACTACTTGACGAGATGTTCGAAGATTATCGAGGGCATCATTGTAACCGTGATGGTTTGAGGGGAGGCCCGAATCAAGTCCTTAACAAGAGAGTCCTTCATACCGACGACGTTCTGCCCGTTCACCTAAACGAATCACAATACAAAAAATATAAGCTTTATATATATATATATATATATATATATATATATACACTGAGAAACATGTATATGTCTCAAGATATTTATATTAAGTAATTTATTTTTTCAATGATTCCACCTTGCAGCAGAGACCTTTTTTAATTTTTTTTAAGTTTTAAGTTTTTTTAAATTAATATATAATATGCGTGCCCCATAAATAGTATGCCTAATATATTTTTGCGATCTTCAGAAACTGGTTGCTTCAAAACCAGATTGCACACAAACCTCGAGAAGTTGGTGATTAATTAGTAGACCGTTCCTAGCTGCGGACGAGTCTTTGACAAGTGTATTGATTTTTCCGTCCTTGAAGTCAAAACCACAATATCCATTACTGTCTTTCAGCATTGTGACTGTGCGCTCGAACGGACGATCACGAACCGCCACCGAGATGTGGTCCCCTTGTGCCTTTCGAATGGTTTCATGAACCTGTTTTAGACTATAGCCGGCAACGTACTTCATAAAAAGTCCGATATAAAGTGTAACGGTTAGTTATCAATTGACATCCTCGGCGCGGCTATTACGAATCAGAAAGGCTTAACCGATTTAATGATCTGATCTATGTACAGCAAATCACAATGGGAGCTTCGCTCTGTTTATTTCTTCACCTCGTCATTGACGCTGAGTAGTTGGTCTCCAAATCTAAGACCGGCCATCGCAGCGGGGGTGCCCTTTTCAACCAGAATGATAAATACGCCTTTATTCACTGCTTCGAGACGAAGTCCAACCTAAACGCCAACGCACATAGAATATAAAACCCAGATTATTATTCAGTAAAAAGTGTCAATGAAAAAAGAATAAGAGAAAACAGCAGGACTGTGAGCTATGCTTAGTGAACATTAATGGTCCAAGTGGGAAATAATAAACAATACAAAAAACCTTCAAAGAAAATAGCATATTAACACTTTTAGAAGCATCAGCACTATCTAAAAATATGGCTAAATTAGTATATCTGTTAACCTTTCCTCTAAGGTCCTTGCAAAGAATAACTTCTCGGACACCGTGGGTGACTTGGCCTCGATATAGACCCATGCTCTGTCCCGAAAGTGGGGCAACAAGACTTTTTCCTCCAGCCGACGAAACGATCATGTCCGTCGAGGTCGCTTGAGCAGGAAGTGTTGGTAGGGCCAGCGTCTGCAGAGAAAACCCCATGTAGTCATCGAGAGCGGGATAAAGGCTTAGTCGAGACTCAGGTACCGGGGTGGACGAGTACGAAGGGGGCGGAGCTGTCAGGAAAAGTATATCAAATTAGTAAAAATAAGTGTTGCCGTTATTATTGTCATTGCTGCTGCTGACAGTGCCGCCGTATAGATGATAGCATAATGATAGCATATTTGCTCCATAAACTTAGAGACACGCAGTTATTTAAGTTCGAAGCTAGGCGTGGAGGCACTTCGGTTTCGTACTTAGAGAACAAGCTGCCCGAAGTAGTGCCTAGCGGTCCAAATACTGGACGTGAAATCCGAAAGATTTACCAGTGTATAGCCATGTTGCTAAAGTGTCGATTGAGAACTTAAAACGATAAAAACGTATGAACTGACAGCATAGATTTAGCACTGATAACATGTGTTATTGCTTCTTGAGCAATTAGGACAGGCGTATATATATTGTGCATATTCACCCAGTTCTGTCAAGTTTTGTTGCGCTTGTTGATTGAACTCATGTTCATTGAATGAAGCACGATCTTGGTAACTTAAGCGAAGATCACAGGCACTAATATCCTACTGGTGATACAATTAGTTTCAATTCACGATTGGAAAGGCGAGCAAATATTTCTCGAAGGCCGTAGTTCCTGTATAATTATTGTGTACTCCACGCCCTAACTTACCCGTAGGCGCTGTATTTGTGTACATGTCCTGGGCGCGCATCATTTGATCGACTTTCATGTCCTCGAGCGATGGGTATAGGCTCGCCATTCTGTTTAATAAGACAATAAATAACAAATAATGGATTACTTACTAAATAATGCGTAGCTAATTAGTTAATATTTACACACAGGTTAAGTGTATTATACAACGAGATAATTAAATACCATGTGGCAGGAAGTCGCACATTTCTATCCGAGACACTTATCTATCCGCAGAGCTTTTGCCATAGTAAATTTAGAAATGTGCACATTTGACACTATCTTACCAAACATTTGTACCACTGAAATAGGAGTTGTGGCTGGTAGCATTTTCGCATATCGCCATTTGCAGTTCAGCATAGTATGCGAAAACTCAAATTTTCGGTAACTAACACATGAAAATGCAGCTGAAAGTGCCAACAAGTCAGTTGGAATAACTACCGTAATGGATGCGGCAATTTCCAAAATTCATCCACCTTTGTTGAACGAATGGTTCTTCTCTTATTTATTTCTCTGAACCACACATTGTTTATGCATTCGCTAGTAAAATTTCATTTCGCAATACCACTGTAATAATTCTCAGTTGAGTAAACCCCCAATTGGTACATCTTAAGACGTAGGGCTTTAATAAAAGTATCGTGTTTTTAATTTTTGGCAGTCTATATGATAATTTCAATGACGAATCGTAACAGCTTTACAAATACCTATACGGTGCAATAGAACTAAACTTTAATCGGTAAAAACGCGCCTTTATCTATCGAAATACTTCTACACAGTATCATCAGATTTCGAGTCCAGTCGGCATTTGCATCCAAGCGGTGTTCAGGTATCAAAATTGATACCAAAATTGCACGTACTGCGGGAAACAATGCCTGCACTCATAAAGCTAAACATTTATATATGACGATTTGCTCGATTAAAGGTACGGCACATCAGTAGGTCCTGTTGGTAGGTCGCGACAATTATGAATCAAATGTCAGATCAAAACCATAGTATTTGTAGGCCTCAATTAGGCAGACAAAGAGCCTGTGATCAAGAACTAGGTCGAATCGAGCTAATCGAAGTATATTTGCTAAAATACATACTTAGTTTTAAGAAGAATCGATAAGAACCAACCTTTTAAAGAACCCTGATAAGTGGGATGAAAAGCTAGGTTCTTGGTTCTCTGCCTACAGTTCTGCTTCGTTATTGGTCTTACTGTGAGAGATGGTCCATTGCTTAAACCAAATCCATAATGTACAGGGCACAAAATTGTAATCAGCATAATAGAATGAGCTGAAATGCATGTTGCCGTAACAATGGGCCGGGTATTCTTTACTTCACTTACAGTAATATTGATTATTGTTTTAGCAAGTATTCAATGAGTTTGAACGATTTGACGGTGTTAAGGTACGTACCATCTGCAAAACGTCAGGGAACTAGTGGTCTTTGTAAAACGATATTATCACCTTTATGCCAGCTTATACGGCCTATATCCCTGGCCATCGGTATCACTTCCATTATCACCATAATTGGTTTTAACAATGTGGCGCAATGATAGTTCGCCTTGCAACTCCCCGAAGCTGTTGGATTTGAGATCGAGTGTAACTAACCAGTTCTACCATACCGCGCTCTCTTCGAATCATTTTTACTTTCACCGGCGGCATAATGTATAACGCTCACAACCATGAGGTCCCAGGTGTAACTTTTGGCCGAGACTTAAGATTATTTAGGTTTCAAATAATCATACAATTAGGCTCGATCAGCCTAAGTATCATTGCAGTTTCATCTTAAGAGTGTATTCGAAATTTGTTCTCGCCATGCCACAAACAATCATGCCCCTTGTGACAATAGTGTCGCTGAGAGCCTTTAATACTTACAAAAATGTTTTAAAGTAGATCAAAGCAATACATAGAAAATGTCCATCTGTATCAACATAAATACAAGTTGGCGGATTGATACGCATTAATTGTTAGTCATTCGAAGCACTAATCCAGCTATATTTGGAAAATTGAATGGTCATGGAGGTTAATGATAATTTCCCGCTACCATCTCAAAATGAAAGAAAAGTTCTAATCAAACGTTCTCACTGCCATCGGTATAATTGCTTCAAAAACCTTTTGGCGACTTACTTGAGACGGAACGACTCGCCCGGACATGTTTTTGCATCAAATCTGCCACGACCTGTACATACTACCTGAACTGATTGTCACGCTTTTTGCAAGCAGCCTGCGGACGATAAGTTAGCTTCACATCACCTTGATATATAGTGCGATCGTTTTTCGACTCACAGGACATAGACACGTATTTTGTGTATCAAATAATGGATGCAAAAATAATTATCATTATCGATAGTGTGGGTCAACAACTCTTACAGGGCCTCCAATAACTTTCTAGATACAATTTAATTGCTACAATATTGTTAACGTATATACACTGTACGTCTAGCACACGAAATAAATGTATTCGTGAAATCAATTCCCACAGCAATAAAGAACTAAGTGCAAACAAAACGTAAGGATAACCATTCGTTCATCCTGAACTTGTTAAAAGTAGATGCCCGTACACTTCTCATAGGTTAATCGAACGCTTTCGCGCATTCAAACTAATCGTATCACTAATTATAATCGAGCTAACAGTTTAACACTCGTTACTGTTCCGCGTAGCTTATAATTGCGAATGATTTCTCATTCAACAAGAAATCCTCTTACTGCGATACCCATTCCTAAATACGCATTGAACTTTTGAGTGCATAAGGACTGTATTAGAGTATCAATCTTTTTTGTCACCTCTCTGTGAGAAAGTTACCACATCTGTCGTTCGTAAAACGGTTTACTGAAAATTCAATGTCATTCAAATTGAATAGAACTTCGTATTGGATTGAATGCATAATCGAAGGATAGTTCAGCTAGCGACGTCTCCGACTGTGAACATACCATGGGTATTGTTGGTCTAAGGCCAGCCATCCGACTTAAACCTGTACAGCTTATGCAAGAATCAAGTTAAGAGAACTAAAGTTAAGAAAAGATCGTCTCTACGGGCGAATCGCCGAAGGTCAACACGTCGATACGCAGTATTCTCCCACTGACAACACGCGCACCGACGCATCGTTCAATTCGATTGGGCTCTTTCTTGAACTTCGGTATAGATGTTAACCCAGTCACTGCAGTGCTGTCGAGCAATAAAATACTAGCTAACAAATACAGCGATTGTTATATTAGAACAATCGCTCTGTTTGGATAATATATATAAATAATTGGGTATCTAATGGAAGTACCCGAAGAGAATCGAATCCAAATTGATGCTCAAATCAAAGCCGGATTAAACTAGAGAAGCCTTTTTTAAGTTATTCAAAATTCGTATGCTTCACTTTAGGCTGCTACACAAGTCTATTGACTGTAAAAGACCAAGAGACAAATAATACGAGCGATTCATTTGAGCTATGTCTTTTAACACTTCCATCAGCTTTGATCCTTCCACTTATCATTTAAGAGCTACACGCAGTTTACTATACTCAGGTATCCTAGTTTAATTTTGACCAGCGGCTCAAATTCACAGGTATACTAGTCATCTATCTCTTTAGATATCGACGGGTACGCTTTTCATATTGCGTAGTAGTTATTATAGGACAATCTGGAGTAATAAGGATTAGCCCGGCACTTTTGAATACACGCTACTTTCGTGTGGCCGGATCATCATTTAAACTGAAACACACCAAAGTATGTTATCACGGTGTTTCATGTGACTCAGCACTTGCAAGGGAAATTATGAAATTGTCGCCCAAGCGTTGTTCTATACAACTCATTGCTATGCTAGACATCCATAATTTCGGAGATTCCGTAAATTTTGACGCCTGAAGATGGCTGCAAAAAAAGTGCCTACGTTTTGCACTGGCGCGTTCAGTGTGGTGGGATCAGATAGTCACGTGCTTCACAGAAGCGATAATTAGTTCTTTGTAGTACCTGTTTCGACTCGATACCGATTACATATTGAGATCTTCATTACTTGACTTGGAGCTGCAGTTATTTCTTCTCTCAAGATACTTAATTAAGCAGGTTTGTAGCGTTGTGTATGTTTCAAAACAAAGAACTCGCACACACATTTCTGAGGTTAAGGTGGATTATATAATACGAATTTCAATATGGATGTTTTAAACGCTAGCAAAAGGCATTGTGTTTTGACTTACCGCGCCTACAATTTACGTCAGCTAACCATGAAGCATTGAGCAGATTCTATTCAGTTACTCATACTGGTGAAAACATAGCGTTTCTTTTTATTACAGCACAACTAAAAGCAAAAGGGTCCTGTAGTTTATTATATGGGTGCGGGTAAGTAATATTTCAGCATGCCACAAGACGTTTTATCGTGCCACAAGGCATTGTATTGAAGCTTGTTCAAATAGGGTACTAGCCTGGGTAATATCCGCTGAGTAGGGCCATCAAACTGAGTTTACCCTATATATACGTTGTATACTTTTTTAGTACGTCCTCGGCTGAAATTTGATATACTTGTAGTAGAAACACGTTCAGGGGCAGTTACTTGCTATTATTCTTAGCCGGTGTTATTTATAAGCTGCGGCTATAAAAACAATTTCCAGTGTACATGTCAAATTGGGACGCGTATCTTTCAATTATCAACGTTCAATTATTTAGGCAGGTCTTGTTAGCGACATTAATGGAACCGAATCGGTTTACTGCGTTAGAGTATAACAAATACATAAGATTTGAATTTGATCCACTTACCGCTTAGCTGGGAGTTCCACTATTTATATAGCTATGTAAGCATTTCTGATAATGCAGTACCTATTGTCTCGCTCATTAAACCTCGAGGACATAATGTCATAACCTCGAGAGGCCCCGATAATGTGGGGCATTTTTTGCTAAGGTCATAAAACGCACGTTTTAAAAAAGCAACAAAACAGCTATCCTCTAAATTACTTGCTACAATATAGACTGTACCAGGTGCAAGAATGAGTCAGAAGCGCAGATACATATCGTATATACGACGAAAGACTGCGCAACATCTAAATCAATCTACTGTTGACGTTCTATTAAGCACAGAGGTATAGTCGATTTAACAATGAAGAACACCTAATTGCGCTGACAAGCAGGAGAGCGCCCCTCGGCGCTGAATGGGAACTGAATGGAAGACCTATTTTTTGCTCTATATTAGGTCAACGCCTGCACATATTAAAATTCTATGATAAAATACCTGAGCTTTATCTACCACGTCATTACACGATATAACTGGCCAGGCAACTGATAAGTCACCACCAGTAGAGTCATTCCTTGAACGCAATTTCACCTTGTTTTTACCGCGTATTTCGGCGGTTCACTAATCTAACCCACTGCAGTTCTTGTGCGTGATATCACCAATGTCCTATTTATGTGGCAAATCCGTTGTATTTACAATATATTCACTAGTATACGACGTTTGCATTGATGCTTGGTTTCTCACAAAATATGACATAGTTCCGCTATGTCAGTATCTTAAGTTGAGCCCATGTTTACAGTTGTAGAGAATACTTACAGCTTTTAGCGTAGAGAATACTTACAGCTTTTAGCAAGTAGACTTCGAATGCGTTAGTTAACTAAAATAGATCGTACGATGTTAAGGTATCTCTAAATAAGTTGTACGAACTTTCTGCGTATAAATCTTACATTAGACTTACATTGTGCTTACAGTTATAGGTTTTATATCGAACTGAGTAAATGCAACGATTGCCATTGCCCTGTATAGGTAACTTCGTCTATCACCAAAGGTTAACTGGTCCTCTATTTCTTCTGGAATCCACTATTTATAAATCATTGGATTTTAATATACTGAATGGTCCGCTGCTGTTGAGCCTGTTGTCGTTCTTTGTTCTGCCTGTCAATTATTGTTTATGGATCGCACTTTAACCCGGAGATTGGACAGGGTTGATCCCTTTCGCAGAATTCGCCTCTCAACAATAAGCTGAGATTTCTTGTCGACACCTGATATCCCTGGATACTTCGTGAAGTTAATTCACGAATCCGTCGCATCGACTCCTCAAATTTTCCTTCGCCAGGTACTTGATTCCACGAAGATCTGCAATGTCTCGAAGTCACTGACATATATTTGAGCTCAATATTTTCAATATGCTCTCAAAGATGGAACAGATCGTCGCTGACGCATCTGTCGTCTAGCTCCCATCAAAGCTACTTCTGCGATCTCCCTTCATTTGTTTCTGCAGCTTGTAGATTCGCTCGAGAATCTTCAGTGCGCGATCAAGCTTACTGGTAAACTTTTTCTCTGGCGCATCTTCGTCGTATTGTTGTATACAGCTTAAGACTAGAGGTATTCATCGGTCCTCCTAAACTAACTAAACACACTGATTTCATGTATCACCAAATGTAAAAACCCAATGTACTCTCTAGATATCGGAGATTATTGAAATAGAGCAAATTTCTGAGAAAAAGGTGATAGGCTTATGACATATATTATTGTAAGATGACGACTAAAAATTTCCTCAATAACTCCAAACCAATCGTTTTTTTCTGATTTACGTCATGTACGCAACATGTGTCATCAACCCAAGACCTTTAATCGTGCGATAATTGATACTTGACGAAAATTCTTCGGAGGAAAACTTACGTGACACAGTTTCTAGGCGCAGATGATCACGAAAGAGATCGCCGTTCCTCTCAGCGGAGCTTTAGCTTCCTAAGTACAATTAGTCTAGCTTTTAGCCGACCTTTCGACACCTCACACAGATACACGCAGTTAAAGTTTGTTCGCCGAATAGCATAAAGCCATATACGGTCAAGTTTAAATCACACACGACCACAAATACTAGCAACAGCAATTCCGCTTTGATGTACGGCAGGTCCGACGTCTAGCTTTCTTCGAGTCCCGCAGGAGCCGCAACAACCCAGTCGGTGACTATCTAGTTATCGAGAAACAACTCCCTCCTTTTTCGTTACTAGTTCTTCTATTAGGATGAGATTACAGTCCAGTTAGCGACACGCTCTCTGTCTTTGGCTATCTATCGCTGTTACTATACTCTAAATCAACTCTCCTCATGACCCGTTTGTAGCAGCGGCACACATCAACAACTAAAGTAAGGCAGCTGAGAGCCTGGCGCCTCACAGATAGGAGAGAACCACCAGATGTTTACCCACGAGCAGAATCATTCACCTAACGACCAGCCGTATGACTCAGAATCGATGGTATTATTCGATGCAGCTTGGTTAAGCGCGGGAATATTTGAATTTTCCACAGGCGACGAGTGTCGTAAATATTCCTCATGAAAACAGTCGTTAGGGTGCGGTTAGTATGTAGATATTGACCTGTCATTTGATCAGATCATTAGTAGTTAATAGTTTGGCGACGATTACATGATTTCTGCATAGGTAAATAACTAAATAGCCCCCCCCCCGACCCGGCTCTGCTGGGAGAGGGTGTGATTTGGTTCCAACGTGTCATCTACTGTTGGCCACTCTGTCAGTATAGTGCCGTGTTAATTGTGGTGTGTCGTTGTTATTGGGCAGACCGGAGAGCAAACTGTATTGCTGTATCCTGCGTCGACCAGTGTTCTGCTGGACCTTTGAGCGATTACTGCATGATCGAGTGGGAGACAAACCGTGTGGTGTATTCCTCGTAACTGCAGTTAATTGGGAATAGAGCTTGAGAACTGTCGTGTTCGACTCGAGGATACTTTCGTTTTGTGTCCGGTGAACAGAAAACTACAAGAACCCGTCATGGACCAGCTCGAGGTTTACCTTCGTCCCGGCAAGGAGTTCGTGAAGGACTCAGTCCGACTAGTGAAACGCTGCACGAAACCTGACCGAAAAGAATTCAAAAAGATCGCGATTGCCACTGCCATCGGCTTTGCGATCATGGGATTCATTGGATTTTTCGTCAAACTCATTCATATCCCTATCAACAACATTATTGTCGGTTCTTAGACAACGTTAACAATGCCAAATAATAGATTTAGAGCACATAAAATAGCGACCATTATATCATCGAGGCTCTTGAACTCAAGATCATCATGCTCCTTACTAGCGTCATTCCTTCACTGCACCAGCATCTGCCTTCCCTTATAAACTGCACCAACATAACCAGCGCTCATTTCTTGGATGGTAACAAAAGTAGCTATTTTTCAAAGACGAACAGCCAGAATTAATGTGTCTACATGCCTAAAATTTAGTGGTACCTGTATCAATGCAGCCTGATATAGTTTCTTCAATAACAAAAACGCGCCACGACTGAGCTGCGAAGCATAGTATTCTTAATATTGGGTAACGTCTTCAACGAGCAATGCAAGTTGCGTATCACTAGTCCCCAACAATGAAGCCTACAGTGACGATGAAAGTATCATTATGCACAAGATAGCAAAGGAAATACGCATTCGTCTGTTTGGGTCGCCTGTTAACTGACGTGGCTGGTGACGATGACCAACCCCTGGCTTTTCTTCTTATTTCCCAGACCCCTTACAGCCCAGTGTTTAACACCCGATTGAATCCTTCATGTTCCTGCATCAAAAAAGGAAAGACCACCAAGACTTATAGACTTTTTACAACATTTTCACTTACATACTTTTTGGATCAAAAGAGAGTCAAGAACAGTAAATAGCAATACAGAGCATATACTCCACTCCGAAACGTAAGAGTAAAACAAAATTGATAACCCACAATTCCAAAAACCACAAACCGATGGACAGCGAATTCGAATGAACTCGTATCAATAATCAGTTTGAAAAGAGTAAAAAACCGAGAATCAGGAGGATAAGGGCGGAGTGCAGTAGAAGCTGTATATTATTGACGGCAAGTTACAACAGCAAAGTTATACAGTCGTCCTATTATATAAGTACAGCTTCCGTGTGTGTATAATAGTTATATGTATTTAATAAAAAAAACCGGAAATAATAAACGGTATATGGTGTAAGAGTTGTCATCAACATGTTAGTATTTTTCTTTCTAGTATTTCTATAAAAATAAGTTATGTATGGATGGTACTGATTTCTCAATGTTATGTCTGTTTAATGAATGGAGTGTAGTAGACCTGTTTTTCGTTTCACTGAGCAGCTAGGATGCATATATTCGACATCACCGATCGCGACCACTTGTACTCGATGTGCGGTGTATTTATAAGTCAGCTCTCAGTACATTTTCATAACAGCATTCTCGAGACTACTGTGATTGTTCAATGGCCTGTAAACGACGTTTCAAAAAACCCGTAGAGTATTAACTCAATAAAAAAAAAAACTTTACTGGCTTTCGTAACAAAACATTTGATATTGCAATAAAAATAGTGCCGTACCTTTTTTTTAGATACAGAGCATTTCTTAGGCAGGTAATACATTTACAAATTACTCTGTCTTCTGTGGGGTCAAAAAATGATCTTCATTTAAAAAGACACGTAAGACATGATCAAATATGCAGAGATGCAGGAATAACATGTAGTTGCTCATCCCATTTTAAAAGTAAGCCAAATGTTTTTTCGAACCCCTGTTGGGTCTGTACTACGGCAGCCAGCTGGAATTAATTGATAAACTCAGAATCAACTTATGTGTTAAAAAATGGCAATTAATGCCGTATCTAATCATCCTTGAGGTACAATATTTCACTAAATAATAAAATGCATGAATAGTAAGTTTGTGTCATAATCTGCTACAAAACATGGATGTCTGATTTTTTTGATAATTTTTTGCTGAGCTGTTGGATTATTTTTTAGGACAGTTTGTGTGTAAGGTTGAACCGACTTGACGAATAATTTTTTTCGTGTGGAGAGGAGGTTAAACATATCCATACCGATCATTTGTGTAGTTAAAATGTTTTTAGTTTTGCATTCGCTACTGTCATTAAGCCGGCTAGTAGCTCCCAGTGAGAAACAGTGTAGCTGCGCCCAGCGTTGAACCTAGATCGCTACGTGCCTTAGATTTAGTAGGCAAACCCTTTTTCGCACTATCACGGGGACGAAACAAATTACCCTGCATTTAGTTTCAATATATACACTAAAATAAACAATAAAGAAAATGAAGTAGTCCTGAAACTTTTGTTCAACTGAATCGTGTTACGGTTAAGTGTTAAGAAAATTTACAGCGTAACTTCGTCTAGAGCCAAACTTCAAATGAAAACCTGTGTTCAAATTACATAGTTATCATATCACGCAAAATCTTGTAACATAGAAATAATTGTAACGTGAAGACCTGCGATCGATATGTGTTTATGTTTACAGTTGTATGAAGTGCTAATCTTTTGTTGATGGCTAGCCTCAAACGCAGTGGCTAGATTTGTCATTATTAAGATTCATTCATTATTAAGTCAAGTCATTATTAAGATTTGTCGAATTAAGATCAGTTTTATTGCTTTTAGTTCATAAATCATTGTACTACCTATGTAAGGACTGTAAGGCTAGACGTTTTGCATAGATTGCCAGATTCTATCAGTGCTGTGTAGGTATCGCATGCTGAGCACATTTCTAACGACTTTTCTATGAGACTGATGGTGTCCTTCTATAATTGGCTTTGGATATATATATGCCACATGAGAGGTGTAATTAAGCCAGTAAGTAGTAGATGTTTTTTGAAGATTGATTAGCAACAGGTTTCTCAAATGGATATATATGTATATATAGGAAATATATATATGTATATATAGGTTTTATGAGCAAACAATCACACTCATTTTTTATTGGTTGAGTGGATCATCGAATTGAGTAGTATGATCGTACAAGAGTTCTTATCTCGTCCGTTGTCTCCTTAAGGACTTCGGTTTATATCTTATTCAATTAGTATTTTCAAAATTCATCTCTAAGTCGATGCCTGTTTTGAGACAGAAATTGTTTGCACCTAGCCAATCGTCCATTTTTCGTTGGACAATTTAGTTAGTTGTTTCATATTTTTGTCTCTTCATCATACAGAATGCATCATACATACCATCAACAAGTTGTATTATCTTGATGCCATCAAAAAAATTAAGAGATCATTAATTTACACAAAGAAAATAGATCTCATAATCCGCAATACTCCGTATTCTTTTTTTTGACGAGAACAAGTCCCATTCGGATGTTTTACCACCTGTTCTTAAGTAACTAGGTCTGGTTCGAAGATATTTACGGCTGTGTTATCTAGGCTGAAAAAGGAAGTTTTTCAAAAACCCTCTACCTTCCTGTTCACACAGTTGAACGCCTTCTATAGACCTAAAAAAGCACAACTGGCATTTTTTCCGTAGCTCGAGAGCTACTCACTTTACAAAAATTAATTTCAGAACTACGAATACTATTGTATTCGATCTAAGACTAAATCTGCCTTTTAAAGGGAAGATATTCGTCCTAAATATTCTTCGTTAGTCTATACGATAGTCAACAAAGTTTATGGAAGCAAATTTTCATTGGTCACGCTTCTAATGGATTTATTGAAATCTAAGCTAGAAGCATACCAGTTCTCGTAATGGTGCAGCGGAAACGCCTGCTAAATTTACCCCAGAATGCGCAAGGAGGAGACCGAGCGTAGACGCACTGCACTTCGTTAAGCAATGTTATAGGCAGCACCGACCGTAAAAATTGAATCATTCATTCAAATCGCAGATTTCTTCGTAATGGCTAAGGCGATAACCGAGCCGCTATCGTAACCCAGTTTTGCGGATGTTTAGATCCGGATATCCCAGTAAAAAACATTTTTTTGTAAATTACACTTATACGAATGTAACTCCACAATAAGTACAGGATGAGACAGAACCGAACGGACAAATACCAAGGGCGCATGGTTACAAGACCATCTGATGCCATTCGTGGTTGTATCCGAAAAAGCTTCTAAAGTGTGAGTTAAAAGGAACCTCAGGTGTTAGAGTATCGGCCTAAACAGGATGAAATGAAAAATAGCGAACACAAAAAGCATTGTATTTTTCTCTCTTGAAAACGGTTGTTGAGTCTTTCAGTATACCAAAGCAATTTTTTTTATAAGATCTAATGCATTATCTAGAAACTTTTCTATCATAAATCTATATAATCTATGTAATTACCCATTCTCTGAAACAATAGGGTCGCTTGATATCTAGAAGAGAAAATCTCTTCATATCTAACAAAAGTCCGGCTATATCTAAGGAAGAATAATTGTTCACACCTTAGATCTAAACCTACAAATAGGTTTGTTCTATTAAGGATTATAATATATTCAAAATAATTCCTTATTTTGCTTGCATTTCATACTTATAAACGGAAAACAGTCATACTACTATTCGAACCTACCAAGCTTCAATAAAATCTGGCTTGAGATTTTAAAGAAGCTTTTATGTTCAAAGTGTATCTTACTCATATAGAATTTCTTTTTTCGGCATTCTAGTATTTATAACTTGCCTCAGGGTTTTAGGCTCAAGACCATCAGATTATTCCTCTCTTGAGATATATTTTATTCGGGTTAGAATATGATTCTTTCCTTGCTCTAATGCACCTTCTTAAGAAATCTATTGTAAACCTGCTTTATCTATAGCTATCACCCTTCAAATTGAAGTGGTATATTTACTTCGCATTCTTGTATTCTGACCCTACAGAGCGTCGCTATTAAAACACTCATTCCTTGGCATTGACTAATATTTATAGACTGCAATAAAAGACTGTGATATCCTCGTAGTAAAACGGCGGTAGAAATAATAATTAAATGTAAATATTGCGGCTATGACGAGCAGGTGAAGAACGGCGAAGAGGAGGTATAGATGCAAAAATTGCGAAAATAATTGCCAAGAAAGTGACAAGCGGCGAAAATATAGAACGAATAGTACATTGAAGGTTATAAAAGTTTATCTTGAAAACCGTGGGATTAGAATGATAGAGAGAATTCATAATAGCCAAATATCTTCAGAACTCAAAGGTGGGGGACGCTATGTAAAAGAAAAATTAGATAAGAGCCACAGCAGCATAAGATCATCTCGATATTCTTATTGAGATCCTAGAGATCACCGAGCTGTTTATATATATAAAAAGTACCAAAGAATGGAGGGAAATTAACCTTTATATGGATTGCTGCCGAATAATTCCTTTTTAGCTTATGATGGGTGTATATTCTAACTTTGCTAGAAGAAACTTTTGTCGGACTTCAACTTCAATTGTTATGGCCTATTGAAATTGTTGTATTTACCCATTTGCATTAAAATCCCTTCAATTTTCCAATTATGGCCATTTCACAATAAGACTACTTATACATATAACAAGCGGATACAAGTACACCCTGGTTAGTTTGATAACGAAAATTATACACCAACAACTTTATATTCTTCTCCATTTACTCGATTACTTTCCGGAATGTCTCTAAGAATATGTCTATCCCATTATCATTTGCAATATGTCCATAACTCAGGCCAAGATTTTTCGTCATAGGATAAATGACAAGACTCCGTTTTACACACCAGCTGTATGTCACCGTGTCCCTGCGTGTCCAGAATTGGCCGCACGAAGGGATCCGGTGATAGGCCCATTTATTTCTTAGTTTTCAGGGATAGTTATTTCGCCATCGTTAATCTTATCAATGATGTCGTGGGGATTACAACCCTCAACTGTGCATCCAACGGACTGAGCCGTTCCTAGAACCTCCTTGACTGTTCCGCGCAGTTCACGAGCCATTGAGCGCGGCCGCATCTGGCGACCGATATCGATAATTGTGTCCAGGGTGAGATTACCGGAGTGCTTGATATTCTTGACCTGTACCCATGCATATAGTGATAAGCGGGACATTAAAACCATGTTAAGCACATTGATAACTAAACAATTATCATATTAAACATGGAATAAGATCGCGGCAAGAGCTTAAAAATACATGTACTCTGTGAAACAGATCGTAAACCTACATACAATACTTATTTTGGTTTGAAGTTGCAGTTCGTCATTAAGCTTCATTCAGATAAGCTTTTATTTGTTGCATTTGTGATCTGCGACCCTTTTAGGCGATTCGTAACACTTACTTATCTACTTCATCAGGTTTTCTTTGAACGCAGAAATTTTTGGCTATAATCTCTGGTGTACCAAGGAAACAAAAAAATTATATCTATGGTACTTTTTTAGGCCATAAAACACCGTATGTTATCAAATCGTTATATTAGTAAATATAAGGTCGTCCAAAATCTGACCTGTCTTAGCGGTAGCTACTATACGGAGACGTGAAAATGGTGCCTTATTTTATTAATTTAAATTAATATTATTTTTGTCTTAAATTATATATTATTTTAGACTCTGACTCAAGCTATGTTCAAGGAGCAAATTGCCATTTTGACGAACCCCATCTTTCAGAGGACGCGTTGACCCTTAATAGACTGTAGATAATATATATTGCATTCTTGTATCAAAATCTATAACATAAATTGCAATTGAAAAAAAACGTTGAACGCACCTTTTTTCTGTCCCTAGGGGGCTCTTTTAGAGCCTTGATAACGAGGGAAGCAGCCGACGGTACAACCTCGATTTTTGCTTGTCGGTTCTGGATCACAAGCTTAACGGTGATTTTAAGACCCTTCCAGTCGCCAGTTCCTTTCGCGATATCTTCACCGACCTTTTTTGGCGACAAACCAAGAGGACCGATCTTAGGCGCCAGCGCAGACGTGGCTCCCACTTCACCACCAACGGCCCTAAGGCACACTTAACGTGACGAGAACAAACACAAAATCGACGTTTGGCAAATACCTCATCACGTAATTCATATTATTTGTAGGACGGGCACCAAACGTCACATATGTCGCACCGCATAAACACAACACAAAGTCTTTGGCAAAATTTTAGATAAATCTCCTCATTTAGAAAAATGATATCAGACCACTGTATCCATGGTAATTCGATTCTGAATGTTTCGAATGACATTTTTAGATTAGATGTGTCCGATAAGTAGACTGTTTTGGTAACTTAATGTAATTGCTCTACATAAAGTTCGCGACTTACGTAAATTCACGTACAGCACACAGTCGTCTACAAGCTTCGAACACGGTCATGTATCGAGCCTCTGCAGAATAAGCCCGGTTCGTATATCGTCACAGACATCAACATAAAATCGGCGAAAAATTCAACTTACCGATTTTAATCTCGTTCGGGTCGAACTTCGGCGGCATGGTGTCTTAAAGATGCTGAAAGAGAACTCAGATTTATTAAATGTTTTCTCATATGGGTTGATTTCCACAGATTTTTTCACAAAGCCACCGTACTCACCACACGTCCCGAAAGAAAAAGGAAGCTATTGTCGACACCCGAGCCCAGTGTAAACACAACGGCTTCCGGTGCGCCAAAATTCAAATGCTCTATGATTCTAAATTAATTTTTTCCTTTACGATATAATTTTTTTATTAAATACATTATTATAATGGTTCATAAGAGTTATTCAGTTAAATATGCATGTTTAATATAAGATTAGGAAGAGCTGAAGTTAAATGTGCATTGCAAAAGGCTGTTAAACTCTATCTTCCGAATGTTTTGGCCCACGGGTGTCGTTTAGCGGCTGTATGCTAATCGATGGCCAAATAGTCGAATTGTTGGGTGCGTGCAATTTGAAGATGGAGGATCTTTTTAGTGTTTTTGAGAATGCCGGCGCTTCCGAAGCTACTCAGGAGTCCAAAAAGGATGATGGCAAGGAAGTGGCTAAATTGCCCAAGGATGACCCGTGAGTTCCGAGTCTGGTTTTCAAACATTTCGCATTTAATACACTGCACATTAAATGCCAAAACTTGTTACTCTCTGTCCACTGAATTGTGAAGATTCATTATTATTTTAAATTAGATTTCAGTAAGCTAAATGGTTTCGTACGATATACTGATTAAAAAAAATTCAAAATCAACAAAATGCGCAGTCCGAACCTCCGTAAAAGGTTGAATTGTTCGATGGGTAATCGACGCATTGCTATTTTATGTTCTACGGTGTCGTGTTTATCTGTCACTGATTGAGTGAGCTTCGGCCCATGGCGCTCTTACTGTGTTTAGGAAATTCTAAATAGCATTAGTAACTTTTGTTTCCATAAGTATTATTTTAATTGAAGTTGAATGCAACTTCGGCGTCTCTGCAGTATATTTTATATTATTAGTAAACTATGATGTTGTTAAATGAGCGTAATATTTTCGAGATTCCCTTAATTGAAAAATTAATTATTCTTATGTGTTTTTTAGGACGGATCTCGTTAGCGCTATCCTAGAAGGTGACAAGAATAAGCTGCCTGATACAGAGGGACCAGTAAAAAAGAAACCAAGAATCTTAGAGGATTACAAGTATGTGTTATATTCTATTTTCTAATAATTAGCTTGTACTACCCGTGATGTTTCTTTTGTGTAAGTTAGTTAGAAGTGTCTAACTTTTTTTTGTTCGAAAATCTCGCTTGCCAAACTTATATCAAGCCTTTTGTTCTATTATTGAGAAGGAAGATTGGTTTGAAACATTTTTCCGAGTTAACGTTTATGTTTCAGAGTTGTTGTTGTGTATTTTCAAACGGTAACATAAGAACGTCACATGACATTATTAGCATTTCATATTTAATACATACAAAATATATGGATAAAGGTACTTATCAGCTATAATACAACAATTCGTGCGTACAGTCTTGTGTTTATTGGTATATTCTCGATATTAAACTGAGTTTAATAATTGACCTGCGTCGAGTTCGCAAAATATGAAAGTATCTAAACCTGTAATTCTGACTAGGTTTTTGTGACCTGTCTAAAACTAAATTTTTAGAATTTTAATTTCGGCACTACCGTTCGGCATTCCGTCAGACGCCTGGCTTTAAGTACAAAACATACTGCGTTTATGCCCGGGTTTGAACCTAGACCACAACGTGGCCCTAAGATTAGCAGTCAAGTACATAACGCACTAAGCTATCACGGGGACTTTTTGTCGCCTGTCTATAAAATGTTATGTGCACTATGGTGGAATAGCATTGTATGCCAAATTCTTCTTGTGGTATCTTCAGTCCGGATGAGTACGCGTCTCGGAGTACCATTCATCGTGTTGATACGGTGGACTCTTGCTCGCACGAAGTGGCTGTTCCATCTGGGTCAGAATTCGTACCACTTGAAGTGAAACCGGGCCCTCCTGCACGCGAGTATCCGTTTGTTCTTGACCCTTTCCAACGGGAAGCCATCCTATGTATTGAAAATGAACAAAGCGTCCTCGTTAGCGCACACACATCTGCTGGAAAAACGGTACGTGTACCCAGCTTTAACGCTAAGCTTACAGTTTTAATTCAATAGAGTTAGCTCGCGGTAAGTACTACAGTTTAAAGAGGATATTATTTGAAAAGAGAAACAATCCAGCAAACCTAGAGTTACCTGTCAAACTAAAAGATTCGAAAGGACTGCACAGGTTATAAGATTTGCGTTGAACTTTTTATGGCAGGTGGTGGCCGAGTACTCAATTGCCTTAGCTTTGAAAAACAAACAACGTGTCATTTACACGACGCCGATCAAGGCTTTATCCAATCAGAAGTACCGAGAATTCTACGAGGAGTTCAAGGACGTTGGTCTCATGACAGGCGACGTCACCATCAACCCAACAGCGTCTTGCCTTATTATGACAACCGAAATCTTGCGTTCGATGTTGTATCGAGGCAGCGAGATCATGCGGGAGGTCGGCTGGGTCATTTTCGACGAGATTCACTACATGAGAGACAAGGGTTAGTGAGTAAATTAAAGCGCATTGTTGAAATCGTTTGAACTAGTTACCGACAACCAAGCAGTTTTCACTTTTGAATGGCTACCTTTTAATTTAATTATGAATCCGCTCAAAATTAGCAGGTAGGATCAAAACCTTACCGTTTATGAGTTACTCATTATTGAGTTACGAATAGCCTTTATCAAAAATCCGAATTGAAATTTCAAAGCACTTTACCGCTGTCCACGTTTCCTTAATTTTTTTTTCGGTATCGTTTAGTTAACTTGCTTCTGCCTAAGTCACATTCTATGAAAATTATAAACGATGTAACTACTGATCATTCAATGAAAGTGAATGCAATACTAAGACACGTGTCTTTTATTTTTCTGATGTGTCTTGGCACTTATTGCGGTAGAACGTGGTGTTGTATGGGAAGAAACAATTATTCTTCTTCCTGACAACGTCCATTATGTGTTCTTATCAGCAACTATCCCCAATGCGCGCCAATTTGCTGAGTGGATCTGTTATCTACATAAGCAGCCTTGTCATGTCGTCTATACGGAATATAGGCCAGTGCCACTTCAACATTATATTTTCCCTGCTGGAGGCGATGGACTTCATTTGGTGGTCGATGAGAAAGGTATCTTCAAGGAAGATAACTTCAACCTCGCTATGACAACTCTGCAGAATGCCGCTGGTAACGCCAAAGGTGATAGTGGACTTCGTGGCCGACAAGGCGGTTTCCGCTCAGAGACAAACTGCTACAAAATCGTCAAGATGATTATGGAACGTGACTACAGCCCAGTGATAGTATTTAGCTTCTCGAAGAGAGAGTGCGAATCTTACGCGACACAGATGAGCAAGCTCGACTTGAATACTGCCGATGAAAAAAAACTTGTTAACGAAGTATTCAACAATGCCATGGAGGTAAGAGTACGCCTCTAATGGTTCTAACTTAGGAACAAGTAGAATTAATATCATTCGTTAAAAATAAATAAAGAAAAACAATGCAAGCCTTGCGTGGCGTGGACACAGTTTAAAAAAAAAAATCGTTTTCTTTTACGTTTAGGCGCTTTCGGACGAAGATCGTGAGCTTCCACAAGTGCAACAAGTTCTACCGCTCTTAATGCGAGGTATCGCCATCCATCACGGCGGTCTTCTGCCGATTTTAAAGGAGACCATTGAAATTCTTTTTAGTGAGGGCCTGATTAAGGCATTGTTTGCTACGGAGACGTTTGCAATGGGGCTTAATATGCCGGCCCGAACGGTGTTGTTCACCAATCCACGAAAGTTTGATGGACAGAATTTCCGTTGGGTTACGTCCGGTGAATATATTCAGATGAGTGGAAGAGCTGGGCGGCGAGGTCTTGATGACAGAGGTCAGTTCGAATCGATTTGGCTCAAACTGTTAGTTTTAACTCTATCAAATACTGTACAAGCTTTTATTAGTGACCCGGGTGATCGGAAAGCGCTTTAACAAATGCGTATGTAATTCATATTTCGTAACACATCAAATAACAAGGAATATATTAGAGCTTTTTAAAAATTATTTGTTTCCCTTAAACTTATAATTTGATTAAAATTCGCATCTGAAGGTATTGTTATTCTCATGATCGATGAAAAAATGAGTGCCCAAGCTGCCAAGGATATCGTGAAGGGAGCTCCGGACGCGATAAACTCCGCTTTTCACCTTACCTACAACATGGTTCTCAATCTTCTTCGTGTTGAAGGAATTAACCCGGAATACATGCTGGAAAGAAGTTTTTTCCAATTTCAGAACTACGCCTCGATTCCACAATTGTACCAGAGTGAGTAAAGATACTTTTTTGTGTTCGTTGCCGTTTTTCACAGTGGTCATCAATTATGAACTTACAAATTGCCTGATGGTGTTCGGAGCTACGTTGCCTACTATTGCATACTATACTATACTGTTACGTATTTGTGTTTATACAGGACTAGACGCCCTACAGGAGCAGCTTGACGCAATGGTAATAAACCGCGAAGATGACGTTGCCACGTACTTCAAAGTCCAACAGCAGCTGACCAAAAGTCAAGCTGAGCTTCGCGGATATATAACGAAACCACAGCACATTGTGCCTTTTCTTCAAGCAGGCCGCATGATTCGAGTGAAGAATAAAAACGACGACTTTGGATGGGGAATTATCATTAACTACAAAAATAAGAAGGTCCAAACTAAGGTAAGGTTTTTGCTGAATATAGGTTGATGTCAGACATTGCATAGGATACCCTATAACGACAGGACCTGTAAATTCTGTACTTCAATTTAGCCACTGGCAATATCCGCGACCATAGCGATGCGCATTCAAAATCTTGAGCGATAACTAGTATTTATACAGAGCAGAAAGAGTTTTAGATGAGGTTTTGCTGCGTTGTCAGTCTATTTAAATGAGGACTATTGTTTTTTTAGCAGAAGCATTCAAACTTGTTGGAAGAAGAGGATGTACAGGTTATAGTAGAAGCGTTGATTTACGTATGTCCAGGATCAACAGAGGTCGAATCGATCAAACCGCCTCCAAAGGGTGTCAAAGGCGAGATGCAGGTTGTGCCGATCCGATTGGATCTCATCGAACGGATATCTTCAGTTCGTCTTCTCTATCCCAGTGACTTGCGACCGCTTGACAGTCGCATGAGCGTCCTGAAATCGATCAACGAAGTTGAGAAACGCTTTGACAAGGAAGTGCCGCTGCTGGATCCAATTGAAGATATGGATATTCGAGAGGCACCTGTCAAGGAGCTTGTAAAGGTAATTATAACTATTACTTTGGTATTGCCAAATGTCTCAATTTATTACCAGCAGCCCTAATAACGAATCTTTACGGTATCGTGTCTTGACTTCATTAATTTCAGCAAATTGCCGCATTGAAAGAACGATTGCGAAGCTTGCCGCTGCACACCGAACCGGGTTTGGATGCCCTATATAAGGCATATTCGGCCAAGCAACAGGTGGCTGAACAGGTCAAACAGTGTAAAGCTGATATTCGAAAAGGCAAAAGTCTTCTACAGATGGATGAGCTAAAATGCCGCAAAAGAGTGCTCCGACGACTTGGTTATTGCAACAACGCTGACATTATCGATGTTAAGGGTCGCATCGCATGCGAGATTAGCACGTGCGTCTGCCACCATAGTATAATAATAATTCTCTGTGGACTTGTAACGACCTGTTATTTTAACATGAGCTTGAAAAATTGGCTTACCGCTATCTTATATTCCCGTTTTTATGCGCTTATTGATAAAGCATCGTGTTCTTTCCTTTGAACTAGAATTTTCTATAACTTAATAAACGAACGGAGAACCATTGAATTTAGCTTTATTAGCCAAAGGTTATTATTAGCTAAAGTCGCTAACCTATTCCATCGATTTGGGCATGCAGCATTCATGGTGGTTTCATGAGCAAGCATTGTTGCTATAAAAATATTGAGAACAGTGTTATTCATTGTTGGTTTTCGTACTTGCCGTTTTTTATTTCGTAAATTCTATTACTTCTAGTGCTGATGAACTTTTATTGACGGAGATGATCTTCAACAACATCTTCAATAATCTAAATCCCGCTCAGTGCAATGCCGTATTGTCGTGCCTTGTGTTTCAAGAGAAGAGTAATGAAATGCCGAAGCTCACAGAGGAACTTATGCAGCCGCTCAGGCTAATGCAGGATATGGCCAGACGAATCGCTCAGGTACACTTGGGCTGTTAACAAAAACAACAAAAGCGGACTATTTTTTGGCGACATAATTTTATTTACGTTCAAAAAATTAAACATCGTACGCGAAAGTTCTCCAAGACGATGGAGCCGTAGCTAACTTAAACTACCCAAAGTGTACTAGTTTTTCTATCGGGCACGTTCTTCTAGGTGTCACGTGACTCAAAACTGGAGCTTGACGAAGATGATTATATCGATCAGTTTAAGCCGCATTTGATGGATGTTGTGTTCGGATGGAGTAAAGGTGCGTCATTTGGGCAAATCTGCAAAATGACAGACGCTTTTGAAGGCTCGATTATTCGATGCGTGCGACGACTCGAGGAACTGCTCCGTCAGATGGTGCAGGCAGCCAAGAGCATAGGAAACACAGAACTTGAAACAAAGTTCAGTGAGGGTAAGTGTATTTATTCTGTTATTTTCTCTCACTGAGCCTCCATAGTACCAAAAAATTTGGTCTCAAAAACAACATTTCAGCGGTTCACATCCATCATGATTCAATCTTACAGTATAAAAAAAAAACTGCTCAGTTTTAAAGGAAAACAATCCTTCTCATATTTTTGTTTTCCATCGGAAAGGTGTTTAAATTACTAATCTGAATTATCTATAAATAACAATGCATCGGTTCATCTCGCGGCCGCGTTCATGTTTTACAGCGATAAAACTCATCAAACGTGATATCGTCTTTGCTGCGTCGCTGTATTTGTAAAAAGAAAACAAATCGTTGATTTGAGAGAACTGTTAAAAAAGAACAGGTAAGCGGAAACAATATGTTCACCACGTTTTCTACACCGCCTTGAACTAATTTAATGAAGTGACAAGCTAAATTAGTCCGTATTATCTCTGCTAAAAATTTTTTTTGAAGATGGTTTGGCTGTATGGAGATCCGCTGCTTTTAGCCGCTTCCTTCAGTCTCCTTTCTCTCCTTTTTTTTGAGATGGATCCTGAAAGCATTGTGATAAAACAGCAGTGCGGGATGGTATTTGGTAGCTCCTCTCTACAACGTCGTTGCCCTTGATTATACTCCTTAAAACAATGATAATTCTTGCTGTCAATTAAATTAATTGCATTCTAATAATCGTATAAATGTATCTGATAGTCGCGGTGTAACTTCTGTCGACAGCCTACCGGGCACTGATCTAGAGCATATCTAGAAGGTGAAATCGCTGCCATGTCAGAGCGGAGATCTACTTGTGTACATACTGACCGTAAGGGTCTTCTGAGAATAATGACAAAAAACAAGTCATAAAATTTATTTAGCAAATTTATCGCCAGATGATAGAAAGCGCAGAGACGATTGCCAGGTATATGAGAATTTCGAATTCTAAGTGTATGTGTGGGTGTACATGTACGAGCATCTAACGTACAGTGGGGTTTTCAAAAATCAAGGCAACCATCACGCGCGTTACCCTGAAAAAAAAAAAGAAAAAAAGCTAAGAAAAGGAAAATATAATGCCGATACGAATGGAAAAATGGTATGTTTGAGCATGTTAAAAATAAATAAATCTTGCCAGACGGCTAGATTTGTTTTCATTTTAAGCATTTTTTATAGGTAGAAATTAACTTGAAGGGGAAACATACAGGCTTAAGGGTACCAGATAAAGTCCTTATGTAGAAAAATATTTCAAATTGATATATTTTGGTGAGTATAGGTTAAGCAATAAGTTGGGTCAAAACAACTGCCCTATATAGTGCTAGTGGTAGCATTTTACTTACAGTGGCAACAAATAATCCAAACTTTAATGGTCTATGAGACAATAATACCAACCAGTTAGTATGGCTAGAGTACTACCTTATAGGCCATTATGTATGGGAACTCTTTTAGACTTCCTAAACTTGCAACATCGAAACCGAATGGCTTTCATCACAAAGTCTGTGGTTGTTCATAAATGCTTCAATATGCCACATACGATATGAGATGAACAGGTGCATCCGTAGAAGGCACCAATACCGCGCAAATGACGAACGTATACGCGTAGTAAACGAGCGTATTTATGCGACGAATCAATATCTCTCAACGCATTGGAAATAGCGTTTTGAGATTCACGCTTGGTATCGTTGCGGGGCATTGTTTCAGTCGGCTAGCTTCTTTCACGCCCGGTTTTTAATTTATACCACCTCACCCTCATATGTTCCAAAGTGTAATAGTAAGTACATTACAACTAAATCACTGTAAGGCACATTATACGTGCTTTCATCGTGACAATCGTACCGAAAGGACTAGGGGTTTCTCGTCCTCTTCGCCGTCATCACGTTTAAGAACACATCACACTTTACTATCTGCTATTACTCAGTGCGTCTGCACTCACAACAGTCCATGGATATTATTGGTTGTACGCGACGCCTTCGAACGTGTATTTTTCTTAATTTTTGGCTGTTAATGCATCGAACGCATATTCTACTTGTTATTAGTACTATTTCTCAGCACACATAATTCAGTTCTTAAATTACTTAAGGAACTATGTTTTCGAAAGCTGAGATTCTTACCATAATTTACTAATTAATGGCCCACATATATATAAATATACCGTGTTCGTGGATCCGGAATTCACTAACCATATGCCACGCGTTTAGAGCGGGTTTATTTGGCAAACGTAGTTTTATGGATTGTTTGTATTATTATATTAAATAGAATCAGGATCAATTTATAAATATATAGGCAAGCGTAATAAAAAAAACCTGTTAAAATCCTATACGTACTCATGTGTATGTAGTCATCACTAGTACTGTGATTGGCCGAATGCTGAAGCTTTATGCGTTTCTGTGGTACTAGATGTTTCTGTCTATGAATCAGATTGAGTTCAAACTAGGAATTTTTGAGCACAGGTTGAGAGGAAGGCTACTCATGCTGAAATACCCTTTACAACCAGGCACTAAACATATCGTTGAAAAGTGAGCTACACATTGTTCTACTACCAAGTTGAATCAAAAAACTCCACTCTTAATTTTTTTTGAGCACGTGACTATAGGAAGCCTTTAACTGCTATTTATTTATTGGATTGTACAAAACAAAGTAATAGTCTTGTATTTCGTTTTGCATATAGTTACAAGTAATATGTACATGAGTATCTACAACTAGAGTATAGTTCATTATTTTTTTAATACAACGGTATATCGGATATAGTAAATCGTTTGTGAAGCAACTTGTCTGAAACGATCTCGGTGACCGCCTACATGCAGTTTTAAATTATCTCTGTATCCTCTTTGTTTATTCCCTACGGGTAGTTATTCCTACAATTCGATTCTTTATAACGTTTTGTTACACAACGACAATTCGACAGAACAAGCACATTCTTACTTCACAAATCTCCCAGAATACAAATTCTACCCTATATGAAATATATCATTTCCGTTTTATGGCCTGCCACGATCATCTAACCGATGTAACCCGGATTACAGACAATCACCGACCAATCTCAGTTGGTCTTTTTGCGGCCAACATACTAAATTATTGAAGTGCCTGTTGTACAGCAGCTGCGAGTTGGTCCATTGGTGGTGCCTGCTGCTCAGGTACGGGTTGTTGAACGACATGGACGACGACCTGTTGAATTTGTGGTTGTTGCAGAACTCGTTGAATTCCTTGAGTCATGGGCTGCGGCTGAACGACATGGCGAACCACTTGCATCGACTGTTGCAGTTGCTGCAGCTGTTGCTGAAGCAGAAGCTGCTGTTGGTGTTGTCTATCAATCTGTACAGGTTGGCCAGCCGGCTCTTGATGAGTACTGGACTGGCTTTGCTGCTGCTGGTTCTTGATTGGAATTGTTGACCGTTGCTGAATCTCCTGCGGATCCTGATCAGAGCAGAACTGGATCTCATCGTTATTGCCCTGCGGCAGATTGAGTTTAGCTACTTTGCTGGTCGGCCCTTCTTCACCGTCGATGATGACAGCTTCTGCTTGACGCTTTACGTTGGTGTATACTTTGAATTCAGCAGTTTCCCTACCATCCAAAAGTCGCTTTAGCCGAGGGCCTTCAGCCAAATGTGATATGGTCGAATATGGCGTAAAGTGGAACTTTTCTTCCAAGTAACCTTCGCAAAGGGCCCATGCAATTAGATGACCGACATGCTCCCTAACGATGTACGGAGCGTTCTCCTTGTTCAGACGTTTCCTGAAGAGGTCCATCAACTTCCAGCCAGTGACACGCTGGCCCTGCGCGGACTGCTCTTCAAAAATCGTCGAAAACAACTTGATATGTTCGGTTACGTCGAGGATCTGAACCTTAACTGGGTTCCGGCAATTGTCACACATGGCTTCCTCATTCCTGCACCGAATCGGTTCGTCGGCGAACCCCTCGGTCAGGGTTTCCCGAAGAAGCTGCCGTCGACACGTGTCTTTGTCTAGGCAGAATCTGATCATTCGATAGAGATAACGCAGGCCACTTTTATCAGAAAATACAAGAGAAGAGAGACGGAACACATCTTGAAATTTGAACATACAGTAGGCTTGAGCAGGTCGTCCATCACGTCCAGCGCGGCCACTCTCTATATAGTAGTTCTGTAAACTCTTTGATATCGAATAGTGTACTACAAAGCGACAATCACTTTTATGGATGCCCATGCCAAAAGCTGTAGTCGCAACAATGATTTGTATCTTTCCGCTGGCCCATTGTTTGTGCACTTTACTTCGGTACTCCATCTTGAGTTGGTGGTGATACGGTTTCGCTTTAATACTATAATCCTTGACCAGCACCGTTGCCACGTCCTCAGCATCTTTTACTGAGAAACAGCACACCATGCCAGCTTCGTTTGGGTACTTGTCCTGAATCATTCTGGCTATTTCGCCAATTACGTTTTGTCGGCCTGATTCGATGAAGTTCACCTCGTAAGCGATGTTTGACATATCGAGATCTTGTCGTAGCAGTACACGTTTTTCTAGGTTCAGTGCACAGGCCATATCGAATAGAATCGGCTTACTCGCTGTCGAAGTCAATAATAGCATTGGAACCCCAGGGTAGCTAGCCCGCATTGTTGATAATGCTTGGTAATCACTTCGGAAATCGTGTCCCTGCGATGCGCAACACTGTGCCTCGTCGATGACAATTAGTGCTAGCATCTTCTTGTCGTAAGCTTTGCTCACTTTAGCCATGAACTGTTTGCTCTTGTTGATCTTGTCCGGTGTAACAAAAAGTAACATCTTATCTTTAGGTGCCTGCGCCTGTTGGAAGGACATACGCACAATGACATGGTTTAGGTCTTCTTTCGAAAGGTTGATGTGCACGCCAAATGCGGGAAAAGTCGGATCCCTGGCGGAAATTGACATGAGTTGATCCTCCATCAGCGAGGTAAGCGGTGTCACAACGAAGACGAGACCTCGCAAATGCATAGCAGCAAGTTGATAGATCAAGGATTTGCCAGACCCTGCTGGCATCACTACTGTACAGTCGTTCCCTGAAAACATAAGAGTCGCCAAAATAGTGCGAAACAAATGAGTACATTATATTGATATTTCCTTTTGAAGTGCTCATCTAGGGTAGATTAATATCATAAAATAACGCCTCAGCTCAAATTCGTAGCATATGCACGACACTACTGGAGTACGGTCACTTACCCGAGAGTAATGCATTAAGGGCTGCTTCTTGGAGACCACGAAAGTTCTGATAGCCGAACTTTTTATGAAGCAGTGAGCGGATTTTAGTTGTCCACGGAAAATTGCCACCAAGGAACTGATCGACAGGCAGGTCATTCTCGCGAGCTGCCAATTCTCCGCGAAGTCGTTCTCGACGTTTAGCTAGTTCTTCTCGCCGCTCACGAAGTCTTTCCATATGACCATCAATTTCGGCTATTTGAGACTCGATTGATTCGAGGTCATCAGAGTCCAGCTCCATCACGTTACAGCCCGTCCGTCCGTCACGCTTGGGGCTGAATCCATAATAGTAAGAAATAAATATGCGTGTATTTAGTAACTATCGATGATGGAAAAACTAGCGAGTATAGTAATCAGAGTAGCAACAAAGCGTCCTTTAGTTTGAAAAGAAGCACCGTCAACGGATATTGGTCGTCCGATTTGGTGACAATGAGATGCCGCTTTGAAACAACCAATACCTCATTTGTAACTTTGTCGTAGACAATCTCGTATAATTTTATATATATATATGAGTAGTGGAAAAACATTGACCGGTGTAGCATATCTCAGGTAATATGAATCGGGCCGGCGAGGATGTTCCTTAGAAGCGGAGATTTGATAGCAGTAGTATGCGCCAAAATATAGAATTTTTGCAAAAAATCGCTATATTTTACATTTTTTCCGATAAAGACACAAAACCTGCCCAGATTAATGAAAAGTTTGTGCTGTTAATAGTCAGGATTACCGCTGTTTTTTACTATTGATTAACCTCCTTAGAAATGACTTAATTTCGCTGCGTTTCCGTTCCATTTTGTAGATGAAAGTATATTCAAATTCTTTGCATCCGATCATGTGCCACCCAAACAGCGAGCCATTTTCTGTAGCCGGCTTTTTTCAAATCGTGTATAACTTTTAGTGGTAAATGTTTACTTCTTTGGTGATATGACGGTTACCCTCGTGTCAGATTGCTCAACATTCTTAATAACTTCATTAATCTCCTGCAATGCCCTGCAATTGATTGACCACTACGAGGAGCTTCTTTCATATTCAAATTTCTAGATTAAAAAGTGATAGAATCATTTTTGGATCGTTTTTTTATGATAACGCATCTTAACTATGAACAGATTTTGATCAGAGAACTTGATTTTTTTATAAGCCTGGACAGCATTTAGTCATCATATTACTTGCGATATGTACCTTTAAAGCCATCTAAATAGAGGAACTTAATATTTTGATAACCTAGTATATATATAACAGCACGGGAAATCTGCCTGTGATACATACGACAAACGCTTAAAATGTGATTCCGAGAGTACATTAAAGAACCCTTTATTAAGTGCATTTAATTCGTACCTTAAACAGAACGTTTGTTTGTTTCCACAAGTTTTTAGGAGAATATCGTTGAGTACATTACGATCGTAATTTAATATTACAATAGTTATTTTTATCGATTTACTTTGCCGTGTCTAATTTTGTTAGAGATGATATTTCGATAATAATGGCAAACGTGTAAATACACTTAATAAACATACTTGAATATCGTGCTCCATTATTGATACTGCCTCGTGTTAGAGGCCGTTCCCAAGCACCCGATTTGCTGCATTTACCGCGAGCTACAAAGGTAAACCCAGCGGGTTTGGCTAAGCTGACCGACAAGTAGCGTCCCGTTAATCATCAGCAAGCCACACTAAGCAGCCGTCGGACTACCAAACACAGCAACTAATCTAGATTTGTCTTTTTGCAGTTCGCCGACTTCTAAATCCGCAGTATCCTCACACTACAAAGCGCACAGATCCACAGTCACTCTTGGTGTCGAACTTCAACACGCGATTAGGCCGTGATATTTGCGATTGCGGGACTGATAATTATAAAAAATAACGCACGTTGATATTGGCGGCCTAGTACTTAACAACGCTTTGTCGAGTGACCACAAGGTCACGACTGGCAGGTCGCTTCCAACAGCGGACCAGGTCGTCCATTTATCTTATTAGAGAAAAAGAAGGCAAGACTGAGACCGGATTAGGATCGAGGCCTATGTTCCATGTCATGTTCTATGTGTGTTTAATCGGACACGTATCAAAGGATCTTGGCGGGCTAAAATCGTTATAACTCCACCCATGTATCCGTACCTCCCTGATTCCGGCTCATCTGTTCTAGTCTACTTGTTCTACACGCATCTTTGTTAATATTTCTTACGATTTTTGATTCGAATCTCCATCCCACCAATATTCGTGTCTCTTTATTCAACATTTAACAGCAGGCTAATAAGGCCAACTTATCCTTGACGACTGCCGCCAGAGTCCCACGGCTGTTCATTGCGAATTCGCGCATTTGAAGCGAGTGACAAACCGTTGATCACCATGACGGCCATATGCCTGAGCTGTTATCCTTGAATAAAAAGCCACCACGGAAGTAGTAATCGTAACAGAAGTAGAGGTGTTTAGTCTCGGCTGTCTTTGTTGTCAATTGCCACTAGCGCATATCCTTTGTTTTACACACACAAATCATCTGACGAATGCGTTCACTATGCGGTTGGCGGCAGCGCTTCCCCATGTGTGCGATACGTTCTGCCCGCGAAGAGCAAGTAATCGGTAGTCAGCGCTAGTGGGCAGTTTAATTCGACGTGCTCAGGAAAGGTGGATGGACTGGGAGCGCAGACGCTGTGATTATACAGTGGCCATTGGCAGATGGAAATTTTTGAAAACTACACAATAATCATAAGTAAAGCGTCGGAAACCAGTGGGTACAACTGGCATAAGCTACTTACGGTGACTCGAACGACACACGACTGCAATCAGGTGCTAAGCGAATCTGAGTACAGGTGGGTCTCTGTTAATGGCGAACACTTCATCAGAGATGGGATCTGCCGTGCCACCCTGAAGCAGCTTGGAAAAACTGGCGGATTGATATCTGCACAGATACATACACCATGGACAAGTTTAACCAAAACAGATCACGAACTGAATAACTCCAGATACACTCGGTTTCACGTTGTTTATTAAATGCAAATTTCGGCTAGCGAAAAAATCCACATGATTACTGTCTATATATATTGTAACGGTTCTTACAAGACGATTATTTTAGACACAAAATTCCATAAACAGAGGGCCCGTCCCAGAATGGCGGGTGGATCTTGTTTGCAGCGCGGAGTAGTCGGTTGCCTACTATTTTCCAACGCTCTGTATGTGGTGAGAGTTGTCGCCAGTTACCAAAGCGGGTGACTGCTTCGATAAACGGCAACAGTGCCACCGCAGACCGGCGGCGAGTTCGGCAGTCGGTTTTTGCTGTTTCATCTACTGAGTACTATTTATGTGAATGGAACATAAGTAAGACTGGTGCAGGTGGTGTGGATGGTGGTGGTTTCTTGTGGGTAATTCTTTGGTGCTGCTGCTGCCATTAGGCAAATCAGAACAGGACACCTTGGCCGACCCAGCAGGTGTGACCTGATGGCCTCCGAAGGGGGCGCGGAGACAAGTCCTCCGCCCGAAGTGTCCCTGGCGGCTAGCCAGGATGTGGCAAAGTACATCAAAAAGGTGGTGACGGCAATGTTCGATACCGAATCCGGAGGTGCCTTAGATCTTGCGCTAAGCGACAGAAATAATTTAGATTCGATTCAGAAGTTTATCGCCGATCCTCAGATTCGCTCGCTGCTCGTGCAGAGTTCCAGCACTAAAGGTGAGGATGATTCCGTTGACAGTACGATGACAGCAAACCCGCTGTGATAGATCAATATAAGTTTAAAGGTGAAACTGCGTAATGATCTCACCTGTTAAAACCGGATCCCGCAGATTATAGGTAAAAATAGGTAAAACTGATCTTAAATTTTCAAGCTCGTGCCACATATGGCACGCCCCTTTTTTATGTATTGGATTAACAAAATACACATGTCGCTACCCCGTCTAAGTCCACTTCCCTAACAATTCACTTTACCTCTGTGATAGTTTTCATTTGACATTCGACGGTGAATCATTGGGTAGTAAAAACATTTCTTATTTGTATATACATTTGTCGCGAATGTGAGGCTCAATTTCCCATTCGTCTTTCTTTGTGCAGATGGTATAGCGTATCCGATTTACGACGAAACGGTGTCTGCCGAGATTTAAGTATGTTCGCTCTATTAACAAGTACGTATGTAATTGCTGCTCCTTCCGCTTGGGGCGAGGTTTAGAAGGTATTCTGATAGGCGTTACCCATCCAGAGTAGTGGACATGTGCGTTGTGACGAAGTACAGGGGATGCTTTGTGGTCATAGATGCCCTTTGTACAGATACTTTTACAGCAAACAGTACTCAGGCGATTGGGTTAATCAGTATGTCTAAGAATAATTCGCATGGCACGGTCATTATTTAGCTATAGCCAGGGCAAATGCCGCTAAACTTTATACAACATGTCCGACCCGCAGCATCGTCATAGAAATATAGTTATTCTCGTTTGTTGGAGAAACACGAACGGAATCTGTATGCATATTTATTACAATTTCTCATAATCTTAGATACCAAAGCACTTTTAACTGGACTCCAACATGTGCACATTATTTGGTTCACTCTGGACCGGGAAGTACATGCCGCTCCAGCATGCGACATTCTAAGGCAACCTTCTACCAGACTTCAAGGCATGTCTAATCACGGCAACACCACACCAGTGAATACAATCACCAAAACCGACAGAGAGACTTCTTCAAGCGATGGATAGGTCAATGTCGGGCAATGAATTAAAAACAGTATATTTTATATCCGATAGACGTCTGCTAAAGGTATCTACTGTAATAAATCAGTAATATTGTAATCTGTTTGATGCCACAGAAAATAATTTTCAGTATGTAAGTAGCCAATATATTTTGTGGGATTCCGTCTCAATCAATTAACCATATAATCTATCTATCGTAAAATGCTAATTGAATTCAACTTAAATTCTAACACACTAAGGTGAACAAGTTATGGGATACTAATATAACGTTTGGAAGTGTTTGGTGTACAATGGTGGTGCAAATATATGCTTTGACTTTTACGACACGCTCGCTGTTTTTACCCAGTTGACTTGCCATTTTCCGCCGATTGATAATTTAGGTAAAATATATACAGCGTTGCAAGTTATAGTTAGTTATAGTGTGTACCTTTTGTTTTAAAATTGAATGTGCACAGTTTGAGCTTTTCGAACCTTATTTTTGGTATTGATGAACTACCCGTTGGGATTTTCATGAGAATGGTTGAATCTCAAAAACTGCTAGTTAAGAAAAACAAATCAGACTAAAATTGATTTTTCTATCAAATTTAGTATGTTTTGACCCACCCACCTGTTGAATAACCGTGATTGGACAAAGAACTCTGTTTGTTGGTATTTCTACGGTATTTTCATTTATTGCTGTTTCAGCACGTTACTAAACCTAGGTCGAGTATTGTTCTGTTGCAAAACATAGAATTAACATTACTAACAAGTGTTTATATGCGAAATTTGAAAGGCCCCGCTATGTTTTCGATGTTCTCTATGCATTCCTTTCAATGTTCAGCAACATTTAACTTATATAGGATAATAAAAATTAGAATACTTAAATTATTTGATACGTTAAGCGTTTTATTTTTCGGTGTATTTCAGGTATATTTTCAGTTTAAACCTGGTTTTCACTGATGTTGATTGTTTATTCGCGATATATTACAGATGAGGAGTTGGATCAACCAGCCTCGGACGTGGGTATGCCTTCCTACGAAGACGTAATCTACGTTATCTCAGATGAAGTTCACTTCTCCAACCCGAAGGTAACGAAGCAAGATCGGTTTCGATGAACCGCAGATATAAGGATTACATAAAACAACATTAAATGTACCTCTAGACTAGATGCCCTTAGCTTTCGGATGGTTAGACTTGCATAGAATATCATTTTCGCAAACAGTATTTTATAAATATATTTTATCGATGCATCTAAAAACCATTTTCTTCAACAGGTGAACTCTCTGGTGATGATTAAAAAAGGTCTTGTGATTGAGGCAGATAAGAAGATCGCCTTCCAGGTTCGGGTGATGAACCTATCTGATGCGTCGCCGTACGAGACTTTACACAGCTATATTGCCGGTGCCGTAGCTCCGTATTTCAAGAGTTACGTGAGACAAACGGGCCGCGTTGAAAGGTTCGAAAATTGTTCATTGAATGTGTAATCCTGTCGTCAACGCGTGCTCTCAGTACAGAGTCCCGTCTTTCGCAATATCAGCAGATTACATATCGCAATATATAATACTGACTCAAATGTTAGTTTTCTGAAATATCTGTAAATGATTTTATTTGACCACAAAGTACCTTAGTATTTAGTTATACTGTGACAAAATGCCCAAACAACGATATGTATCACGTATACGTTGAGAAAGTTGGAAAACTGCATTTCAGGCACAGCTGAATCTGTAAAAACTTTGATCGTTCTGTAAATGTTGTTTTTGGCCCTAGACAAGCATCAGTCATTTAACAAAAACAAGCAAAATTATTTTTAGATTGTCACCAATATATATGATCTATCCTTTTTTTGAAAAGATTGCCTTACTACAAAATTAGATTGTAAATGTGTTTGCTGGTTGTGATTTATTGGCTATATGACAGAGATGGCGATAAGATGGCCCCCAACGTAGAGAAGAAGATCGCTGAGCTCGAAATGGGATTGTTGCATTTGCAACAAAACATTGATATCCCTGAGATCTCGCTCGTAGTGCATCCGACAGTGGCTCAGGTCGTCAAGAAGTACCTTGAGGAAGAAGGTCGAAAAGCTAATGTTAATGATTTTGGCGACAAGGCAAGTTTTGCACAGCAAAATTTCAACATTTCATTCGCATTTCAACAGAAACAGTACAATTGGTATTGTGAACCAGTTATAATTACCTACCAACTCTTTGTAAAGGTTTTTGGTTTTTAATTGACGACATGATCAATTGATGATGTCTAGCATTCTGCAATTAGATAACGGTTATTGCCATACTTACAGTAGTCTCGTTTGGTGTGTTTAATACAGGTGGAAGATTCGACTTTCCTAAATCAACTGCAGACGGGTGTTAATCGTTGGATACGTGAGATTCAAAAAGTGACCAAGTTAGACAGAGACCCGTCGTCCGGCACAGCCCTTCAAGAGATATCATTTTGGCTTAACCTTGAACGAGCATTGCTTCGTATCCAAGAAAAGCGGGAGTTGCATGAGGTCGCTCTGACACTTGACATTCTAAAGAAAGGGAAACGTTTTCATGCTACAGTATCGTTCGACACCGACACTGGTCTTAAGCAGGCATTAGCCACCGTAAACGATTACAATCCTCTTATGAAGGATTTTCCTCTTAATGATCTGCTATCGGCAACGGAGCTGGACAAAATAAAAATGGCTCTTCAAAGCATTTTCACTCATTTGCGCAAAATCCGCAACACCAAGTATCCGATTCAGCGTGCCCTAAAACTTGTTGAAGCTATCTCAAGAGATCTGATGAACCAGCTACTCAAGGTCTTGGGTACACGTCGGCTGATGCATATTCCTGCTGACGAGTTTGAGAAGGTGATGACCGCCTGTTTCGAAGTCTTTAACGCCTGGGACGAAGAATACGAGAAGCTTAATGGGCTACTTCGGGATCTCGTCAAAAAGAAGCGCGACGAAACATATAAAATGGTGTGGAGATTATGCCCTGCCCATAAGTTGCTACAATCCCGTATGGAGCAGATGCGCAAATTCCGCCGACAACACGAACAGCTCCGGTCGGTGATCATTCGAGTGCTGCGTCCTCAGGCAGCTCCGATAGCGGAGACAACTGCTCCAATCACTCAATTGACGACCCAGCTCGATTCCCTGGAACTAGCTTCTGATGTGAATGCTATCGAGGAAGTGAATCTGGCCTATGAGAACGTGAAGGAGGTCGACGGCCTGGACATTAGTAAAGAGGGCAGTGAGGCCTGGGATGCCGCGTGCAAGCGGTATGAGGAACGCATTGATCGTGTAGAAACCCGAATCACAGCGAAGCTAAGAGATCAGCTTGGCACAGCCAAGAACGCCAATGAAATGTTCCGTATCTTCTCGCGGTTTAACGCCCTATTTGTACGGCCTCACATCCGCGGTGCAATTCGTGAGTACCAGACGCAGCTGATTCAAAGGGTAAAAGATGATATTGAAGCCCTACATTCCAAGTTTAAAGTTCAGTATCCTATTTCGAAGGCGTGTCGCATGTCAAAAGGGAGAGATTTACCACCCGTATCTGGGTCAATCATCTGGGCAAAACAGATTGATCGACAGCTTTCGGTTTACATGAAGCGAGTCGAAGACGTTCTCGGCAAAGGTTGGGAGAATCATGTTGAAGGTCAGAAACTTAAAGGTGATGCAGAAAGCTTTCGTTTAAAGCTCAACACACAAGGCATCTTTGATGAGTGGGTTCGTAATGTACAAGACCATCAGCTTGGAGTGGCTGGTCGAATTTTTTCCGTAGACTCACAGAGAACCCGTACGAGGACTATACAACGAATTCGGGTGCGCTTTTCCACTGAAGTGATAACTCTTGCCAAAGAAACCAGAAATCTCAAAGCGATGGGTTTTCGCGTACCGTTAGCTATCGTAAACAAAGCGCATCAGGCTAACCAGCTGTATCCGTTTGCCATTTCTTTGATTGAGAGTATGCGCACTTATGAAAAGACATGTGAAAAAATCGAGGAACGACCAAACATCAGCCTTCTAATTGCTGGACTTAAGAAGGACGTCCAGAATTTGATCATGGAGGGTGCCTCACTTATCTGGGAGTCATACAAACTGGATCCATACGTACAAAAGCTGGCTGAAATTATTTTCATGTTTCAAGAAAAGGTGGACGACTTGCTCGTCGTTGATGAATGTGTAGATGCTGAAGTGAAAGCGCTGGAGACTAGCCCGTACAGTCAGCAAAATTTTGCGGATATCCTAGCAAAAATTCAGAAGAGTGTGGATGACCTCTCGTTGAAACAATATTCCAATCTGGCCTTGTGGGTTAGTCGGCTAGACGAGGAGGTCGAAGGTCGCTTGGCTAAACGGCTCGGCGAAGGAATCAAAGCCTGGACAGAGGCCTTGGAAGGCAAGAAAGAAGACGACAACGTCGAGCAAGACGCGCTTCGGGATAGCACCCCGACGATAGAGACTGCTCCAGACTTCCCGGGAACGTGCAAGCTGGGAGGTGAGCCCAAAATCCAGACGCTGATGCACGAAATCCGTATTCTTAATCAGATCATGTACGTATCACCCTCAATTGAGGAGAGCCGTTGTAAGCTATTGGAGCAATTTTTCATCTGGGAGAACATTGTACTTGGCCAGAACCGCATTCAATCTAGCCGATACCAGGTCGGGCTCGAGCAGGTGCCTCAGTCGGCTACAACGTACAAGAATATCTTCACGAAAATACCTGACGGTGCCGTTGTTATGGAGTCTGCCTATCTAGCAATCGAGGCGACTGTGAAACAGATGCGCGACTATGTTGACGAATGGTTACGGTACCAGTCACTATGGGATCTTCAGCCAGAACAGCTGTATCATCGGCTGGGGGAAGACATTGGCCTTTGGATGAACACCCTTGTAGAAATCCGCAAGTCGCGTTCAACTTTTGATACTTCGGAGACGCGAAAAGACATCGGACCCATAACTGTTGACTATGCGAAGGTACAGAGCAAAGTGAGTCTGAAATACGATTCATGGCATAAGGAAGTCTTGGGCCGTTTTGGTACTCTGCTCGGTAATGAGATGCTCTCCTTTCATACGACTATTTCAAAATCGCGTAACGAGCTCGAACAGCAGTCCATCGATACAGCGTCGACTTCGGATGCTGTTCAGTTTATCACGTACGTTCAGAGCCTCAAGCGAAAGATGAAGCCGTGGGAGAAGCAAGTCGAGCTGTACAAAGAGGGTCAACGTATTCTAGAGAGACAGCGTTTTCAATTCCCCAATAACTGGCTTCACGTTGACAATGTAGAAGGCGAGTGGGGTGCGTTCAATGAGATGATTCGTCGAAAGGATGCAGCCATTTCGACGCAGGTAGCATCGCTGCAGATGAAAGTTGTTCAGGAGGACAAGGCCGTTGAGGCACGTACCAACGAGTGTCTATCAGAGTGGGACCGCTGCAAACCCGTTCAAGGGTCACTGAAGCCACAGGATGCTATGCAACAGCTTGCACTTTTCGAGAGTAAGCTCGGCCGGCTTCGCGAGGACCGTGACAACCTGCATAAAGCCAAGGAGGCGCTTGAGCTTGAGTTGCAAACCGGAAGTGACGAACGCGTACAAGTTGCATTCGAAGAACTGCGTGACCTCAAAGGCGTCTGGGGCGAACTTGCTAAGATTTGGGAACAGATCGACCAAATGAAGGAGCAGCCGTGGCTGTCTGTGCATGCTAGAAAGCTTCGTCAAGCTTTAGATGGCCTGCTCAACCAGCTCAAAGAGCTACCAGCTCGCCTACGGCAATATGCCTCGTACGATTATGTTAAGCGCACGATTCAGGCTTACACAAAAGTCAATATGTTGGTTGTGGAACTAAAGAGCGACGCATTGAAGGAACGTCACTGGAAGACGCTAATGAGGCAGCTCAAGGTGAACTGGGTGCTTTCGGAGCTGACGCTGGGACAGGTGTGGGATATTGATCTTCAGGCAAATGAAGGTATTATCCGAGATGTAATTCTTGTTGCCCAGGGAGAAATGGCCCTTGAGGAGTTTCTCAAGCAGGTTCGTGAGGCGTGGCAGACCTACGAGTTAGATCTGATCACTTATCAAAACAAGTGCAAATTAATACGTGGCTGGGATGACCTGTTCAACAAGGTTAAGGAGCACATTAACTCAGTGGCTGCAATGAAGCTGTCACCTTACTACAAGGAGTTTGAAGAAGAGGCCTTATCATGGGAAGAAAAATTAAACCGAATTAATGCAATCTTCGACGTATGGATTGATGTCCAACGACGATGGGTTTACCTGGAAGGCATCTTCAGTGGCAGTGCTGATATTCAAACTTTATTGCCTATGGAGACTTCGCGATTCCAGAGCATCTCCAGCGAGTTCCTAACGCTCATGAAGAAGGTAAGGTTTTAATCATACTCGGTAACATTTCTAATATTCTTTTTAAACCGTTTTCTTATGCAGTACAATGAAAATCACAAAAAGATAAACAGTTAAGTCTTAGATGAATCCTTCCCATTGATAATCAGTCGTCTTGTTTTCGTAACTACTGGTGCAAATAAATTTTTATTACCCAATGTGTGTCGCAGCTTTCCGTTTAAATGGTGTTCCTACCAAAATCTCAGCAAAATTTTCCAAACTAAATGCCGTTTTCAGGTATCCAAATCTCCACTTGTGATGGACGTGCTCAATATTCAGGGCGTGCAGCGCTCACTGGAACGGCTGGCGGATCTCTTGGGCAAAATCCAAAAAGCTCTCGGAGAGTATCTTGAACGTGAAAGGTCTTCATTTCCACGATTTTATTTTGTCGGAGACGAAGACCTGCTTGAAATCATTGGCAATTCGAAGAACATTCCTAGATTGCAGAAGCATTTCAAAAAGATGTTCGCTGGAGTGTCCTCAATTATTCTGAATGAGGACAACACAGTGGTTCTCGGTCTATCGTCTAAAGAAGCCGAGGAAGTACGCTTCGTAACGCCGGTCTCCATCGCTGAGCATCCGAAGATTAACGAATGGCTCACCATGGTAAGGATGCCGGAACTAATGTAATTCAATTCAAAGCTTACTTTATTAATAACGTTGGCACAGCGAGTAGGTTAAGCTACCACATCCGTACCTGAGACACCTAGCATGTACTGATACGTTATTCGAGTCACTGGACGCATCAGCAACATTTATCTGTGTTCTTTTTCCAGGTTGAACAAGAAATGAGGTTCACACTTGCGAAAATGTTGGCCAAGGCTGTAGCAACCATTGCTCCATTCAGAGAGGGTAATATTGATCAGGCGGCATTCATGTGCTGGTGCGATGACTACCAAGCTCAAATCGTCGGTCTTGCTGCTCAGATTTCTTGGTCCGAAGACGTCGAGCAGGCGCTACAAGCCATACAGAATAATGGCAATCGAAATTTGGCGCCACTTCAGAAAGTGCTAGACAGCGTTCAGCGAACATTAGGTGTTTTAGCCGATTCTGTTCTCCAGGAACAACCACCACTCCGTCGTAAAAAGCTCGAACATTTAATAACCGAGTTTGTACACAAGAGGGATGTGACACGTCGGATGATCAAGAGCGGCGTCGATTCTCCGAAGGACTTCCAATGGCTTTCACAGATGCGTTTCTATTTCGATCCGAAACAGAGCAATGTGTTGGAGCAACTTTCCATTAATATGGCTAATGCTAAGTTTAACTACGGTTTCGAATACCTAGGCGTACAGGAGAAACTTGTCCAGACTCCGCTTACAGATCGTTGTTATTTGACAATGACGCAGGCGCTGGAATCTCGCTTGGGCGGGTCTCCGTTCGGTCCAGCCGGTACTGGAAAAACCGAGTCAGTTAAAGCTCTTGGCAATCAATTAGGTCGTTTCGTCCTCGTATTTAACTGTGACGAAACTTTCGACTTCCAGGCAATGGGCCGCATCTTTGTTGGTCTATGTCAGGTCGGTGCGTGGGGATGTTTCGATGAGTTCAACCGACTTGAGGAACGAATGTTGTCGGCTGTTTCACAGCAGATCCAAATGATTCAAGAGACGTTGCGTAGCCGCCTAAACAGCCCCGACTGCCGAGACACCCATCAGGTGGAGCTTCTTGGCAAGCAAGTAAAGGTATCGACGGACATGGCAATCTTCATTACTATGAATCCTGGCTATGCGGGTCGTTCGAATCTTCCTGACAATCTAAAGAAGCTATTCCGTTCACTTGCGATGACGAAGCCTGATCGACAGTTAATTGCACAGGTGATGCTCTTCTCACAAGGTTTCCGTTCAGCCGAGAAGCTGGCCAGCAAAATTGTGCCCTTTTTCAAGCTCTGCGATGAACAATTATCAAATCAAAGCCATTACGATTTCGGGCTTCGTGCTCTTAAGAGTGTGCTAGTAAGCGCAGGCAACATTAAACGCGACCGGATCCAACGTATCAAGGATGCCAAAAAGAGCTCCGGTGAGGAAGTAGAAGAGAGCAAAATTGCTGAAAAACTTCCAGAGCAAGAAATCCTCATACAGTCTGTGTGCGAAACTATGGAGCCTAAACTTGTAGCCGAAGATATACCATTGCTGAAATCACTCATGAGCGACGTGTTTCCTGGCGTCGACTACCATGGAGCCGAAATGACAGAGCTGAAAGGGCATATTCACGAGGTGTGCCGTCAAATGTATCTCGTGTCTGGCGAAGGAGACGCAATGGGCGGAGCTTGGATGGAAAAAGTGCTTCAACTTTACCAGATCTCCAACCTCAATCATGGCCTAATGATGGTAGGCCCTTCAGGTAGTGGCAAGTCGGTAGCATGGAAGGTGCTCCTCAAAGCGCTTGAGCGCTATGAGGGCACCGAAGGTGTTGCTCATCTCATCGATCCAAAGGCAATTTCAAAAGAGGCACTGTACGGCGTCCTCGATCCGAATACGCGTGAATGGACAGACGGTTTGTTCACTCATATTTTACGTAAAATTATTGACAACGTCCGTGGAGAGATTAGCAAGCGACAGTGGATTATTTTTGACGGCGATGTTGATCCAGAATGGGTAGAGAATCTAAACTCGGTTCTTGACGATAACAAACTGTTGACGCTACCAAACGGAGAACGTCTTTCAATACCACCTAACGTGCGTATTATGTTTGAAGTACAGGACCTGAAATACGCTACACTCGCTACCGTCTCACGTTGCGGTCAGTTGATTTCACGTTTATTGTGATTCACTTTCAGAGGTAGAGAGATTAAAATGTTCACTTTTATAAATATGAAAGAAATGAGCGAAATAAGAACATCTCGAATTGTTAAGAAACATTGATTTCTGTTAGCAATACTTCAAACAAGCATGCAACAATGTATATATATTAATGACAATATAATATCGATATTTCTGTTTCAGGTATGATTTGGTTCTCCGAGGACGTCTTGTCAACTCAGATGATTTTCCAAAACTACTTCAATCGACTTCGCGCGATTCCGCTCGAAGAGGATGAGGATACCAAAACCGCACGTACGAAGAACAAAGACGAAGCTGACTCAGCTTCACCTATAATTACCCTGCAAAATGATGTTGCAACCATTCTACAGCCACACTTCGCTGAAAGCGATCTGGTGATAAAGGCAATGGAGTTCGCCAAAGATCACCTCGATCACATCATGGATTTCACAAGGTTGCGTGCTCTGTCCTCACTTTTTTCGATGCTAAATCAGGCCGTGAGAAACGTGATTCAATACAATTCAAGCCATCCCGATTTCCCTATGCAGCAGGATGCCCTCGAAAAGTACATGACAAAAAGCCTTGTCTATGGGTTGTTGTGGAGCTTCAGTGGAGATGGCAAGTTGAAAGCACGCACTGATCTTGGCGACTACCTACGCTCGGTAACAACGATACCGCTGCCGCCTACGAGCCAGGCTATTATCGACTTTGAGGTTTGTTTATTTTTTCGTTCGCCTTTAACATGCATTTGTTATGACGGTATCACTATTGAATTGCCCTCTAAAGTTAGATTGTTTCATCCATTCGTTTATACAACTCATCGTTTTCAAAATTATTATTATACTAATCGGATGCAGTTTACATCTACAGTTACTGCTGTGCTTATTAACCAAACCATTTCTGTCTCGTACAGGTGTCTATTCAAACGTGCGAATGGACTTCGTGGGCGGCCAAAGTTCCACAGATTGAGGTGGAGACGCACAAGGTCGCCGCTCCCGATGTGGTTATTCCCACCATGGACACGGTGCGTCATGAGAGCCTACTATATACCTGGCTGGCGGAACACAAACCACTTGTACTCTGTGGACCGCCAGGCTCCGGCAAGACTATGACGCTTTTCTCAGCCCTACGCTGTCTGCCCGACATGGAGGTGGTCGGCCTCAATTTTTCCTCAGCCACTACCCCCGAGCTGTTGCTCAAGACATTTGATCACTACTGCGAGTATAAGAAAACACCAAACGGCATGATCCTCAGTCCAATTCAAATTGGCAAGTGGCTTGTTCTCTTCTGTGACGAGATCAATCTTCCCGATCAGGACAAATACGGCACAATGCGAGTTATTTCTTTCCTGCGCCAGATGGTGGAGCATGGTGGATTCTACAGGACAGTCGACCAGGTGTGGGTGAAGCTGGACCGAATCCAGTTCGTGGGCGCATGTAATCCTCCCACTGATCCGGGACGGAAACCTTTATCGCATCGATTCCTGCGGCATGTGCCCATCGTCTACGTCGACTATCCTGGGGAGACGTCGCTAAAGCAGATTTATGGTACGTTCAATCGGGCGATGCTTCGCATGGTGCCAGCACTCAAATCGTACTCAGAGCCACTCACGTCGGCGATGGTCGAATTTTACCTCAAATCCCAGGAGCGATTCACGCAGGACATGCAGCCACATTACGTGTATTCGCCACGAGAGCTTACCCGGTGGGTTCGGGGTATCTGCGAGGCTGTGCGTCCTCTTGAGACGCTCTCGGTCGAAGGTCTTGTACGACTGTGGGCACATGAGGGTCTGCGGCTCTTCCAGGACCGTCTAGTGGAGGATCAAGAACGCCAATGGACGGACGAGAACATTGACTTAGTTGCCCTTCGACATTTTCCAAACATCCACCGTGAAGAGGCACTTGGTCGGCCTATTCTCTATTCAAATTGGCTGTCGAAAGACTACGTTCCGATTAAGCGAGAAGAGTTGCGCGACTATGTTCGAGCCCGACTCAAGGTGTTCTACGAAGAGGAACTCGACGTACAACTGGTTCTCTTTAATGAGGTGCTTGACCACGTGCTTCGCATTGATCGAATCTTCCGTCAGCCACAAGGCCACTTGTTGTTGATTGGGGTGTCAGGTGCAGGAAAAACGACACTGTCACGTTTTGTGGCCTGGATGAACGGTCTCAAGGTCTTCCAAATTAAGGTCCACAACCGCTATACAGCAGCGGACTTTGATGAAGATCTACGTAACGTGCTGCGTAGGGCTGGTTGTAAGGGTGAGAAAATTGCGTTCATCCTGGATGAGGGGAACGTACTCGACTCGTCGTTCCTCGAAAGGATGAATACTCTCCTAGCCAACGGAGAGGTACCAGGTCTATTTGAAGGCGATGAATACACGACCCTAATGACTCAATGCAAGGAGGGATCTCAACGGGAAGGACTTATGCTCGACTCTAACGAAGAGCTCTACAAATGGTTTACAGGTAAGCAAATCGTCCACGTGTTTCAAACCGTTTCTGGCAAACCATGTATTAAAAAAACGGATTGGGTATCCACACCAAGTATCAGTGTTTTTTTAAAATCAAATATGTTGTCTGGTTAATCACTGGATAAGATGTATTGCAGTCAGTTTATTTTGTGGTGCTCATTTGGACATACAATAATTTGTTTCAAATTCTGAATTGGTGTTTATTTGATATGGATTCAATTATAGGCCAAGTAATGCGAAATCTGCACGTGGTGTTCACGATGAACCCTTCAGTAAACGGTCTGAAAGACAGAGCTGCAACGTCACCTGCATTGTTTAATCGATGTGTGCTCAACTGGTTCGGTGACTGGTCTGATGAAGCGTTGTACCAAGTCGGACTCGAGTTTACTCGAAGACTCGACATTGATCGCATTGAGGTGAGTATTAACGAATCGACGTAAAACCGGAAAAATTTAATTTTACTGCGTGTCGTAGCTCATCCAGTGGCCTCTCGCATATGCTATGGGTGCAAAAATTGCTTTAACTAAATATTTTAGCTAAAGAAATTAAAATCAAAACTTTATACTGTTGCAAATTTAAATAAATAATGGTAATAAATACTGATTATTCTCACAGTACCGCCAGCCGGACTACTTTCCAGTTGTGGTATCAAGCTTGGAGACACCTTTGAACTACCGACAAGCCATTGTCAACGCATTTGTCTATGTGCACCAGACACTCCACAAAGCGTCAGTTCGTTTGGCTAAACGTGGCGGGCGGCAAACCACTATTACGCCTCGGCACTATCTTGACTTCATTTCGCATTACGTCAAACTTTACAATGAGAAACGATCGGAGCTCGAAGACGAGCAACTCCACCTCAACATTGGCCTGCAGAAAATCCGAGAGACCGTCGATCAGGTCGAAGAAATGCAAAAGTCATTAGCGCTTAAGTCACGTGAACTCGAGGAGAAGAACACCGCAGCTAACGCCAAACTAAAGGAGATGCTATCAGGACAACAGGAGGCAGAAAAGAAGAAGGTGGAAAGTCAACGTATTCAGCATTCGCTACGTGAACAAGAAGCGATCATTGCTGAGAAACGCAAGAGTGTTATGGAAGACCTGTCTAAGGTGGAACCCGCCGTGGAAGAAGCACAAACAGGTTTGCTGGAGGTTTTCATTTTTCATAGCTTCATAACATTACTAGCTTCATGTGAACATAGAATTATAGAAAATACCAATTCTCTTTGTATTATATGATTGTTTGAACAAGGTATATTCTTTTGTTATCCCTGCAGCTGTGAAGTCAATCAAGAAGCAGAATCTGGTTGAAATCCGTTCAATGGCGAACCCTCCACCACCCGTCAAGATGACCCTTGAGGCTATCTGCCTTCTGCTCGGTGAGAATGCTCCGGACTGGAAGGCCATTCGCGGTGTCATCATCAGAGACAACTTTATCTCCACTATTATCAACTACAACGCCGAGGCTATATCGTATGTGCTTTCAAATGCCACTTGTTTAGTAACGTCTTCTTTCTGCCCTCCACTTTTAATTCTGCTTATGCATGTTAAATTGTGCAAAGGTAATAGTCAGAAAATATAATGTATTGTTACCAACGTCTATTTCAGGGATGATATTCGGGACAAGATGAAGCAAAAGTACCTAGACAATCCCGATTTCAACTATGAGAAGATTAATCGTGCCTCCGTCGCTTGTGGACCGATGGTCAAATGGGCAATTGCCCAGTGCAATTACGCCGACATGTTAAAAAGAGTCGAGCCCCTCCGCAACGAACTGTCCAGTCTGGAAGCGTCAGCCAACAAGAACAAGGAGGAGGCCAATGAGATGAACCGTGTCATTGATGACCTTGAACGTAGTATTGCATCCTACAAGGAAGAGTATGCCAACCTGGTAAGCGAGGCCCAGAGCATCAAGAGTGATCTGGCCAATGTTCAAGCCAAGGTGGACCGCTCCATTAATCTCCTCAGATCTCTCGGCGGTGAGAAGGATCGCTGGGAGCTTACGAGTGAAACTTTCAAGAATCAGATGGCTACCATCTCTGGTGACGTGCTATTGGGATCAGCATTTCTCGCATATGCAGGCTATTTCGACCAGTCATACAGGCAGAACCTTTTTAATAACTGGTGCACTCACCTTCATCAGGCTGCCATCAGCTTTCGTCTGGATATTGCTCGAACTGAATATCTGTCAACGGCCGACGAACGGCTAAGGTGGCAGGCGAATTCTCTTCCGTCGGATGACCTCTGCACCGAAAACGCCATTATGCTGAAGAGGTTCAATCGGTATCCGCTTATTATTGACCCGTCTGGCCAAGCGACAGAGTACATTATGCAAGAGTTCAAAGATAAGAAAATCACGAAGACGTCGTTCCTAGACGATTCGTTCAGAAAGAACCTCGAATCCGCCCTCCGTTTTGGCAATCCACTTTTAGTACAGGACGTCGAGAGCTACGACCCGATTCTTAACCCGGTTCTCAATCGAGAAGTACGCAAGACCGGCGGCCGGGTCCTGATCACGCTAGGTGACCAGGACATTGATTTATCACCCACGTTCTCGATTTTCTTGTCAACAAGGGACCCGACTGTCGAATTCCCACCGGATCTCTGTTCCCGAGTGACATTTGTCAACTTCACTGTGACACGAAGCTCGTTGCAAAGCCAGTGTCTAAACCAAGTTTTGCGTTCCGAGCGGCCAGATATAGACGAAAAACGAACGGATCTGCTTAAACTGCAAGGAGAGTTCCAGGTGCGGCTACGTCAGCTAGAGAAATCGCTGTTGCAAGCGCTTAACGACTCCAAGGGTCGCATTCTGGATGACGATAGCGTTATCTCTACCCTTGAAAAGCTGAAGACCGAGGCTGCTGAAATTTCAAGGTATAATATGCGCCCTGCCATAAACACAATCGCTAAAGTAGGTAAAAACTTAGTGGCTGGCAAGAGAATCCGTTTTATTACAGTAATCTTAGGAATTTCACAAAACATTCAAAATTTTTTATGCTGCCGCAGATGCCCGTGACGGTGTAGTGGTAACTTGGTTGCTTACTAAACCTGAAAACACTTAATGAGGCGGTGTGTTTTTTAAAACCCGATGTAGACACTTCGTTTCGTGATAAAAAACAGATATTTAAAGCACTACTTAACGGCAGTCCCGAGCTTAACTTTTGAAACGTTGATTAATGCTGAAATAAGTATTGCGTACATTAAATACTCGTATAATTTGTGTGCTAATAAAACATTATTTTAATTTACAGAAAAGTAGAGGAGACGGACAAGGTTATCGCCGAAGTAGACTCGGTGTCGCAGCAGTACATGCCATTGGCCACCGCTTGCTCATCAATCTACTTTACTTTAGAAGGCCTGAATCAGGCTCACTTCCTATATCAGTACTCTCTGCACTTTTTCCTTGAGATGTACAATGATGTACTCACCAATAACGCACACCTTCAGGGCATGACCGACCCAACGCAACGATTGGGTGTAATTAGCAAGGATTTATTCCAAACCGTGTTTAACAGGGTTACCCGCGGTATGTTACATCACGACCACCTAGCATTCGCTATTCTACTGTGTAAGATTCACCTTAAAGGCTTCTCCAATGAGACGCACTTCGAAGCGCTTTTCAATCACTTCCTCCGGGGACGTGAAGGAATGCTCGGCAAACACTCGGTGCGATTCGATTCTTTTACTCCAGAGCAACTGGAGGCCGCGTCAGCGCTCGTTAGATTAAGCTACTTTACCCACATGGAGAAACATCTGAGCGAAAACAAAAAGGCCGTAGAAAACTGGCTTACCCTTGAACATCCCGAAACACAGGTGCCACCTGTATGGGATGAAAAGGGTGTATCCCGCATCGACGAGCACATGTTGCAGTTACTACTGATTCAAGCCGTGCGACCTGACCGTGTAATTGCGAAAGCTCACCAGGTAGTCAATGCGATCATGGGTGAGGATTTTATGGCTTCAGCCTACATCGAACTCGATCTCGTCAACATCGTACAAAATGAAGTCAAGGCTAATACCCCTATCCTCATGTGCTCTGTACCTGGATACGACGCGTCCGGTCGAGTAGATGACTTGGCGGCCGAAATGAACATGCAGCTTTCGTCGATCGCCATGGGATCTGCTGAAGGTTTTTCCCAAGCCGAAAAAGCGATCAACGCCGCCTCAAAGAACGGCCGTTGGGTGATGCTGAAGAATGTCCATCTGGCTCCGGCCTGGCTTGTCCAGCTCGAAAAGAAGCTCCATTCGTTGCAAGCTCATCTAGGGTTCCGGTTGTTCCTTACACTCGAGATACATCCGAAGGTACCGGTCAATCTCTTGCGAGCTGGCCGCTGCTTCGTGTTCGAACCGCCACCGGGAATCCGCTCGAATCTCTTGCGAACTTTCTCAACGGTACCAGCACAGCGCATGATGAAAACACCGAGTGAACGTGCTAGAATTTACTTCCTTCTAGCCTGGTTTCACGCCATCGTACAGGAAAGGTTGCGGTACTCACCCCTTGGCTGGTCGAAGCATTATGAGTTCAACGAAAGTGACCTGCGGGTCGCGTGTGACACGCTTGACACATGGATCGAGAGTGCTAGCATGAGTCGAACGAATCTCCCACCAGAAAAAGTGCCTTGGACGGCACTGCGTACGTTGTTCGGTCAGTGTATCTATGGGGGCAAGATCGATAACGAATTCGATCAGCGATTGCTCAACTCCTTCCTAGCCCACCTGTTCACGGAGAAGAGTTTCGAGCCTGATTTTATGCTAGTGGACGCCGGTCAGGGATCTGCTGGTATTCACATGCCCGAGGGTATTCGACGCGACCAGTTCTTACATTGGGTCGAACAGCTGACTGACCTGCAGCAGCCGTCGTGGCTTGGTCTGCCCAACAATGCAGAGAAGGTGCTCCTCACCAATAGAGGCAGCGACCTCTTGGCCAAACTTCTGCGAATGCAACTATTAGAAGACGACGATGATGAGGTCGTTTACACTGAAGAGGCCAGTCAACAAGGCGACACGAAAATCAAGAAGCGCGGAGCGCTAGATTCGTCAGCAACCCCGGCATGGATGCTGACTTTACAACGTTCTGCTATGGAATGGCTGAAGCTGGTGCCTCAGTCCCTGCAGACACTTAAGAGGACTAAGCAGAACATCCGCGACCCGCTGTATCGCTACTTCGAGCGCGAAGTTAACGTGGGCTCACAGTTACTGAGCCTTATTCGACGCGATCTGGTCGATATCGTTCAGATTTGTCAGGGTGAAAAGAAGCAGACCAACTTGCATCGTCAGATGATATCCGAATTAGCTAAGAGTTGTGTCCCGTCTCATTGGAAGGGTCGATACACAGCGCCACCCGGATGCACCGCCACGCAGTGGATTACAGATTTCAACGAACGTGTCAAACAGTTGGCCCGAGTATCGAAGGCGTGTACGCAGGGTGGACTTGCTGCTCTCAAGACACTTGTCGTGTGGCTTGGTACGTACATTTTCTAAGACCTCTTTCTATTCTCATAGCGTATATTAATACATGTGTTCTATAAACATTAAGCATGATAATCGATATTCTTCAGCTTCTTGCTAAACGTGTCAAGGATAAGGGGTCAATGACGGTTATCAAAAGCAAAAATGCGATCGTAGAACTTGTTGTATCTCTAACTTGCTGACTGAACAGAATCGATGTGCGTGGTGGAGATCTAGTCAAGAGGCTTAATTATATATGATTCTATTTGAAACAACCTCTCTAGGCGGTCTGTTCAACCCTGAAGCATACATCACGGCTACTCGGCAATACGTAGCACAAGCTAATGGTTGGTCGCTGGAAGAACTATCCCTGGCAGTAGCAATCAGGCCATCCGCTGAAACCAGTCCGGAATTGGATGAATGCAGCTTTGCAATATCTTCCCTTAAATTACAGGGCGCCGAGTGTACAAACGCCTCCAAACTTACGCTTTCCGCAAATATCCTCTCCGAGCTCCAGCTTACTGTGCTTACCTGGATAAAGTTAGTATTTCGTTGATAGATTCAAATCTTTCTTTCGAAGTAATATCAAATATATCTCGAACCATGGTCCAGGCTGATGAAGAGGTCCAGGGTTTAGTGGGTGAGAGTCCCACTGTACCAGACAAAGCACAATTCAGTGATGTCTGGTCTCCGTAATACATTTGCCCTCAACCTCCAAAAAAAAAAGGATTCAAACCTTCCATGCGCTTTATCACAGCTTTCTTTCAGTGCTACTAACTCAGCAGTTCTATTGGCAATTAATAAAGCATAAAAATATTGACCATAGAGACGTACCGTCTTTAGGACCACAGTCTTATTCGGTATCAATAAAGGTTGCTCTACAGGAAGAGCTGCGTTTAATGATGATTTTGGGTAAATGAAACTTAGCCATTGGCGCACAGTGAAAAAAAACGTCTTGAAAGCTTAACAACATTTTAACAACAAACGTATTTAAAACCTTCCTTTTTCACTTTTTTCAGAGCTACTGGTGATGAAAATAAATCAGCAGCAGTCGTCACCTTGCCAGTGTACCTAAACTCGTCAAGAACAGAGCTTTTGTTCACGGTTGACCTAGAAGCCACGGACGTCAAGCAGGCGTCGTGTTTCTACGAAAGGGGTGTCGCTATCCTTTGTAGCTACAGCCTTGGCTAGCTAGCACCCCTGTCAAGATCACTGTAGGTCTTGACAACACAAACATATGTCTGTACTGAAGGCTTGAAATGGAAAAAATGCTCACAAAGCCAAGAACGAGACACACATAGTTGACTTGTTGAAGTCACGCTAACAAACGGTTAACCCATTGGCCAATCAGTAGTCACCGTTAAAGTTTCCCCCAACACCGCTTTCACCAATTTGCCCAACAACCTGAAAGGGGTCTATTAATCCTTATAAATTAAAGGTTTTAGGTTAGCGAAAGAAATCGTTATATCAACGAACGCATGCACTTTTCTGAGAGTGTCTTTAACGATTCGGAATGATGAAAAAATGAAGTTCGTAAGTATCCAGATATACCATAATAATTAAATAGATAATTATTAATTATAACTTCAACTCTCTCGATATCTCGAAAGGAACGCACCGCCCTCTAGTGAGGAAATTATTCCTATAAAAAATGATGACAGAGTATTGCTACAGACGATCTGATTAACTCGTCCGATCTAGAAAAACTACGAACATTGATGATTATCGTTTAGGAGTAATGAAAAAAACTCATTGACATAGCGTCATTGACAATGACATGATATGGTAGCCTGCATTGACGATAAAAGGGAAAATACAAGTAGTGGCCTGATTCAACATTATTCGTGTCTACTTCTGCAATGCAAATGAATATAATGAGAAGAAAATCAATGAAATTTGTCGATGTATCAAAGTAGGCAGGATGGTGCAATTGGACGAGAACAGATTTGGCCTCACACTGCGAGCGGACTTGACCCTACGCTTTCTACGATACGTCATACACGATAAAAATTCCAACTGATATAAACACTAATAATATATACATAAAAAACATGCAAATGCAGCATAAAGAAAAGGGGGTGGTACCCGAACTAAGTGAATATGGGATAGGTCGCTGTCGAAAATGTAAGCTTTTCGTAACTTAATGCTGGTGTTGGGTATATATATATATATATAATGTGCGTGTACATGTGTGAATGTGTTGCTCTTGAGTAATATTGTAGCGTACCGCCGTGTCGCGGTCAGGCGTGGATGTGATGGTGACTGATGTAGCCAGCACCAGTTGCTAACAAAGATTCCGCATGCGGCAAGTATTTTCGTTCCTGTTGTTCTTCTTGTTCACGCTGCAGTTTACTGCAGAAAGAGCACAACTCGACTGTTGCCTTGACTAAATCTCAATTAAACTATTTAATATATATAAACACAAACAAGGAAAGGAAAATATAAAATAGTGAATAAAGCAAAGAATCAAAGGACGTAACATAACAAGGATAGATGTAAGGAGACCTTGGGGAGAAGGGACTTGCTTTATATATACATATATGTATACCCTAGGACTTCTCTAATAATGAATATAAAAAACGTACTTCTAATGAGTAATGACAACGTAACGTATAGTGGTGGTGCTATGTTGGCTATTACGGTAACGTGGTACGTGTGTCTCGGTAATGACCATGAGTTAGCGATGATATTCTATAAAAGAACTGAGCAAATAAAGCAGCAGCCTATTTATGACGCCTTTGAAAGTTGTTTTCATATCGTACCTAATTCGGTACTACTAAATTATTATTTAACGACATATATAGTATACATAAAAATGTACTTATCGAAAAAAAAAGGCATATATAAATATTTGTTTGCTAAACTAGAATAGGGATATATATCTGTTTTATGTTTAATGATATCATTAAATATTGTTTCAGATGTTTAGCCCTTAGCTGTGTAGGAGCAATCAACTTTTTTTTCGGCAGTAAAAAATGCGAAGAGCCGAAGATGTTATTTTTGCGTCTCATGTCAGAAGGGCTCTGATACTGTAGGCATATTAAATATAATAAACATGGCAATATGAAAAGATTTTCATTTTCTATAAATAACCAGCTAGCTTCCTCAATAGAAAATCAAAACGCAATTTTTCGTGTTGACTAGGTACAGCTTAACGAATTTCACTTTATCGGAAAGCTGCTTTAGAATCATTCTTTCGTACAACCCATTGTAACAACCAGAACACCAGCCAAATATGTTGTGAAAGGCTACCCCAAACCTCTTGTCTAGCCCAATAAGCCTAATGGCTTTTTGTCGTTTTTCTAATTTTTTGTTTGTTTGATTCTCCGAACGTATTTCATCGTTGTGAAATCCGGCGGCCACGTTTCGCTTTGGGCAATTACGCGAACTTCTTATCGTGACATAGCGCCGAATAATTTCTCCAGATATTTCAGATGCATCATTGAAGTTCCAAGGAGAGATCAAACGGTACTACTAACTAATTTATAATTAATAATAATTAAATAAATAATTAAATAATAGGTAAAAGCTTAGGAAGAAAGAAAGATATTGTTTCTTTTCTAATCGCATTTGTCATACGGTGTATGTCCTAAAACTAATGAGTTGCTTTATGTAATGTTAAACTTCAATAGGACTGCTGTAGCGCTGCGTTATCTTTAACTACTGCAAGGCTAAATACACATTCCGTAGTTCAAGGCTACGCGATTATTGCAAGAAAAAAAAACAGGCCTGATCAATTGACACACCATTTAAAACATTCACGTCTCTTTGCGCCATCTATTTCAATGACTGAGCTCTTTTTTTCTGCCTCAATACGAGTCATAGTTACACGTATCGCTGGTTAATTAGACTATCTTGGCTTGTAAACATGCCTGTTAAAAGACGATCTAAAAGGCATAAGCCTTTTCCAGATCTCTTGAAGTATATTCGATTCTTCAGCAATATCCATGAACTGGTGCTGACCTTGTAGTCGTTGTTTTTCTCGTGCCGTATTCACCTTCAAATGTCTCTCGATCGTTGACGATGTCTGCCGAAAGCTTCATTTTGAACGAAGACGGTCTAGACGGAATATACCGGCTGGCACTTGCCGACTGTCTTTTTGCACCAGCTCATTGGGTCATCGTCCTAGCGTCAGACAAGCCGACCGACGAAGTAAAAATACACGGGCTCGAGGTACATAGGCGCCAAGACCGTCGTTAGAGTATAGGTGTTTGTTCCTACCATTAGCTATCCGTCGGTGATCATCATTAGCTGCCACCGCTTTTCAGTTACACCACTGTGAACCTTAATACAGCATTTATATATATGTTTTACATGGGTTTGTCGGTGATGAAGGACTTAGGGACGAAAACTACCGATAATTTCCAGACGCTATATGGCTTTAACCTTGTCGCGAAAGAAGTCTTGTAAGTTATACAATATGTAGATTGTTGGCAAAGATTTGCTTCTTAGATGCTCTTAGAGACGTGCTTATTTGTCTATTTTACTGACCGTTAGTTATGGGATTATATCTATACAATATTCCTTATCATTATAATATAAATTACTGTGTGTTTGAAGCTCATACGCGTTGAAGATGTTCATACCACTAAAATTTGATCTGACATCGACAAATCTACCGTTTCATGGTCCAACAAAAGTAGGTTTGGATCTATTACAATTGTGCGAAAGCTATCTAAGTTTTCTGTCACGATAGTATCAAGTCTTTGGCTTAAAAAGTTTGACAGTTGTTGGATGGCCTGGTCGGACGTACAGTGAGTGACGCATTCATCACACGAACATCAGCTGGTATCCTGTTCTTCTAAATCTGTAGAAGATTCAAATGACCTGTCTCAGTGATACGTTTGAATAGTCTAACTGACCTTACTGTTTAATTAGTGTGTTCTGTCAAATTATTAGCAAATTATTAAATGTTCTATCAAAACATTAGCAAAGCGTAGTTAATCTATGACTAGCCTCAACAACTAAATTGGAAAGTTCGTGTATATTATTCAAGTTTCTTCTTCCATTCTTCTTTTCTGTACTTGTCAGTATCTATAAATAAATTACGGGTGTTTCGAGTCCGTTCCCACTTACCGCGAAACAGCATAAAATTCGTCGCATGATATCCATGTGGAGTTCATCATGTAAAAATTATATCTTGCTCAGAAGTTCGAAGGGCCTATGATGCCCTGCTAATCTTTAATCCACACAAGTTTGGTAATAAAAAATTGTTCAACTCTTGTTTTGTCCTATTATATATTAAGCAAGGCTGCATTTACAACATCACAGCAATCATTCCGGCAAAACCATTATGATTAAACTCGAGCATTCTATCACAAGAAAAGTGTGTCTATTATTTTAGTTGTCATAAATGTTATCTCGAACCAGAAAGACCAGAACAAACACTCTACGTATATTCCAACAACCTCGAAGCACGTGAGTGTACAGCACTACTATATCCAGCGGCTAATGTTCGCGTGTCTATGTACACAGGCAGTTTTTTTATACAATGTCATAATGGGAAAGTCTGCAACGATTGACGTCACCACAACACCCTATCATGTCTGTCGTTTGGGTGAACTAAGAGTAGTTTAAACAGAAGGTCTAAAGAGGGTCTTGCTTGTGTAGGCAGTTCCCTCTTTTTACAGCACTACTTTGATACCACGCTAGAGTCTACCAATTTACCACGCGGGGGTGTATCCTTTTATCGCATCCATTGATCCAGCTATTAGCATGGTAAAAAGAAGATAGCCTTTTACCAACAGTCATGCTCTTCTCTACCACTAAGAAGAACGCGCGATCCATTACAGAGATAACAACTAATTTTAATTTTTGGTTAATTCCAGAGCAAGCTGCTGCCCTATCTCGTAAACGTGCAACTATTACTGATGTGAGTAAAATAGCTGATTTCTAAGATAGGCAGGCATGTATACACGAGTATGAGCAGGATACTAGGCTTCTTCCCTCCAGTTCGCTTCCACTACAGAATCCTACTTTGCTGCTACTACGTACTCAACACGAACTACGCTAAGTAAAAAGATAAAGACCCATTCCGAGATAAGGGGTAATAATGGATACATAGGCATTTATTATTCACATGAATGTGTGAAGTGCCCTGACAATGTGACACACTTAAGGTTGTATTCCGTGGTAGTTATGAATAATGGCTGCGACAATAGTAGCGATTCCAATTCTGTTTATGAATTGTTTTGTCTCGATTCCGGGCCCTGTTCTTTCGTAAGTTAAGTTGTCGCAATGAAGCCTAGTGACCACAATGGATAAAACACATAAAGCAACAAACCTACGCAAAATTAAATAACTATAGAGCTCATATTTTTGCAATGTGTTCGAATAATTGCTCTATACCGTGATCTAGACAGTATTGCGGCATCCGTTCGTCGCCTGTAAATTTTCTAATTCGTTCAACCTCGGCGTTTTCCTTTTCAATTAATCTTTGTAGACACACTACAGTGACATCTTTGTGTACAACTCGTATATTGCTTTTCGCAATTACTATAATTTAACCCTCTCACTTTCAATAACCTGACCCCGTTTATTTGGGCTCAATGGCAATCAGCTTGTGGTAGAGTGACTGAACATAGGTGAAGACACATTTCCAGTCGGGCTTGTCCGTCAGCAGCATATCCTCAGTCGCCAATAGCGGGGTTACACCAAGTCTCTGCCTGTTGACAAACAACACATGATATCACATTTAGAATAAATATAAGCTCATCTATTCATACAAATTATGTAATACTTGTGTACTACAAATAGAGTAAACTTATCAGTGGCAGTTAAATGCATTTAACTAATCTAACCTTAAAACTAAACGGTATAGTAAAAAGGGGTATATAATTCTGCTTTCAAGTAAGTTAACTGCTAGTAATAACATATGTTCAGCTTAACTATACCTGGTTTCATTAGTCACTTCGGACATAAATAATATGCAGGGTGCAGTTTTTCCTTTACACTATGACAGTTCAACACCATTTTGCCAAAACCTATGCCTTGTTTCCACTATGTTATTAGGCTGATAGTTGCATGTCAGCCACATGCATGACTATTCCTTCATAAATCTTTGACATAATCCATTGCATCATAAACATTATGCGATTGTGGTATCGCGTGTACCAGGTGCAAAAGGTGGGTCCTACTACTCCTACATAACAAACTTACTCGGCTGTGATAAAGGCGAGATCAAAGTTCTCCTTCTTGTTAGCGGGATCCAGGGTAGCGTAGTCGAATGCATCGGGCAGATGATGGTGGATTAATGCACAGAACGCAAGACCATCATTCCAGGACGACGAAAAGTTCTCAATATTTACGTTCTGTAGCAGAAAAAGCGTACAGGGACGACAAAGACTTGAAGTATACTCGTTTATCAATAGTCAATCAAACTGAAACCATTCCATAAATCGAACCGTATCTGCATCGCTCTTGAAAGGAATCGAATTTTCAATTCAAGAGTACTAAGTTACCATGGCTCTTTAATTACATGTACAGTTAATGTGATTTAAAAATTATGGATATATTGTATACAGAAATATATTTAACGTAATCGAGCGAAACTTATATGGTATTCTGTTTACGCTAATTTCAGTGCTCGCGATCTACTCAGACTATGATACAGACAATATATGCATTATATAAATATATGCTTAGCCGACGATTGCGTACTCTATTATAAACCACCTACTGTAAGTACTGGTTGTAGGTATTAGGTGTCTCAGTTAAATAAGTCTACTACTTTCGCATGCTGCTTTATGCCTCTACCATTCGCTAAACCATCAAAGAACAGACGCTGAAGTGACGCTTTTGCTGGTTTGTTTCTCTGGTTTGTTTACCCACCCTTTTGAACTTGTTTCAACGTTTGATTTTCCGATGGTGTTCTATACCGCTTACCGTAACTAAACCAGTTAGACAGTACGGTAACAGCGCACAGCCAAGCCCATTGATCTGTATAGGATAGCATCTACACCCTTACCAAATCGTACAAACCTGTATACGTTCGGTCAGCATATACACGTATATCTGTCTGATTACCAATTTGGCTCTGTAGGTAGACTGTACAAGTTGGCACAAATCGGCTAAATTAGCACGAATCAGACACGATAAAAATGCTGTTATTAAGAAAGACGCTACCCACTCCTCGGAACTCCAGATCAGAGAAGAACATATTAAGTTGAGCGCCTTCCATCCTAGCTGATCGATAATCTTATTTATCGCTTAAAAATAGTAAGGCAACCAATTACAATACACACTTGGTTGCAGACAATAATAGAGCGAGAACGGTGGCGAAAAATCAGACCGATTGCTTGTTCCAGATCAGCACTGGCACAGCATACCCCTTTTTGAGCCGTGTAATTATTACTCAAGATAGTGACGTTGTGGCGTGCTTATTGGGAAAAACAAATCGAGACAACGTGCAATAATAACTGAAGCGGTACGTTTGTATATTCTCAGATGTCGAAGAGGTGAGAAAACTGACCTTGATAGGATAAAGCTGTAATGAGTTGGCGAAAGTTCGAAACTCGGTTTAGTACACTTGTTGTCGACACTATAAAAGGATCACAAAAAGGACATTGGATGATGCATTACATCGACGCACATTATATTTATGACAGAATACTGAAAAACTATTGCAAAATTCTCTCAGCCTAGTGACAACAGTGCGTATGTTTACGCTGCACCGTCTACAAGTGTTTGTCTTCGCCACCGCTTGTGGGCGTCATCCCATCTAAGCAGTGGCGCTCTTACCCAATAGGAGGAACGAGCATTAACATAACGAGCATTTGGCTAGCGATGTATTTGAACATCCTTTGTGTTCTTAATGCACCGAGTGCACACCACAAGAGTTCTTTATTGGGTCTTTCGTCTTACGTGTGTGTTCGAGGCGCTCATCATCAATATGATGTGGGTAGCCTTTACGATGACCTTTCAAACTTTGAACGTCCGTTGGCCGTAAACACAAGCAAAACTGAGCTATCGAATTTGTCTTTTGGCTATTTTTATGTAGTCAGTATATGTATATATATATAGTTTCTATTTGTTACTGCACTAGTATTGAAGACAAAGTCTGTTGAATAAAAAGTAAAGGGCCCTCAGGGCTACTTAATTGAACAGAAAAGTACAATCAAACACCCACGTAAGTAGTTTAACAGTGAACCAACAACAAAAGTTCCATAGCGCAAGCTAAAACTAGGGGGTTTTGCTGCTGAACATTCAGGATTATGTGTGTTAGTTATAACGAATTAAAATGACTTTGCTTTGATTACGCGCAAAGAATCCATACACTTTAGAACGCTAACCTAAACAAATATTGAGTCAGTGAAAATTCAACAGTTTTTTGTTCGATCAGAATACCGAGTCATATAACGAAGATGATTTTCTAGGACGGCGCTGGTGTTTTGAACTCGACGATTGCCCAAAGGCGTATGTGTAATCGCAGAGCCTAGTTCTTGGGGAGGGCGTTGTGCTTGCCTGCTCAAGAACGACCAAATGTCTATAAGTAGAATTACGGTGGCTTTCTTTTCATAGTCTTTCTCACGTCTAGCCTGTCAGAATCGAAATAAGCACTGACCGTCCACATATTGCGCCAACAACGTACGAAGCCATTTGAATGTCGCACCTGTAATTTTAGCCTGTACAAACAATTTTCATATGAAGTGACGATAAGGATTTTATCGTGAACGAGACGTTTTTAGACGTAGTGGCCACTGGCCACAGTCGTAAATGATTTCTGCTGTCAGCCGATCTCATATATATTCATGCTCAGATATATTTCCATATGATTTCATATCGGTACTGATATTTTCACAATGACGTTACACAATGAGGTTCGAAGAAAGCGGTTGTTTATAGTTAACTTTTTGAAACTATTCAACTTAACTAAGGTGTGTGTATGTGAGTTATATAGTTATCACAGTGTAAGCAGTTGTTTTCTGTAACCGAAACCTGCGAGCTGTACAAATAAAGCGCAGAGACGTAATACGGTAATGTAAAATTCATCACCATGTTATGTTTTGTACAGCTAACTGAAAGCTAGAGTCTTCGCAGGGCAATTCCTGGTGGCAATATGCGTCTTCCTTAGAATTTATTATCAGGGTCCATCGAATGTATGGCTAACTAAATGATCAGCTTTATCTTGAACGGTGTCAGTGTGGTACCTTGTACAACTAACCCTCCCACTAATAAAATTCTGGCATCGTCGGGATAGACATACATATTACGATAGATACTTACAAACCCTATATGAAACGCATTACAATTTCATAGTTTGTTTCGAATGTACAGGCTCAAAATTACCTAGTACTTTGGTTTGAAACTAGGTGTTCATATCTTTTCTCTTAGACCATATGCAAGGTATATTTGAATATTTCAACCATAGATTCAAAATGGAATGATCTCTGCTTGGTGATAAAAAAAAGACTTACATCGTACTCTTGTGTTTTGGCTTTAGCCCAACGCAAAAGCATCGCCTTAGCTTCGGCGACGTTCAGCGGCATTTTTCCCTGCAAGACGGTAAAAAGGCAAACAGAAGGTAACTAGCACTTGAAAAATATATTTTTATCACAATAAATGTAACCATTACAGTACGTTTCGTCCTAGCTGTCTTATCCAGATGACACCAAACGTAGTAAAAACATAATTACTTAACCGAGTTACTTAACTTGTGCTCAGGCAGCTTAAGCAAGCTCAGAATACATATTCAAACGCAAAAACGAACTGCACCAGAAAGGTTTCGAAACATTGGCCAGAACTGAAAAAGCTTCTATATATAATAACATTTTTAAAGACAGCATTTATTTAGTGTACAACGTACATCACATGAATTTACATTGTAACTAATATATATATAACGATGTATATGATATAATAATGTAATCTTTTCAAGATTACTACACTAGTCCAACACCTGGATCAAACGTATAAAAGAGCTATGTATATGTGTATAAGTGACATACGTATAAGAGTCAACAAAATTTTGTTGACTACTGATGACAATTATGCGCTGATTGTCAGCCACCTATCTTATTGTCAAAAGTAATCAATTCTATATCACTAAGGATTAACTAATTTCGGCCCAGATAAGGATTCAAGTTACCTAAATGTTGTTCTAAATACTTACAGACAGCTTAGGGTCTTTAGAGGTAACTGATTAATGTATCTGTTCCTTTGTGCGCGCATCGAAATTCGACAATCAACACTAGTGTACACCTATGTTCGTGTTTCACGCCTAATATTTCAGCCCTTCGCACGTGTCCATAAGTTCAGCAGGCAAACGCGTTATCCACTGCGTTGCTGCTAAAACAACTTACTCCTATAATAATACTTGACCAGTATCGAGACACCTACCTTGACGTGTGTGTTGCTGGCTGATTACCAATACTAAAAGCGACTTTTGCTTTCAGATGCTGGGTCACTTAACTTTTTTAGCGGCCAACTGAGGCTTTCCGCACTCGTTAGCTATAGACTTGGACAGTAAGCGAAACAAAAACGTAGATATAAGAGAGAACAGTGCATGAACTCTTGCGGATACCCTCACCCCGTGAGGGTCGTCTCATAGGGGCCGGCGCTCTGCGAGATGAACCAGAGCGGCCGCCCTCAACCGCGCGCGGTTGTGTGGCCTATAGAACAAGCACCCGCAATAAAATATACTTCGCATAAAAGCTACATTGTGCTGACTACGGGTTGTGGTCGATCACAGCAGATCTAACCAAAGATGTAAATAATAGGGTCACGTTTACTGTTGATTGACACTGTAAGATACCGTGCAACTTAGATCGATACTAAGCTGAGAGAAAATAGGCATTACTTTATTTTAGGTGATAAACACCGAATTAATAAATTAGCATCCCTATTAATAATGGTTATTAATAGTATCCTCCGTTGCCAAAGTAGATGATTCCATTCATATTGTTGCGGATTCATTGGAGGCGATATCTAAAAACTAAAGGTTTCCATTGCATTGCAGTAGCTTAGGCAGAAGTTGATGTGTCCAAGACTACGACGACAGTGCTAACGAAAAGTCTCTATCCAGATATAAATACGGGAATAATGGTAGGCGGCGTGTAAGTAGTATAATCACATAAAAAGTGCGAGCACGACTGTCTACGTGCAGTTTCGTTTGAACTTTTCAGGGAAATTAGCAAGTAAATATATTATCTGTTGTGAGGTCGCAGATTTGTAATGTTGAACGCTTTTTTTTGAATGGGTAGGTAACGACGAGAATTTTTTGAGATTTATCGAAATACGACCTGTTTTGTAATCGATAATGTGTTTAAAGCTGTGCACATGGTTACGCACTTTAGGTAGCCTCTCGACTGAATGGTACAGCATTCTCAACATATTTTCATATTATTTTAGTTCTAAGACTAATTCATTTATCCATATAAGCTTCTACATTGCGCTTAGTAGTATCATACAGCACTAGCTAAACAAAGGAATTACGAAACGCTTAATGATGGGACAGTTCAACTTTAATCAGTCTGTCAATATCAGAACTGAGACACAGGTAACATCTGAGCAAGTGCTTACCCAGTGATCATTATTAGCCAAGTGTCTTGCATATACATAAGCTATACACAACCAATTTAAAGAGTGGCCAGGTTTTAAAACGCGCGGAAGTTTTTGCTTTGAAGCAGCAAAAGATTAATGTCATTCGTCAGACACCATTAAGTACGATGCACGTGTGCATTTCGTGCTATTGTTCGGTTAGCCGATCCGCGTCTCTGATTCAGCATTCAACGTATATCATATATATGTATCATTTTCAACACTTACTTAACACCTCTATCAGGCACATACATACATATGGTCATTTATAATCACAACAACGAAGATTGTGACGTAGGTATTTTTTATGATAAAGTCATTGCATATTCTAGTCGAATGACTGATCTTTGTTAAAAATAGCGTGAGATAAATCATCGACAATATAGTCATTTTTATGGAGAAGGAATTGAATTTTGTGGAAAATTTTTATTTAACTGTTATATTTAATAAAATAAGTTATATATCAGTTGACTTATCGTTGATAAGATAAGACAACAGGATATTTATATTGATTGGAACTAATAAAACTAGGGCGATACCTTGTCTTAATATATTAGAATATAATTGCATAGGTGCGTACGTTTTCAGTCTATAGTTTGATGCTTAAGTCAATGTACACCCCTACCATAAACGAAAAAGCGTTTGGCCTCTACCGATGCCAGCCTTCTAAGTATTCCCTTACAGAGCTAGTTCAACCAACTGAGCGCAGGAGCTATGTAATGAATTCCCCAAGTTATTGACACAGATATATTTCGGACCATCTACCACCTACCGTCCTATATCCATTGTGTAAAAGAATCCGCCCTGAATTATTCACATTTTTTGAACAACGCCAGCAATAATTTGTTGTCAATGCTGATTTTGTTGTTGCACTATGCGAGCTGTGTTACATGAGACTCATTTGCTTCTTGGCTGATCTCAGCCCCCGCAAGCTGCTGGCTTGAAGGTTTATATGGTTGAATAAAGTAGATTTACATTGAGTTGTATTCAGATAAATAAAATTTTAAATCCAGTGTTTGACATATGAGCCAGCTTTCATTATTTTATGTATTAAGGCATTTAATACGCAGGCGTGCATGAGTATCAGTTGTACATACTGCTGAGAGATAAAATGCCGTTTAATTAATTAAATAAACGACATTTTAAACGTTCTATAAATGTGTTCCTTTTAACCTTCTACAGCTTTTCAGAGTAGTTCGTAACCAAAATTTGCTACTAAATCAAGCGGTTGAAGACTACGTAAGGCCCGAGATTATGACGACGGCAAAATATCAAAGTATCAAGTACGCTATATGCTGTGTTCACGCATCACTAGAAAAGATTAGAGGCTTAAAATGTTCAATAGATTCATCTGCTACTATTTTAACAGAGCTTAAAGTAAACAAACTAAATTGCTACCTACTCTTTCTATATTCATTGATTACCATTTAGAAAATTCCAGCAGGGCATGCAAGCAGGACAATCTCATACACCGCAGAAAATGATTTTGAGGTTTGAAGGTGCATAAGCTGACAAAAATACATTTACGTGGCAGATGAGCGTCCAAACTGCCAGAGAATGAGAATCCGGCATATTTTTTTGGTCCTCTAGGGTGAAGAATTGATCGTCGACAAAGTTTTAAAGGTATTAATAAATGGTATTTACAGGCTACGCGATTATGGGAGTATGCTGGGGATCACTGAGATTTCCATTGCAGTTGTACGGTGATGCAACGGCTCATTCTCTTTCAAAACGTGCCGATGAATCGCCCTTTCTTTTATCAGGGGAGTGCTGGGTTGTTTCTTGGGTAGCAGCGAATCCCAACTTTGGCACTGTTTTTGTCTTTTTTTTTTTATTTGGATACGCCTGGGGAAGCTCACCTTTTGTTACTCAGTAATGTTGCCTGGTTTGATTACAATAAAGAGAAGTAACATTGTTGATGCCTTTTCTCATGGTCTATGGATTCGATCGAAGGAACGACTGACTGGCACTGGCTCTACGGCAGAGTGAAGTGAATACCGACAAACGCTCACTTTTTACTCCGCAACGATTAACCAAAAAAATAGTTCGAGTTTTACCTTCCACGCTAACATTGAGTATCACTTCACATAGTTAATCCATTCTAGTATGAAACGAAGTGTGTTTACACGTGGTTTTGAACCAGGGCATGCGTCTCCAAGCTTAGTTGGCACATACCCTTCCTTTGCACTAATGAGCAGTCCACTTTCTAGCGTCGTATATTTTTTCCATAAAGGGCAAATCGTTTCTTACAGTAAGATTTTTAACTTTCAAGCTATAACTGCGGCGCTCATTTAAGGACATTCTCAAACCAGTGCATACATTCTGTTGTCCCCAAGCTCCAGCGCCAAGAAGCGCCCAAGGCAACCCAAGAAAAGGTTGTCTTGAGTGTTTCTGGTGCAAAATTCTTAAACGATAGCTTCACCGTATGAACCAATATCGCTCTGGCCCTAAACGCAGAGCTTGTTTCAGTAAGATCACGCACTGAGGTGTCTATGAGTTGGAACTCCCTATGGGCAGAAGAAATGGCGCCTATCTGCTAACGAGAAGAGCTTATTCTATTTTAGCACAGGATTTTTTGTAACAGAGAAGTTGAACCGTCTTTGTTGTTGCTTTATTTACGAAAGATTCAATCACAACAAACAACAGTTAATTAGACTGGTAACACAGTTAAGGAATTGTCGACGATGGTATATATAATTAGGTTAAAACCTCAAAAAACTTCTTGACATACTTATCATAATGAGAAAATCTTCTACACAGCCCATTTAAAAAAGTTAGAAAACAAACAATTTTTTTATTTACTTAGAGCCCCTAGCTCTACTAACTAGTTTAAGTACATGTTTGTTTAACTACTTTGTGCTTGTGCAAGTTTTTTTACCACTCATGGAAAGCGACGTTAAACGCGACGGATTGGCACGTTACATAGACAACTTGTCTGCACAAATACTAGCCATCTAAACGGCGAACTTCCCTGTATAAGAGGAAACAGTTATCAATTAGAATCTATAAATCACCTACCTACGAAAGATAAGACTGCTTAATTATAAATTATGCACATAGCCTCTTTTTGTATTTTATGTAAACATACATTCGCCATTAATAATAAATATCATACTAGATTAGCATACACTCCTGTGTGTGTGTGTATGTATATATATATATATATATTCACAAGCGATATATAATGGCGCAAAGAGCGCTCGCTGTCCTATCGCTCTGAATAAACCTATATAATATACGCACCATAGACGATAGCATTTACTCCGTTTACTTTTTTTGCCTTTATCTTTTGTTCACCTACTCTTCGAGCTTTCCATTGTAAAACGGTTTTTTAATGCTTGGTTCTGATGTGGCATTTCCTAGTTCGGACGTTTAACTCAAGTAAACTAAGGCTTGTCTACCGCGGACATCCTTTATTAGAATTTTGAATTCGAACATAAGAGTGTGGTACCAATTTTCGTCTAAATTCGTTCAACTAGCTATTATAGATATACAGCGCATTTAGAACTCAGCTACCAGATTTTGAAAGATGAAGGCTTTCAGTTAGTACTGGGCTTATCTGTATAAATAGCAGATTTAGTATTCTAAGCCGCATAGCGACAATACACTTTTTTTGTTATCATTCACTACAATACGAAATACGAACTTCGATTTTTGCACCGCCCACAACTACTAACACCGCAGGGCTAGTCGTGTTTATCAGTCTATAAAATGAAACTCTTGTTGGTTCTGACGTATCAGCCTGTGGCATAGTATATGGCACGACATGTCATTTACATGCGCCTCCCTTGATTGGCTCTGCCGAAACGGTAAGGAAAATAATTATTATATCTTTTTTTTTATATAGAATTTTTTCTAAACGGCAAAATACGAATTCTTCACAGCTACTATGTCTTTGCATCTAAGAAACAAACACAGTGTAACAATGCTTGTTTCTTCACCCGAATAAAAATTGAGAATAAATAGAAAAACTCAAACGATCCCATCTTCTTACTGCTGTGTGAGTTTTCGACTATAAAAGCGCTGTCTTCTAACAACAAGACATATATTATATGTAAATCATGCCTATATTAGATCATGCTTCCAGTTCGATGTCCTCCCTTCTCGCTCTAACTGAGTTTATGTTGTGAATTGAGCCGCCTTATGCACTTGGGTATGTGACGCATGGCTGTCGACTGTACCTTCCCGGTATACAGCTGTATGCGTTAAGGAGTAATGATACACATCATTTAAAATTGTAATGGCTTAGAGCAAAGATCCTCCTCAATACCTGTGAGGGCCCACTTATGATCCACGACCTCCAGTGCTTCCCATTCAGCCTGCAATCACAGATACAAGTCCAGTAAACTATAAGGAACACCTTTTATAAAGTTGTTCAACCATATTTGAATTAGTTTAAAGAATCATTTAAAAACTGCATTTAATGTTACTGTGTCATCGTTGTTGTTAATTGTTAATCTAGGTAGAGTATGCTTCTCAGGAACTGTCAACTACTATATATAAGGCACTGCTCTAATTAAAATAATACCTTAAATGCAGCTTTAGGATCCTGGGGCATTGCTGCAGCCTGTGGTACCATCGAGTCCTGCATTGCACGGGTCGAATCCGCAGCATTATCTTCGCCCAACACAAGCGTATAGATTGAACGCAAGCCAAATACGTTCAGGAAGTACCATGACGCCGATGATACCCAAGAGGCATCTAAAGAGACCAGTTCAATCCCGCGTTGTAACATTGGCTTAAAACGCAACGTCAATGGGAAAGGGACCTGTAAACAGCAATAACGAATACATCAGTTTAAGACAAACGTTCAATCAAGTATTATGTAAAATAGGACAAAAGTTAGTTCACAAATTGCATTGTGACTACTTTAACACTTATAATATGAAGATTCTCAAATTGTCAAGAGACATTTAATCTTCATCCTACATTTGCTGCCGATGTGTGTCCGTACTCATAATACATTAAAAAACTTAATGCAAACTGCCCTACTCATTAGTTCTACGGTATATCTCACTCATGATAAATATAGTGTAGCATCCTGCTTTCTTACCTTGGTTGTAAGAAACCCAGAAAATGTCCAGTTAATCCACCCACCAATAACAATCATGGGAAGCACGTTGGTCAAGTTGCCTTTGAGCATTTCCGACATCATGCTCGGATCTGACATCGGGTTGTTCATTGGTGGGGCGCGCTTCTGGGTCTTCAACCAACCGGTCTCCTCATCATTAAAAAAGTGTTTTCGCATAAAAAATCCGCGCGCAGGAAGGTACTTGCCATTCTCACGTAGATATCGGACTCGTATTAACGCTTGGCTGGTATAATATAGAAGATATAAAAGAATCATGCGAACAAAAGATTAGACTTGCCCGAACGACAAATTAATATTGAGGTGACCTCAAATAGAAAGGTATGTTAGCAAGATTTCCGAACTCGATTTAATCATGCCTGAATGCAATAGTTCTTCAACGTTGAAAATCATGCCTAATAACAGTAACAGAAAGCGGAATATGGGAAACAAATTGTACAATATTAAACAGTGATCCGTTACAATGAAACGTAGAGAAATTAATGCAGTCCTCATATCACCGTGCTATGCCCTGCTAAGTGCCACAGTACATAGATTAACCAATATCCTAATCAGCTGACAGTGTGATAAATGATAAACAAGCTCAGTGTTGGCTTTCTCGTGACTGAAATTAGGGATTTTGCTTAAATGGTTTGCAAAGGAAAGCAGAAGAGGGCTATCCTACTATCTGAATAAACCAAGTACGAAGCTGGTTGGATTGTAAAAGGAAAATACAACCCAGAGCTATTTTCTCTGTCCTAGAAGTTCCAACCTGTCATAAACCTGCTGAAGCTCGGCCTTCCGTGACGAGGTCAATAGGATGGACACGTAGTGGCGTACAATCCCGACAAGAAATGTGATTACTACTATGGGCAAAAACACCCAAATTCGGATATCACGATCTAATACCAAGTCTACCATTGTGAGTCCTGAATCAAACCAACGAACTTTTCTTCCGAATATCTACAACTTGTTTTTTTTCAAAAATCCTCAGCCTGCAGACAGTTCTATTATTGCACGCAGCTAAGAGCGACTCCGAGAATTAGATGTTAGAATATGCGGATCTTGGTGAACATCACAGCGAGCGGATACGCAACCAATTAATTCGGTTTCCAATGAGCCCATAAATAGGCGCTATATGTTTTTATTGTGTAGTGGTGGTACAAATGCATTCATTTATTTCACATCCCACGAGCATGAACCACTTCACTTATGATGCAACGTTCTATGGAGGACATCCCGTACGCTCCAAAGGGGCGGAAACTAGCACGTTTGACGGTGTCTTATTTACACGGAACAAAGCTGTTTTTGCCCATTAGTCCTCTTACCGTTTGCAGTTACTTGGCACTCGGTGGCAGTAGCGTTAAGCAGATTTCATCGTCAGCCGAAGATCCACAACGGTTTAGTTTCGTTCTTGAGGTTTGTTATGTTTTCGAAAGCTGGAGACTTTTTGAGAAGACATCGGAGAAAGTTTCTCATTGGCGGAGTTGTCGCCGGTGGGATATACGTGACGCACAGGTTTGTATTTAGCACCATATATAGGAGATTAGCATGTGATGAAAAAGACCTCCGATTTTTGGATACGGATAACTCAATAAGGATGTTTTCGCCGTCTTTAGGCTTCCGACGGTGGGAAGTGTGTTGAATAACTATTATTAGATGGAACTCGACGACAACGAAATAGGTGAAATATTTCGATGAAATTGAACCCAAATAATGGAAATCGAACGAAGATGTTAACTTGTTTTAATAAAGTTTATTATGATGCAAATATTTGAGAAGTCGATAATAGATAAATGAGTTGTGCCTTTGGTGCATCGCTTTCATATCCGGTTCAGACAAGAATGCATAAGTATTTAGTAGTTGTTGCGATTGTCACAATATTAAATCTTAACAAATTGCATGGGAACATAGTATTATTTAGTTGTTTTATTGAAATACCGATTAAATATGGGAGTATTTTAGCACAAATATTCTTAATCGCATTGCTACCAATCAATCTCAAGAGAGGGCTTTACGCGTTACGTCAATCGACCATTTCTATATAAAGCAACATAAACTGTAGAGTCGATACTTACACATTTGTTCGTTTTTGATTGGTTTCTTCTACATAAATGTATTTACAACGGAATACTTAGCAAAGAACTCAATATCGATGCTCTACGTGTCATGTTATTTTATTATTATTATTATTATTACAGACAAGGCGCTTTTCATGATATTGCTATTGATCAAACAAATATCTTAATTGGCGCAATACTGGATGGCTGTTTTAGCGTATGCATTGCATTTTGCGATAACACAGAATTGTGATGTAAGCACTGAATTCATACTTCTCAGATCTCGGTGAGCATATTTTTACCAACGTGCCACGGTCTTTTTGCAGGTATCTCCGTTATCGTCTTGAGCAATGGCAAGCGGCCCAAATGCAAAAAATGTTAGAGCAGTCGAGACGAGAACAGCACTTCGAATTGATTCAGTCGACCACCGATTCCACAGTATTTAGCTGCGTGCATCGACTACGTAAGACGCTCGACCAGGCTTTAAACATTGAAGAGCTTCTTGAAAAGGTTAGCTATGTCACGTTTCAAATTTTAGATACTCGAGCTTTTTCATAGACTAACATACATAAAAATAAACTTTTGGGACAAGTGTTCGTAGGTGCTTCGAAAGACTATAGCCGTTTAGACAAAAGAAAATGGTTTATCTTCAAGTAAACATCTATTTTTATTTTACAGCTCAAGCGAACATCTATAGGACCCTCGCTACTTAATCATAGTGTATTTGGACTGTCCACTATTTTATGCCTTCCCGTTTACTGATATGCGTGATTCACCGATTGTCGGCTTATTTGCTCCTTAAAGGTCCGTAGCAAGCCTGAGAACCGAATCGAATTATGGGAGGAGATTAAAATTCGGCTAATTACCTATGGAGTTGTATCGGTCTATGCAGAAAGCCTGCTTATCTGCGCTCTCAGGATCCAACTTGGAATCATCGGTGGTCAGGTTTGCACTAACTCCCGTCCGTCGAAGATGAACAAAATTGAGGTACATAAAAAGTACCTTGAAATGACACAGCACTTTCTTAATCAAGGTGTACTTGATCTTGTTCGTGAAGTCAAGACCGTCGTAGTGAAAGCTTTTGAACATATTGAACTTAAGCAGACTGTTACACCGGACGATTTTCTGCTCGCCTACAATTTCGTCCGACAGAACGTGAAAGTTATTGAGGATGCGCCAACCTATCTTATTCATGAGAGCTGGAAACTGACGTGCACAAATCCCGACTTCCCAGACTTTGAGGTTCTGAACCAGATGCTTGCTGAGACTAAAGATATTTTGCAGTGTTTCGATTGCCTGGCTTTGTTGGAAAGCCTTGTCGATCACGGCTTCCGCGATTTACAGGAGCTGGTTAGGAGGAGCTTCGTGTTTCTCGGCCTCGAGCAGTGTCCCATGGTGAAGGTGTTACCAGCACTTAAAACACAAACAGAGAATCGTGGAGAGGTATTCGTCAGAGACAGACTTAAAAGTGACTCATCAATTAATTTTCTGGCCAATGTATATGAAGCATTTTGCAATGAGCCTCCAAAGTAGTTTGATATGACGGTGTTCATTTTTTTCCTCACGGAACTGGTCAGCATAACTAATTATTACTTAACAGCATTCTATTAATCGAAACAAACGAAACAGTTCGAAAAATATTACAGCTATTAACGAGAACCACAGTATTCCCGAACGTCGTTGGGATAATTGCACCTTGAAGAAGCTGTATATCTACGAAATCGCAAAAAATACAACTTGTTTCTGTATATACGACTATTTGGGTCAAGTGAGATATATCTACATATTTTGTGTTGGCTTTTTCCTATGAGATGATAATGCGGCGTTACCGTTACCCTACTAATTTACAGTTCTTATTAATCTTTTATTGCTACGGAGATCCAAGAAGTACGTAAGGGTAGCCTCAAACGAAACAGACGAGCAAATACAACAGGAGCTGCAGCTATTTTTTTCTATTCTAACAGTAAAGTAACATTTTACTTGTCATTATGAGACTTGCACTCTATCCTAAAATATTTCTTGTTATTGCGGGGCTTTTTCTAGCGTTCTAAATAGAGCGCTCCTTTGTAGTACTCAGTTAATTCATTATGAGTTATACCTCAAGGAAAGAATTTTTTAACGCGTACCGAGTTTCTTTTTATTTATGTTAGCATTACCACCTTTATAAGGTATTTGATATTTAGCAATCACAAATTTTGAACCCGATTCTATAATATAATGACTGCCCACCCTAATGCCGCACCCTTATCAAGGCCATTTTTAGTGCTCAAATTGACCATTTTGACGAAAAGTTACAATAAGCAGAATGGATTTGTTAAAGATGACTGCCAAGATTCTAGTGTTACAGAAGTTTAACAGTGAGTATCCATTTTCTAAATAAGCCGGGCACCGCCGATACCAGCTGAGAATTAAATAGGATAAAAAACGTGTAAGCGTTTCTGAAGGCCTTAATCCTATTCGTAGTCTACCGACCTTTATCGTGAAGTTACGCATACTTTCCTTACATAGTTGCATAATTATACAAATGATGTATCAGTACAATAATATTGGAAAGTTAGAGGTAGCCTATGTGACGGTTTTACATTCCAAAAGTTTTACATTTTAAAGAACAGAGTTTCATTTGATTCTGGCCAGAGATGACTGCAAACGACAATATAATAAAGAAATATGTAAGACTAATAGAACTTACTTCACATTGTAGCATACATTTTTATAAACTTAATCGATAATAAATAAACCATAGGTTGAACAAAAGCAGAACGTTTTCTAATCGTATTACCATTTGTACGTTCACACTAACAATATAAATGAAACTATCTATAAGAAAGTAAACGTCACCTTTTAAGTTTATCAGGGTAGCACGACTATAGGTGGCCAACTAGGGTTATATGAAAATATAGCAATAAGGAATAATTAGAAATTCTGACGTTTTTCATTCGTTATATTCTGCTATAAGCAACCTCAAAGGGGTGAAGGCGACAGGGGAGGGGTCGAGAGTGTCTGATGACATGCTATATAGAAAACATGAATGGCTTTATTTGAAAAAACATGTTTATTTATGGATGCGGAGCCGCAATTAGCCGCAAAATACACGCTGGGCGAAGGTTACGTATAAAGGAGAAGTATAAGTGTGTCCCCATGTTTTCGATTCGTTCTTGTTGTTAGTACGTACTGGTCGCACGTAGCCTTTGCTACCGGCGTAGTACAGCAAAAAAAAACATTTTTATGTGGTGTTAGTGAATGCTTGGTGCAATTGCTTCAAATTCGCTTTCAACAATGTTCATCTGCTGAACGGCGCACGCCTTCACGTATCAAGGTAACCTCGTCGATTTTGCAATGTAATAATGATCACAATCTACATATTAGACAGTCATTACTTAAAAGTCATAGTTCAGCCGGCTAAACTTCTTAAAAACTTATGCGCTGAACTCAATCATTCCTCTCGAATCACTGTGTGTGCTAGGATAACATGGCTAGCACACTTATGTGATGTTGAGTACATAGTTAAATGTATGTATAAGTATTTTTTGCTACATATCCTTGTCAACCTCAATGGAAAATTTCGTGTTGTTTGACCATTTCTTCTGTTATTCAACAGTTTTACGAATGTTATCTTAGTATTTTTGGGGTAATAGGTGGGGTTCTAGGTGATCAAAGTCAAGAACAGTTATAGCTTCTGTCGAGATAGCCCTAAATATTGCTGTACATAGTCGCGTTGACAGTATATACGCGGATCTAGTATCTTTTATAGAATTTTTTATCTCTCTTAGTTTACTTGGATGGAATGTGCCTATCGTTTACGCGAAGGCACTATCGTCTAACAAATTATGAATTGGTATTGGGTTATCGGCAGTCGTATTATTGTTGATCCCATCAACTAGAGGTAATACACGAGAAGGTTTAGCTTGCTGTGCCGTAGTACTGCTCAGTAGATAGCGTTGTTGAATACCATCTCGAGGAAGTCCTGATATTGGACGGTGATCGTGCCGTTTTGAGCGGTGTCCTTCATGCGGAACGCGTCTGTGAGGCATTTCAGCATGACACACGCCTGTATAAAGGAATCGAACTCCATTGAACGACGGCCGAAACGGTCGAACTTGCGCACGAGAAGCTCCGAAAAGTGCGGGCTTAGCCTGGAAGGACACGCAGCAGAGATACGTATTTCATTTTATTTAGCCTTATGCATATGTGGCATAATACGTTCGAACATCCAGTTCTCTATATAGGTTATTGCTATATTGAGTACTGTCTAACAAATGTTCGGATATTCTGTAAGCCCCAGTATCCAATAATTAAGCAGGTTTTGCCAGAGAAGCAACACCATCTTTTGTAATAAAAGTGTTTTACAATTATATCGAAGATTAACCAAGTACAGACCGATATCCGAACGTAGTGAGCGCTTGATGCAGCTCATCGGAAGAAATATTGCCAGATTTGTCCTGATCGAAGCCCTGGAAACAGCGTTTCCACTGCTCAATATAGTCATATAGCTGCTGGAACTCGTGAAGATTGATTGTGCCCGTACCATCCCGGTCGAACATTGAGATCATCAAACGGCAAGTCTCCTACAGGTACACGGTAACGATAAACCGAAGAAAGTAAATAATTTATAATCAGGAACAGTTATTTATTGATCCTGTGCATTGACTTTATTGAGCTATTACAATTCACTCACATGGTTATAGCATTGCGTTTGTATTAAACTAGATTTTACAACACTATTAAGAATATGTATTTGAGTAATCCCTCATGTAGTAATGCATTTTATTCATTGTGATCTTATCGGCTAATATTTCTAAAATACAGTACTTTTCGTCTATAATTATTTAATCAACTAGAATTAATTCAATATATGCTATAAACAAAGAAATGCTACATTTCACCGTGCAAATTTATATTTCGTTTAATAGTAATATAATATAAATTTAGTTCGCACAACAACTATAATACATTTTGTGATAATCGCTAAGGAATTGCTGACGAATACACAAGTACAATAAATCACAAATGATCGCAAACATCATGAACTCTCTAGTATTATGAAGTTACACAAATGATTAGGCAAGATGTAATGCAATGAAGAACAGTCAAGATAATTGAAAAAATACATACTCTCTCTACACAGGCTATACATACTCTCTATACAGGTATTTACACGTTTTTACGATGATTTTATTATTAGGAGTATTTAAGGGATACTTCCCACTTGAGCCAAACAGAGTGATTGCAAATGATCAAGGAAACAATTTAGACATTTTATTTTTTAATTAGTTGATTAATCACGTTATAAATTACACGATTGTTCTTCAATTAGAAAAAGCGCAGGAATTCGAAGAATACATCCATTGATGCCAGCACAGTTCGAAAATGAGCTCTCCGCCGCACGGCGGAGCGCCCGGCCCTCACATCATTTCCACGATTGTAGCGCCATTAGCAGACGCCCCAATGGTGAATAAGGCTTGCAGTCTTTTCATGCGTGGTGTACACTCTGGACGCTGTGTATGTAGCTACTTTTAGCGAATTTATCTAATTTTTCGTGCTCACTCGAGTGAAATTACTGTGCAAATGATGCCTCCGAAGTTCAGTATTATTCCTAGCCTACCGCAGAACACTTATTGCTCGTTACTTGGTGTCGGTTTTTTTTTTCAATTTTTCGTATGTCCTACCGCATGTTGAATTCACTTTAGGCCTAAATCGGCGGCACTTGGTACCCTTCGTTGCTTTCTGTACAATTCATAACGTGTTTTTGTCTACTTTTGACTGTCAACTTTAACTAATATTTCTTCATAATATAGTATATGCTGGTGCAAATTGTATTAGCTCGTTAACTGAAACACTGCACGTCTCGTGAAGTGACATCGAATCGCGAGTAATTGCTGGTGAACACGCTATTTGTCTGGTACTTTGTACCGGACGTGCTTGCACGTGGGATCTGCTGTGATCGTATCAGCGAACTGCTGTGCTATGCGCAGCTGATGTTACTTATTGAGAGACAATCAACGTTGCTGATTAGCGTTGACAAGTCGGGTGGGAAGGGATGAGCTGAACGGATAATTTCCGTAAAATCTAGACAAAAAAGGCTCCAAGTGTCGTCCGTTGGTTGTTTCGGTGTCGACCTGTGCATTAACTGTGTTGATACCTGGTCCGAATCGTTCGGCACTTGCAGAGACACATTTGGAGCCGGTCCGTGGGAAACTGTGTTTCAGCGGAATTCGTTTTGCTTGCCATTCTTCGCGGGTAGCTGCAGCGGATAAATACTACTCAATCATCTTCTCGTAAGCAGCCAACTACAACCAAGATGCCGCAGAACGAGCACATCGAACTCCATCGTAAGCGCCATGGCTACCGGTTGGACTACCATGAACGCAAACGTAAGAAAGAGGCACGTCAGGTTCACGAGCGAGCTGCTAAGGCCCAAAAACTGCGTGGTATCAAAGCGAAGATTTTTGCCAAACAGCGATATGCTGAAAAGGTGCAGATGAAAAAAACGATTAAAATGCACGAGGAAAAGAAAACCAAGCAGAAAACCAAAGAGGATGCCGCGAACGAAGGTGCCGTGCCGGTCTATCTCCTAGACCGAGAGGGACAGAGTCGCGCTAAAGTTCTTTCAAATATGATCAAGCAGAAACGCAAAGAGAAAGCCGGCAAATGGGATGTGCCCATCCCGAAGGTGGCTACAGTCGCCGATGCGGAGACATTTCGTGTTATTAAGACCGGCAAACGGGCGAAGAAGGCATGGAAACGTATGGTGACTAAAATATGCTATGTTGGAGAAGGCTTCACCCGTAAACCACCAAAGTTCGAGCGTTTCATCCGCCCAATGGGTCTTCGATTTAAGAAGGCGCATGTCACGCACCCCGAACTGAAAGCCACTTTCTATCTGCCTATTATTGGCGTCAAGAAAAATCCCTCAAGTCCGCTGTATACACAGCTGGGAGTGATTACAAAGGGAACAGTGATAGAAGTGAATGTGTCAGAGTTGGGTTTAGTCACCTCTGGGGGAAAAGTTGTTTGGGGTAAATACGCCCAGGTTACAAACAATCCCGAGAATGACGGTTGCATTAACGCCATACTTCTTGTGTAACCCAGTACGGACGGAAATTATTAGAAGTGACTGAACTGTGCCGCCAATTTGTTAAATCAGCTGGCTCGAGCTTGTTCGGGCAAAATTGCTTCTTCTCGAGTTCTCATTTGTATATAACATTTCTTGTCAGCTAACTATAGAGGTTACAATAAATGATATTCGGCAGGTGGCGGAGAAGTTGCGATCTTTTATAAAAATGTGTTTTCTTTCTAAGTATGTTGAGACTGGTCAGCAGTACTGTTTTGAGGTGGTTTACATGTTGGCGTAGTTGAACGTGCAGAATAAACGGTTCTATGATATATAATATCAACGACTAATTTTTGTTGGTACGATTTACAGTCTGGGTGAGCTCGATAAGATGCAGATATACGTGAAGACTCTCGAAAATACCGAGCTCTTTAACATCGAGAGCTCGGCCCTGGTGTCGGATATCAAGGCTGCCCTGCAGGTGAGTGTTGCTTTGTTCGACTGATACTGGTCATGATAATTAATTTGGTTATGTTATTTACATTTCTTCCTAAACCAATTGCAACCAAACAGATTTTTCGTGATGAAACATCTTGCTAACTTCTGTTATGTAAATTTATTAGGCAAAGTCTGGTATCCCCGTTGAAGACCAAGTTCTCAGCTTCAATGGTCACCTCCTAGATGATTCGGCTGTTCTCGCCGACAAGGGAATTTTCGAGGACTCGTGCCTGCACCTCTCGCTTCGTCTCCTCGGTGGTGCTAAGAAGCGCAAGAAGAAGAACTACACCACTCCCAAGAAGAACAAGCATAAGAAGAAGAAGGTGAAGCTGGCCGTGCTTAAGTTCTACAAGGTCAGTAATGCCAAAGAAACCGTTGTTGTCACAACTTACCTCGCAATTACCAGGTGGCAGCGAAAGTTAATGGCATGAGGTTTTCTGTTAGCTGAAATAGTAAATCCTGTTTTCATTATAGCTAATAAAAGGGTCACTAAGAGGGCTGCAGCTTCCGCGTATAAACAGCCCTACTGTCGTGCTAATAACAGCGACTTAGGGTTAATATGTGCGCGTAGATTAAATGTGGCGATAACTGCTGGGCTGTAGGGATTGCTTGCTGACCCGGTTTTGAACGTTCACTACATACTTTGTTTGTCAAAGTATGTGATAGTAAATATAAATTTTAGTCTAATAGACATTCAACGAGTTATTTTCATTTTCTACTGTTGGCGAATATTTTACTTTACTTTGTGCTCTTTCATATTGTTGTATGTATACATTACAGGTGGATGACACCGGCAAGATTACTCGTCTACGCCGCGAGTGCAATGACTGTGGAGCCGGCGTGTTCATGGCTGCACACCAGAACCGTCATTACTGCGGAAGGTGCTCGCTCACTTATGTTTACGATAAGCCTGAGGGCCGATAAAAAAGTAAATAAAAACTGCTGTGGCAAAAAACAAATGGTAACAAGCATTATTTGTCATAAGAGTTCCGAACATCGCCCGTGTTTTCTTTTTTAATTTTTTTTTAAATTTTTATTAATTCTGATACATGAGTACGATAGCAGGGGCCATAGTATAGGTATAATTAAACTTTTGAAGTCACTATCAAGATAATGACCATTGTCTTATGCCTTATTGATACGGCTCATCGCCATTTCGCACAAATGCTACTGCGAAAATTACGCATTTGGATTATTTGGTTGTGTTATATTTACGACTTTTTTAAATTTGTTCCCAAATTTGTTACCAAAAAAAAGTATTTTTTTGGTAAGTAATGTGCCTTTGACTAATGTTGCGTGTTTTTGCTGTCAAATGTTCAAAATTTTTTACCAGCTATGCGTTTCGTGTGCATCAACCATATCGATAACCGATGCACCTCATGCAGTAGTTCACTCAATAGTCTAAATAGCTTATTTCAATCTAGTCTATTCGCTTGGATAAATACGAGATGACAACGTAGCTCTAGTTGGATAACGCAGCTCTCGTTGGAATACCTACAAGCGACAGGTGAAGTCACTTCAAACTGCTGGACAGAGTGCGTGGAGCTAGCAATTACAAACAATGACGAGCGAAAACAAGCAGTCGACGTCAACTATTAAAAGAATAGTATTCTTCCACCTTAGTTTTTTTTAGACAAACTAGTTGTAAGAGTTGTAGCAAGCTAAGGCGTGAACAGTCACAGCCCAGTAGTGACTGTCATTAATCAAACAGTAGAATAAAGTGAATTTTTTGTACTAGACTTCTGCGAGTATACCCTTTTTGCCCTTTTGCTGTGACCACCTGACGTGAGTGGAAAGGATCCGCCTGATACTGTTCATGCTTACGTTCGTTAAGCCAGCTCAGCACGCAGAGGGGCAGCATTTTTTCTGTATGTAGAAAACATGAATGCCGAATACTTACAATACGTACTTCATTAAAGGGACTCCAATTTGAATTGATCAGAGCTACTTGAAGCTCTTTCGCCGTGATTTGACCGGAACGATCTTTGTCGACAGCCATAAACATGTGCTGAACCTGAGGGTTTACTGATGGAGCACCTAGAGTTTGATAGAAACAGTAAATGTGTTAGCATGATTGGTCAATTAATTTCTTAGTGTTATATACACAAAAATATTTTTTCAAGCTAATACTTATCCTGGCAGTAGACTTCGTAGAAATTAAAATAGGGCTAGGTATCTGATCTATTGATCGAAATAAACCCTATGATTTAAAAGAATAAAATAAACCCCTAAAGGAAGCTTTAGCTTCATTTCATTTTGAGTTTAATTGAATATTTTGTCTTGCTTGGATTCACAGAATTGGTTGAACTTATCCCAGTCTCATTGCATTATCACAGAGTTACTTCGTTTTGCATTATATTTTATTTAATGTATTACTTTTGCTTCGTGTTTGTATGTGCTTTTCTTGTTAAACATACTTTAATTGAAATTTTAAATATGAATATAGGTCTACGAAGTATTTTATATACTGATCTACTAAATTAGCGGAATTTCATAGCGAATAAGCTACAGGAGAACCCACTTGGCGCTGTTGGGGATAAATCAGTGTTTTGACATCGAAATCGCTTTTTGTCGCCGCAACTTGCATTTGTGCAACAGTATGGCTGGGTATATATATATAGATCTAGAGGACGATATGGCCTGGGTGTCTGATGCGCATTTCCATGAGTGTATTGCTATAGATAGTCTTTTATGGGAAACTTTAGGTATCCTACAATACACGCAGACTAGCCAACAACCGATAGTGAGAAACATGGCCTATAGTACTATATATACTTACAATTATATAATGTAAAAGATAATACGTATTGTATAACTAAATTATTTTTTAGTACTTTTCCGATAATTGTTAACAACCTATTTATGTTATGTTTATTATCTATGTTAATAATTAACGCTCTCTTTGCCACTAAGAAATATATACAATTAAACGCGCTCATTCTCTTATTTCTTCCAGTTCGACAGAAGTAAAAAGCTAAGAACTAGTTGTCCATTTCGGAATTGTGATTCTCGAATATTATAAGTCACCATCGACCTACTATAGTGCAGATCTACGTTGCATTAAGGCTGCGAACTTATCGCTGTTTCCAGGGTGGAAGATACAAAACGAAGTTGGAATAATGGACTCAAAAGGAAAATAGACAAACGGTGAGTCGCATCATGGGACATGTTCCTCAGCAGCAAGCACGCAATCCATAATGACATCCCAATTTTTTTGAGATGCTCGCATATTTTTTTGTCTTTGCTGCATTGGATTCTTCTCAATGAAATACTATGTTATGGCCGTTCTCAAATATCTTATAGTTACTTGTGATAAATTAAATAAACCATTAAATAAATAGGTGTTATAAAATTGCAGAATAGACTACGCTGCACAGAGCTATACTTTTTAGGTTATTAAATTATTAATCGTTAATTAATTAATTAAGGTAACAATGGAATTATTGTATAAAGTTACATACATTCTTCAAGAGACACTACTAAAATTTCATTGTACCTTAAACATTAAATATATAAAATGAATGCTACTGCTTTTGTCTCTACTGCTACTGCTAACAGTCTACGTAACATACATTTTTCGACTTACTGTTACTCCACTACATAATGGATTCTTCTATGTTGTGTATTTAGATAGGTGCATCATATGACAAAGCTTTGTATTACCAGTCAAAAACTTACTAAGTGTGCAGAGTGTTCTGTTGCCCGAAAGTGATATCTAATGATAACGCCTGTAAATGTCACCTGGCTGGTCGGATCAGATTACTGCACCTTAACCCGTTGAGATGAAAGGGATGACTTCGGTATTATGATGTATACGCATGACGCAAACAAAGGCACGTAAAACAACCCACAATAGAGTAAACCAAATGGTGGCGACCAGCGAATGTAATTGTACTCTACGTCAAATACGTTGTCGCTTAATAATTTAGTTACACATTATTGTCATTGAATGACGTTATCCCCGCTGAGTTCAAAACCTAACCTAATTTCAGTCACAAAGGAACCGTTTTGATTTCGCTGCACTATTCTAAAAACGGCATCTTAAAAATGCACGTCAAATCGTATACGAAAATCATATATATTCAATCGGTCTGACACTATTGATACACGTGTATCAATAGTGTCACAATTATGTGACACGTTGTGTGACAGTTGTGTGAAAACACTGAAGAGATTTTATAGTAAATCACAAACACCACCTATAAATTAATTTGGATAGCACCGGCTATAGATAACGAGATTTTTCAAAACCCTACACATATCTTAAAGTTGCGCAGAAGCGTTGTTCCTAACTATCTAAGGAATCAAACTGATATTCATCTTATATCAAGTGGACGACTATACAAAATAAAGGCTAACAGATGCTCAGCTCTATTGAGACTACTATTTTGCGCTAATATCGCTTACCGTAGGGATTGTAGGCCATGGTTTTTATGGTAGGAGATAATAGACAAAGAATTGAATAACGCGCACTAGTAAGAACTTCGCCGCACTCACAGGCACAACAAAAAGTCAACAAACAATAATCCTGAATTACTGCTGCTACTACTACTGCGAATGTTGCGAGGCAACACTGTCAATTCGTTTCGAATGGGCCGAATGAGTTGTAAACATGGGCTGTGGCGAGCGTCTGCTAGTTATTCAAAACTCTTCACTAAATATGCTTTAATTGAGTGACGAAGACAGACTAAGTACGTCGCGCACGTAGGGCGTCGGTTACCATTTTACGGAATAAACACGTTGCGTCAACTCAATGTAAGCGTTAACGTTTTTGGTTCAAGCAATCGCCCTATTAATGATTTGCTCATCTTAAGATTCGTATTGTAAATAAACAAATATGGTGGCACCCATGTTGGCCGGCTATCGGGGTCCGTGTATGTTAGTGTCTGCCCTACTAAGGAATCCTGGTCGTAAATCGTACCCGTAAAAAGTTGTTATCGGTGTTGTTGCTAGAAGATTGTGGAATCAGGGAGTGGTGGGTGCCAAGCATTTGATATTAAATCCCCTGGACCAGAACAGCGGTTCGGTGTTTGAAGTCGGAAGCATGTTAGCTTCAAAACAATTGTTAGGTAGGTGCATGAAAGTTCCAAATGTGTCTGTAAAGATACCCTTCGTTCGGCCTTTGCAAACACAATCAACGTCTATGTAGTTTTTTTGAAGACAAAGTAAACGAGTTCAAAAATATAAATATTGTTTAAATATGAATATGAATATTGACAAAAACACACGTTGAAAATAAAAGATATGTTATAGCAGCAATTGATTTTATAACCACAATTTACGGTTCTGAGTATTCAAACATGTGGTATATGCTGAGTATCCTTGAACTTAGATTTTCATAAACGAGCAAACGTTAAATGGGTATATGTAGCTCAAAAATATCAACTAAAACATTAAGAAATTGCATACGAAATACAGATTGAGTCTGTCAGTAAAACTTGGGGCTCTGAGTGCATTCTTGTAAGGAGAAAAATCTACAGCCTCAACCCTTTGAAAAAAAGTTAAAAATCTAATCTATGTTCTGACGAGGTAAAACCTGCTCACATGAACCTCAAACTTGTTGAAGACGTTTATGCTCTAGAGCATCTTCTGATTGTTAAATTTCATACTAAGCTCAAGTATTAAAACGCATGTTATCATTTGAACTCTTTGCGCTCTTAAAAAAGCAGTCAAAGCAAATTCGAAAAAGCAGACTTCTCAATACTCATATAAGCGGCAGCGGTGTTAGTGGCTGCTATTAGCACTTTGCCGCTTTGTCTAATCTACGCATGTGCATGGATAGCATATTTCAATCAATACGCCTAGCCAGAGTAATTATCAAGTCGATTTCATTCTGCTGATACCGCTTTTTTTACTACTCGTAGATTCTATCTAGACTTGGAACAAAGAGCAATCTCGTTGAATTGCTCAAAGTTTAGAACAAACTTTATTAAATACTTTTATCGTCTATATCTGAAAGGCCATCTTTGAATGGTTGGTTAGCCATCATCTGTTATCTAGTCAGTAGACAAATTTAGTAACTGAAAGTACTGTATCATAACTTGGCTTTGGGTACATTTTAGATATGCACGTGTCTAATGAAACGCATTCATTTTTTACTCAAACGATTGCTTGCGGAACCTATAGCTTTACAAGTACATGACAGTTTTCAAGTACAAGCACAATCCTTGTAAACTTCTGCCCTTATTCAACAGCCTGTGCACATGTAAAGATATTGTTCTTCTGTGTTCTTTTCGTTATTTGCTTGCAGGGTGTCTTCTGAGATCGACGGCTCACATACGCAATAGTTTGGATAGAAGCGCCTCATCATGGCAGATAATGGCCGGTGCAATTCTGGAGCGGCCTGCAACGCTAGTCGTTCCTTTTAGTCCTTTACAGAAAGCCTACCTCGACATGCTCACTGAACTCGAGGCGGAGCATTCGCTCCTCAGCGACCATGAACTCAAGGCTTTGGAGGAGAAGTATATCTATTGCATGTTTAGACAGAGCAATAAATAGCAGATATGATATTTTAAAGAACCGTTAAAACTTTTTGTCTTTTTAAGACTTTGATAGAGGTAATTTAAATATTGTGTGGTACCAGCTCTGATTATCAGATGGTTTCACACGTTGTATTTAGTAAATACTTCAGTACTGTGTTAAGGCTGTTAGGGTTAACCAAGCTATTATGTGCATTTCGCAGTAGTGTGAATTGTGCCATGTATTTTTGATTCTATACAGAATGCACAATTTACCGTTAACTTTATCGAATGTGTTTTTGCAATAGCATAGTTACAGAATAGTTGGGAATCAAACGAATTTATATCGTGGTTAACACACTCTTCTTTATGTATAGTAGCTCAGATTTGATCTTAGGACACGATTGACATGATTCTTTCATATTGCAGGAAAGCTTTGGCGAAGGCCACGAAGTCGGCTGGGGCAGCTGCTACTCGAATAAAATTAGCTGATGATCTTGTCAACGAATGGAAGGCTGAATTAGAAGCATTTAAAAAACGGTACCATTGCAAACCTCAAACGGACCACAAATTGGACGACATTAACAGGTTAGTATGTGTTTTGAGTCTCATTTGATTACATATCTGTGATAGTTAGAATTTAACTCTGTCTAAATAAGTAGTCAAAGGTGCCACGAGTGATGTCTATCAGTGTTATTACTTAGCATTTTTGACCGTGCAACTGCAGAACGTTAAATTGGTTACGGTCGATACAGCGATTCCTCAGTGGTCCAAGTCATGATACTCGATAAATTTTAATACGGCAAAAATCTAAAAAAGGTAGTAAATAGTTCTTGTAAATGTGTTCTTACCGGCCGGTGGATAATTTTTTAAGCTTTAAATGCAGTATAGATTCCGGCCTTAAAGCATTCAACCTCGCAGCCACGTTGTGTCAAAGATAACTTTACTTTGGTCTCTCCTAACTGCTCCTAGCTAAAAATGGTTATAGAAAATACGTTTCTTGAGATACTTGTAGGTATATACTAAAACTTGTATTTGGGTGAATATGTCTTTTGTTATTATTTTCGGACAGGGATGCTAACATCCCACTCAGTAAAGCCGAGATAAATAAAATAAATAAGTTATTTGATATTTTCTTTCTGTTCTGTTTACGTATTTTAGACACACCGATAAAGCACTTACTCTGTTGGTACTGCGAAAGATTGGAGATAAAGAACACTGGCTGTTTCCGATAGTTGACAATAAGGAGAACGAAACTTTAAGACAGGTGGGGTCGCTTTTGTCCAGGTAGGTTTTGTTGATCCGCTCCCTCATTTGACAGAATCAATCTCAGCCTGTATTGAATAGAATACAGAACGATGAAGTAACTAAAATAACAGACCTTTGAAATTCTGTCTAATACATTGCGAAATCCAATTATACATTATTAATTGGTTGTGTTAAACGAAACATTTACATTCATGTGATTTCACACCTAATGAAAGTCAGCAAATTTTCATCACAATCTTACAGATTATTGATTGGACACCCGAGAATGTCCATCATGTGACGTATGAACTAATCACAAAGTTATGAATATAGAACGTGAATTTATTGTGCTAGAGTTGCTGCTATATGCTATTGTGCTAGAGAGAACTATCTGCTAGAGTTATAATTATAAGGACATTTTGAGCCTTAGCATGGTTATGGAAGTTCAGCGTCCAGCTTCCATAACATCCAACTAGGAAGACTTCCATTTATGTGGGGGAAACTTACTCACAGTTAAAAACGAATGTAGTTGACAAAGCGACTAATAATTTTGATTACGATATTTGTAGACGGCAGAGCGCGCAATTTTGGAATGCTTCGGCGATTCGATGTCAATTAAAACTCTGGGAAATGCTCCAGTGGCTTTCTACAAGTATAAATATCCAAAGGCAGTGCAAGAAAAAACTAGAAAAGAGGGTGCCAAGGTGAGCAGTAAATTAATTGTTTCTGGCAATCGTCAACTTGGTTGAATTGCACGGGTGTCAAGCTAGATTTTAGTTATTTTTAGTATTTCAAACATTCATTTACTAAACGGCAATTTTTTATATATAATTATCTGAAGCTTGTTATCGAAATCCTAATTATGTCGAGGTACACTACTCATGACAAGGAGTGGATAACCTGATTTGTTGTATATTTTAATAAAGTCTTTCTGTTGACATTTTTTTGACCAAATTTCAGGTGTTTTACATCAAAATGAACTATATCTCTGGGATGCCGAAGCTTAAAACGGAGTTCGGTTCCAAGATTATTTGGTCTACTTACGACGAAATGTTGGAACGCCTGCCGCCTATTGTTAAAAAAGCTGTTAAGCCCTCTTTCTTTGTTACACCGAACATCGATTTCACCCTCTTCTTGGATGCGATTGCTCAGAAGGACGAGCTCCGAAAGCGACATCTCATTAAAGAGTAGTCGTTCGCTTAGGTAAATTGAACGGTGTGTGTGCTATCGATTAATATAGGTGTAAATAAATAATTTCTTATAATAATAAATGTATCCTAAAAAGCAGATTGCGTTGTTTTTAATTTATTTAGATAGCACTGTGATTAGGTTTGACAGCGAGTATTCACGGTAGGAACTTATAATCAAGCTGCGTTACTATTTCCCAAAAATACTGCAAGGTGGCGCCGCAGACTTGCTATCGCGGAGTCGAAACCGGTCGAATATTATGCATTCACCTCAGGTGTTGGTTCAGGCTTTAACTATGTTTTTAATTAATGCTCAGCGACACTTTCGGTATTGACTTTAGATTTAAATACATATATTAACGTAGCAATAGAATTTTAAGCTCATATATCTAGCTTGTGAGAGAACAGGGCATTTGATAATAAGATCTGATTTGTACGAACGGTCTTTTTAAAAGCCTCCGGTAGTGCTTCTACACAGCTGTAAAACCGCTGGAAAGTAGCAGGAACTAACAAGAAAAAGGTATTGAAAAATTTCACAAGTGGAAATGTCACGTCTATTTTTTTTATGGAAAGTGATATAAACTGTGCCCAAATCTATTACGCTTTGTCCTCTTTATAGGAAAGTGGTTAGATTGGTTAACTGAGAAGCACACGATGGCCTAGGTTCGAATCCGCATGTAGACATCCTTTGTTCAGTGGTGGAAACCAGCCACCTAAAGTAATGCTTAACGGATTAAGTATTGGACGAAGAACACGGAAAACATTTCTTAGGCCTGCTAAGTTCGATGTATTTCCTAAACATCTAGGAGTTGTCATATAAAATATGTTTACTTCTAGGGATGTGGTTATTGTCCTCAAACGTCTAAATAGTAAAATAAATTTAAAAAAAGATAAAGTGCAAAATAAATAAATAAAAAAGCAGAGAATAAAATATCATATGGTTTCAACGCAGTATATTTCAAGAAGCGGTTAGAGTCTTAGTGGATTTGTTGCTCAAATGTGGGACGGAATTTTTTCGATTCTCTAAAGAAAGCGAAAGTTTAACCGTTGTCACTAAATAATATATAAACTCTCGTTTTGTATTGTTACAATTGCTATGAACAACATTTTACGGGTAGGATGTTTGTCTAATGATCTGATTAATTATTTACTTTGTTTCGCATTCGTCTTTGTGTTTGATGCAATTGACCTTCATCATTCATGTTTTTCTTTTTTTGTTTAGGAAGGAAATGACAGGCGCATCTTCTGCTCCAAATTCGAACATAGAATAACCGAGCAAAAATTTCTCTAAAAATGACTTGTTTAAATATATATAAATTACCATATAGGAGACTTATTTACTGAAGAGATTATTTGTTTTCGACGTTCGCGGTACAGACTTCATAGAGACAAGTAATCAAAATGGCTCGAAATACCGTTCTGATTTAAAAGAAAAGGATAAAGGTTCCTTAAATAGGAGAGCAGATACTAGCGTGATCCATTGCGCAGCCAGAACAATATGTAGCTTGAAAAATGGTAGCCACGTAAGGAAGGCTGTGCGTTTAGACGGTTTACGTCCTTCCTAAATCCTATAGCGTTTTACCTTCCTAAGATGACGTAACAGTAATGTGCGTCCGTGAATGCGGAATGGAAAATGCAAATGGCGTCATGCTCCACCAAACAAAATGCGAATAAACTGCGTGGTCGCTATTGCTTTGAGCTAAACCAACACGCTGAGAAAATCAATGGCTCTAATTAATTGATATAAAATTTAGGCATATTACGTTCCCTAAGCTCAAATTTATTTGACTTGACGGATCTATTTGAACAAAGTCAACAAATAAGTATTAGAAAGCACATAAAAATGTGCCTCTATATTCATTCAAACAAAGCTAGGGACAGAAAAAACGTAAGCGTTCTATCGTGGATTATGTTATATTGTCGGACCTATATTGTCTCGTAAAGGTATAGGTGAACATATTTGAATAGACAAAACAAATTGATTATTCGATAAATGCAGGTGCACGTGAAAACTTGGCGAAGGAATTTTAATGACGAGGTTTATATCTATGTGATTGTGTCTAGTGATAATGAGTGTTGTTTTACTATTCTTTTTCTTACTTCGGCTATATATATATATATATATGAGCGTGCACTCTAGCACAAGCTTGACCCGAACAACTTCAACTATGAATAACGAGGTGCAGACTAGAGAATCTTTTTGGAAGGGCAGCGAATCTGGGGCTTCGAATTTATGAAGATAAATGAGTTTATCGGGGGGTTGTGCCCTAGTGTAAATACAATACACCGTAATTAAATTGTAGAGAAACAACTAAAGTCAGTAACAATGTAGTCAAAATTAGAGATGAACATTTCCAGCACACCCATACTTCGGCTAATATATGTTTATTTTTCTATTTTTCAAATTGACTCGAGTTGGAAAGTTGAAGGTGCTATGTTGCGTCTAATAAAAAAAAAAGACTCAAGTGCGTCACTGGCATTATGGAAATAAAAAGCGTGAGTTAGTCTGGCTCGATGAGAAGGTTGAATAGAGATTCATGAGACAACATTCAGCATAAATAAAGTAGTGCCTTGCTCTTATGCGCAAGTGTATTCTTGTTGCCGGTAACCCATACTTAATAAATCCGGTGAGATTACTTATAGATAAGTGGGTTTGTTGGGCCACATAAGTTGTGATAGTTGTATTGCATAATTCTCTGATAGAGAAAGAGATTTACCACCGATTTCGCAGTACAAACGACACAGATAACGTTTGCTAAAAACAAACGCTACCGCCGCGTTTAGAGGCAGCACCAGCAAACGTGCAAAGGCTTTAAGCTCTTTGTTGTAGATGGTTAATGCGAACATCCGTTGTTAACATTTAAACAATGGCTTTTAATTAATGGGAAAATATTTTGCCTAACATTCTGCAATATCGCTCGAACGTTTGGGGAGTAATTAATGAACCAGGCATGCGCCATTCCGCCTGCACAAACGTGTACCTATGACGAGTCAAAGCGCTCACGCATAACCAATCAATGCCGTAAATTAATTACAATCGGGGAAGTAATTTTAGGCAAAGGCTTATGACTTTTCAGACTACCAAAGGTTGCTATGACTGACTACATAAGAGTCAATATGATGAATACTTGTAACCGTAACTCTTCATAACGATACTTTTTTCCTGTAAAATTTAAATAGGAGATTTGGTCTGGTTTATTCGGCACCTGATCGAAATTTCAGCTGTTTGTTTGTATTGTATGCATTTCCATCACTGTAAGTACCACTACCTAATTTCGACTAGTCGTTTATCCTCGAAGGTGAATTCACCATTTTTAAAAAACGATAATAACAACAATGGCAGTTTATAATTTGCAGATCAAATCTTTTGCCATTTTTTTTAAACTTCTAATTACTTAACTGATCTAATGTTCAGCCTAACACACCTCCAGAAAGGTATGATTTTTTTTTATAGCATTTCCGTCTGTCGCAGTCTATATCGTTTTTGCCCAGTTGGCGTATCAGCAGTCCGACATAGGCTGTATCACGACCATGCTTTACGCCCACCCGTCTAACAAAGCGACTGCTCTGCGGATGTTCCGAACGTCAGACTCGTAGATCCGCAGCATTCACTTAGCTCTCCAAACGGCGATATCATATATCTACCTTCATGTTCCTGACCGGCATGGGAGCCTTATCTTACCGAGTTGATCTGTGTTTTATTTTAGCGTTACATGTTATATTTTTTCTAGTGCCATGCTTGACAGAGAATATTTCGATATTGGGTTTAGAGGTTCAATCGAATTAGGTAGGGTAGCATTCACGCACTTGTCAGTGCCCGTGATAAGTTTTTTGTCGTCGACGCACGTTTTCCTCGCCGCCGAGTCTATGTTCTTGCTAGACTTGGGCGCGGCTCCTCTTTTTCTCACATTATCGAGTCGACGATCTGCAGCCGCCTTTGGTGCTCATCGTGCGATGGCTTAGACGTTTTTTTTTGTTTTACTCCCAACCCCTGTTCGCGCATATATTATACAGTGACCTAAGTTCTGTGGCTCTCTTGAACCATAGGATGCACTTCCAAAAGCCATCGTAAATAGCTAATTGTTAATCACGACAGCGATAAGTTATAATAGCCATAATAATAACAGCCAATAGACATTGCGATCCGTGCGGTGTTTATGCCGTATTCGTCTAATATCTACAAAAGTTTGTCCTGGATGATTTTGTCGCATCATTTTCCTCCTCTCTAGTCATTCCTATCATCGATATCAGCACAAAGATATTCTTATCAACTTTGCTTTGTCTTAATCAGTTTACTATTGCTAAAATTTCCTGTTCCCTCCTTCATGCCTCCTTCTTCCGATCAGCTGTGGTATAGATCATAAGAGCTTTCATCCTGAACGAATCTTTTTCCACTAAGGATACTTTGCTCTCAGTCTAGTCGCACTGAATTTTACTCCTTCCAGCTCCGACATTATTGAATAGATATGTGTATATAAATGCGTATAACTCTTTTAGGAAACGGCCCAGCTAGTTCCTTTAGAATTGCTGCCGGTATTTTATTTAATCCACCGACATATAGGTTATAAGGTAGGTTCGTCTAAAGTATTATTCATATAATGCTTTGTAACACGTTCTCCTGCTAAAGCCATTATTATGTGGAACTCCTTAGCTGAATCGGATTAACCATGGGTCCACGGCGAGGCTGATGACCGATAACGGTACATTTGGAATCTGCTTTAACTCTGACCGTAAGCACATTAAAAATAAATAGGTTTTATGCTTTGGCTGTAGCAGCTCTGATATCAAGAGTCAAACGATTCTTGCAGGTATCATTTCAAAGAGAGTAAAAAATTGAGAATTGTCAACCTTCTCAGTATTTGTGTCGGAATCTGTCATCAGTGACTTTGAAGGGAATCAGCTAATTTGTAGTAATTGTGATAGAAAACAGGATTATTTGGATCATAACGGTTTATTTTCCGTATGTTATAAGAAGATAGTGCTTGCTTACATTAATAATATATAATTTGATCTCTTAGATTAACAATTCCCGTACCACAGGCTGCGTTGGCCAGTGTGACATTAGGTAGCTGATTCAATAACATGTTTGACG